GCCGCGGGCTTATCCTTGCCTACGGGGCACGTGGTACCAAGTCCTCGGGTCCCTGCTCTCCACCGCCGGCCGTCCTACCCAGTCTGGTTGGTACTTTGAACATGTGCCCCTGTGCCAATGTCCTGAAACCACTTTTCCAGCCAGACCCCACGGCCACACCTCCTGGCTGGCCGAGCAGATGAAGGCATAAGGGCGGGCGGCGCTAGACGACCGGTGCTAAAACCTGCAGCCTCCACACGCCCCAACGCACGCTGTGGGGGAGCGCAAACACACAAAGAAGCTTCTGGAAGAACCCACCAGAGCCACCTTCAACCCCCCACTCGGAGCTCGGCAACCCTCCCTCTCACGGGTGCACAGAGAGCACCAACCGTAAAAGTTAAAATTGGTGAATGGGACTTAGTCAGGATGAGATGCTTCTGGCGCTGCTGAAGACTGATGAGGGCACACCCACAGGGGGCAAACATCCCACACTGCACGGCAAGCCAGGCTATTTATTCTGCAGGATCCCTCGGCCAAGGAGGAAATCAAGATGGAAAGAAGTACATATATATTTTTTTCCCTACTAAATGACAATTAATATACCAACTATTAAAACTTGTGGATTGTATTCAAAACTGTGTTTATAAAGAAATATTCAGCTGTACATAAATCTACCAGAACATAACAAAGGCTAAAAAACAATGAATTTAGCCTCTCTCCCAAGAAGTTAGAAAGAAAACAGGAAATTTAAAGCCCAAGGAAATTACAAGAAAAATAAAAGAGCAGACATTAATGAGTGTTCTTAACCACTTCGGTATGGCACTCACTGGCCAAGAAACCTTGCCCACAGCCGGCACTCACAGTCCGCACTATTGTGTGATGAGGAAAGCTTTAAAGCCCTGAAAACTTGTTTTACTTTACAGGCAGCTTTAGGAAAATAACTACAATAACTCCTACTAAGGACCTGTTAAAAGGTCACAGATTCGTAGTAACTTATTAGCACAACGTACACACTGCAACTGCAGAGATAAAAGCAAAAGCTTTTTTTGGCTGTCGGCTAAAGTCTACGCTCGGGTTCATCTGTGGCTGATGACTATAGTCGACGCGGGCACCGAAGTGGTTAAAAATACAATCGAGAAGGTCAAGCCAAAGGTTTAAGACTAGTGAAATTAATAATCCATTGATGATACCGCCTGATGAAACAGAAAAGACATAAAAAGTAACAGCAGAACAGGAAACTCCTTAGATGTTTAAAAATACGAGGATATTATGAATTTATGGCAATGAATCGGAAATTTAGAAAGAAAGGAAAAATTCCTTGAAAAATACAAATTACCAGAATAGACACGAGAAGAAATGGAAAACATAAAATATCCTCTACTATAGAAATGCCTGCTTCCCAGGTGAATCCACCAAACCTTTCCTCTCACATAACTCTCTCTGCAGGCAGGAAGGTGTGGCCACTTCCGGAACCTGCTGGCGATGCCGGCACCATACGCCGCCCGCGTCCGGCCAGGCCAGGCCAGCGAGAGCCAGCCCAGGTCACAGCGCAGGCCCCAGGCCCCAGATCGCACACTGGTGCCTGGCCATGGGGACAAGGCTCAGTCCCAGCCACGATGGGCAGCTCCAAGGTTGGATTTGAAAGTCAAGCTTTTTGCTGGGCCAGGTGGCGCACGCCTGTAATCCCAGCACTCTGGGAGGCCGAGGCGGGCATATCACTGGAGGTCAGAAGTTTGAGGTTGCTCTGAGCTAGGCTGACGCCAAGGCACTACAGCCGGGGCAACAGAGCCAGACTCTGTCTCAAAAAAAAAAAAAAAAAAAAAGGCCGGGCGCGGTGGGAGGCCGAGGCGGGCGGATTGCTCGAGGTCAGGAGTTCAAAACCAGCCTGAGCAAGATCCTGTCTCTTAACTAAAAATAGAAAGAAATTAATTGGACAACTAAAAATATATATACAAAAAATTAGCTGGGCATGGTGGCACATGCCCAGCTACTCGGGAGGCAGAGACAGGAGGATCGCCTGAGCCCAGGAGATTGAGGTTGCTGTGAGCTAGGCTGACGCCATGGCACTCACTGTAGCCTAGGCAACAAAGTGAGACTCTGTCTCAAAATAAATAAATAAATAAAAAATAAAATAAATAATAAAAAAAAATATATATATATAAAATTTTAAAATGTTGGCCAGGCATGGTGGTGCACGCCTGTAATCCTAGCACTCTGGGAGGCTGAGGCGGGGAGATTGCTTGAGGTCAGGAGTTTGAGGTTGCTGTGAGCTAGGCTGAAGCCATGGCACTCCAGTCCGGGCAACAGAGTGAGACTCTGTCTCAAAAAAAAAAAAAAAAACCAGTGAATCTTTGTAATTAACCACATTAACAGAATAAGGAAAAGTCCTACAATAGACACAGAAAAGTCTGTATCTCCATATAACAGACACAGAAACATCGCCAATGAAAATTAATGTCCATCAGGCTTAATATATGCAGAAGAATAATAAAAATTAATCTCTGAGTGGGAGGAGTATCGCTTGAGCCCAGGAGTTCGAAACCAGCACCCCCGGACGGGTCCTGGCGAGTCCAGTGGTGGCACTGGCATCCCCCCGGACTCCCACCCCCCGCTCCAGAGCACAGGTGGAATCCACTGGAGGAAACACTCAGCACCCAGGCAAAGCCAGAGGGTGACTCTCTGCAGAGCAGAAAGCCGTCTGCCTCTTGCAGACATTGGCTTGGTTATTCCAAATTAAAAGATAATTTAGAGAGAAAACAACCAAACCCTACACCCAGCCCTTGATCAGATTCTGATTTGAACAAACCAACTATAAAGTTGTTTGGGGGAAAACTAGGGAAATACGAATATATTCTGGGCATCATATTTTATTAAGGGATTATTGTTAATTTTACTGAGAATGAAAAAGTTTGGTTATGTGAATATGTCATTTTTAGACATTCAAATATTTAAAATAACAATTTAAAATTAATTTTAAAAATATTATTAAATCAATAAAATATTTAAAATATTTACACAGTAAATATTTGGTAAATATCTGGGTACATACTAATATTTATTCAGAAAATATTAATCAAAAAATTTAGTGTGGGCCGGGCGCTGTGGCTCACGCCTGTAATCCTAGCTCTTGGGAGGCCGAGGCGGGCGGATTGCTCAAGGTCAGGAGTTCAAAACCAGCCTGAGCAAGAGCGAGACCCCGTCTCTACTATAAACAGAAAGAAATTAATTGGCCAACTGATATATATATAAAAAATTAGCCGGGCATAGTGGCACATGCCTGTAGTCCCAGCTACTCGGGAGGCTGAGGCAGAAGGATCACTCGAGCCCAGGAGATTGAGGTTGCTGTGAGCTAGGCTGACGCCACGGCACTCACTCTAGCCTGGACAACAAAGTGAGACTCTGTCTCAAAAAAAAAAAAAAAAAAAAAAAAATTTAGTGAAATCATTCTTAAGACAAAAGAAGAACGTTTTCATAATATGAAAAAGGTCAAGCTCTCAAGAAGATATAAAAAGTCCAAATGTGTATATACCTAATAATAGTTTCAAAATATAAAAAACATAAGCTGACAGAGCTCAAAGAAAACTCACAGGTATAGTGGGATCCTTTTACTTCTCTCAGCAAATGAAAGATTAAACAAACCCCTACAAGTCAGCAAGACCCACGACCTAACCTCACAACGGCTGGCAGACCCGGAACAGGCCTCCACAGAAGGGGAGCTGCCGGGGCCCGTGAGCACGTGACAAGGGCCGGCACCAGCTGTCAGGGAAACGCAGACTAAAGCCAGAGTGAGACAGCCACGGACACCACGGGGTGCCCAGAGGGCAAGGACAACACTGACCGCTGGCACAGACGGGAGCAATGGGAATTCTCACACCTGGCCAGTGACTGCTTCTAGAGTTCAATGAACACCTACCCTGTAGCCCAGCAATTTTACTCCCAGGTGGGATTTACTGATGGAATAAACACCGTGCCTGACCAAGGGCAAGCCTGGGAACTCACTAAGACAGGAGCCACTGGGGCTCTCCACAGGGCCACCAGGGGCCTTCACACCAGCACACTGAATTCTCCACTTCCCCCCTGGGAAGGTGATCAGTGGGAGCCCCCGAGATACACCCAGCACCCCATGGGGCCTTGCGCCCTGCACGGCCACAGACACGGCCCTGGATATGACCTTGGACACAGCCCCAGACATGACCCCTGAGATGACCCTGGACATGACCCCAGACAGGGCCCCGGACATGACCCCAGACATGACCCTGGGCATGACCCCAGACACGGCCCTGGGCAAGGTGCCCGTGTCCTGCAGACTTGGCAGTTCGGGGCCCCCGCCCCATGCAAGGTGTTTCATTGCAGCTGACCACACGAGGACAGCCCATCTGAGCACTACTTGGCTCTAAGCGAGTGGACGGGACGGGCAATACAGACTGTTTTCTTCTCTCTTGTCTCCACCCGACGAAGCGGACGAGAGCGTCTTCTTCTCCTCCATGCGGGCTTTCAGCGGCTTGGCCTTCCTGCCTCTGGGCCCTGGGGGAGACAGTGGTTAGGAGCAAAGCCAGGGAGCAGGACAGGGGTCTGGGCTGGGGACAGGTGTGGGATGTTGGCAGGTCAGGGAGGGGGCAGGTCTGGGCTGAGGACAGGTCTGGGTTTAGAGACAGGTCTGGGCTGGGGGCAGGTCTGGGCTGAGGACAGGTCTGGGCTGGGGACAGGTCTGGGCTGGGAGCAGGTCTGGGTTTGAGGACAGGTCTGGGTTGGGGGCAGGTCTGGGTTTGAGGACAGGTCTGGGCTGGGGGCAGGTCTGGGCTAAGGACAGGTCTGGGCTGAGGACAGGTCTGGGTTTGGGGTAGGTCTGGGCTGGGGGCAGGTCTGGGCTGGGGGCAGGTCTGGGTTTGGGGATAGGTCAGGGTTTAGGGACAGGTCTGGGCTGGGGGCAGGTCTGGGCTGAGGGCAGGTCTGGGTTTGGGGACAGGTCAGGGTTTAGGGACAGGTCTGGGCTGGGGCAGGTCTGGGCTGGGGGCAGGACAGGGTTTAGGGACAGGTCTGGGCTGGGGGCAGGTCCGGGTTTAGGGACAGGTCTGGGCTGGGGGCATGTCAGGGTTTAGGGACAGGTCTAGGCTGGGGGCAGGTCTGGGCTGAGGGCAGGTCTGGGCTGGGGACAGGTCAGGGCTGGGGGTAGGTCTGGGCTGAGGACAGGTCTGGGCTGGGGCAGGTCTGGGTTTGCGGACAGTTCTGGGTTTGGGGCAGGTCTGGGCTGAGGGCAGGTCTGGGCTGGAGACAGGCCTGGGTTTGGGGACAGGTCTGGGTTTGGGGACAGGTCTGGGTTTGGGGCAGGTCTGGGCTGGGGACAGGTCTGGGTTTGGGGACAGGTCTGGGTTTGGGGACAGGTCTGGGCTTGGGGACAGGTCTGGGCTGGGGGCAGATCTGGGCTGGAGACAGTTCTGGGTTTGGGGACAGTTCTGGGTTTGGGGCAGGTCTGGGCTGGGGGCAGGTCTGGGCTGGGGACAGGTCTGGGTTTGAGGACAGGTCTGGGCTTGGGGACAGGTCTGGGTTTGGGGCAGGTCTGGGTTTGGGGACAGGTCTGGGCTGGGGACATGTCTGGGCTGGGGGCAGGTCTGGGTTTGGGGACAGGTCTGGGCTGGAGGCAGGTCTGGGTTTAGGGACAGGTGTGGGTTTGGGTACAGGTGTGGGTTTGGGGACAGGTCTGGGCTGGGGACAGGTCTGGCCTGGGGACAGGTTGGGTTTGGGGACAGTTCTGGGTTTGGGGACAGGTCTGGGTTTGGGGCAGGTCTGGGTTGGGGACAGGTCTGGGCAGGGGACAGGTCTGGGCTGAGGGCAGTTCTGGGTTTGGGGAGAGGTCTGGGCTGGGGGCAGGTCTGGGTTTGGGGACAGGTCTGGGCTGGGGGCAGGTCTGGGTTTGAGGACAGGTCTGGGCTGGGGGCAGATCTGGGTTTGGGGTCAGGTCTGGGTTGGGGGCAGGTCAGGGCTAGGGGCAGGTCTGAGTTTGGGGACAGGTCTGGGCTGGGGACAGGTCTGGGTTTAGGGACAGGTCTGGGTTTGGGGACAGGTCTGGGTTGGGGGCAGGTCTGGGTTTGGGGACAGGTCTGGGCTGGGGGCAGGTCTGGGCTGGGGGCAGGTCTGGGTTTGGGGACAGGTTTGGGTTTGGAGACAGGTCTGGGCCGGGGACAGGTCTGGGTTTGGAGACAGGTCTGGGTTTGGGGACAGGTCTGGGCTGGGGGCAGGTCTGGGTTGGGGACAGGTCTGGGCTGGGGGCAGGTCTGGGTTTGGGGACAGGTCTGGGGACAGGTCTGGGTTTGGGGACAGGTCTGGGCTGGGGACAGGTCTAGGTTTGGGGACAGGTCTGGGTTTGGGGACAGGTCTGGGGATAAGTCTGGGTTTGGGGACAGGTCTGGGCTGGGGTACAGATTTGGCTGAGAGCAGGTCTGGGGTTATAGAGAGGAGGTCTGGGGTTCTGAGTGCAGGGAGGGACAGGTTCCGAGTTCCAAGAAAAGGGGCAGGGTGGATGTGGAAAGGGCAGTTCTGGGGTTCTGAGCCTGCAGGCTCCGTTCCAAGAGCGCAGGTGGGGGAGGGGATTCTGTCTGGGATGGGAGCGGGACGCGCCTGGGTTCGGAGCGCGGGGCGGTGCTCACCCGGGACCGGCCCGGTGGCCCGCGCCGCGCCCCCGCCCTTCGCTGCGCCACCTGGCGTCCTGCGGTTGCCTGGGGCAACGGGTCCGGGCGGCGAGCATTGTGCAGCCCCCCGGCGCGGGCGGCAGGGCGGGGAGCGTACAGCGCGGAGGCCGGCCCGGGGCGTGGGGCTGCGCGGGCGCGCGGGCTGCCGCCAGGGGCGCCGGGAGCGCCCGGGGGGGCGTGGCGGGAGGCGGATGCGAGGACCGGGGCTTCGGTGGGGACGGGGGCGGGGACGGGAGCGGCGCGGAGAGGGCGCGGGGCGCGGAGAGGGCGCGGGGCGCGGAGAGGGCGCGGGGCGTGGAGAGGGCGCGGGGCGCGGGGGCCGCAACGGGCCGCAGTCCTTGGCGCTCCGGCTGGGCCTGGGGTCGGGGTCCTTTCCCAGGCGGCGTTTGGAGCGGGGGCGGGGGCTGGGGCGCAGGACCGAGCGGGCCATGGGGGCGCGGGGTGGGGGGCGCGTGTGGCCTCACCACCCCTGCGCCGGTCACGCGCTTCGGCCCCCGCGGCTGTCGGTGTCACAGACCCTGCCTGTCCCTCCACCCCCGCCAAGTCACAAAGGAGGCGCAGGTCACACCCGCCCATCGCCCCCAGGCCCACCGGCTCTTCCCTGCTGGAAGTCAGCCAGGAGCAGGGCCGGGCGCCCTCGAGGGTTGGGACGACGGAAGGCCAGCCAGGGCAGCTCCTTGGGGAGAGCCACTCACAGGAACGCCCGCCGGCCGGATGTTCTGAGCCCGTCCATGCGGCCAGGGTCCCCAGCGCTACCCACCAGCCCACCTCTGGTCTGGTCTGGCAGCGCCCCCCCCCCCCCCCCCCCCCCCCCGCCTCCGCGCTCTCATAGTAACTTTCTAAAACCCAGATGTCATCTTTATTTGACCTGAAATCCACTTTGTGTTTACCTTCCCAAGATACCCCAAAGGGAGGCTCTTCCTCCCGGCCTCACGTCTTTCCCGCCCATTCCTGCCTTCACCCCAGGAAAGCTGCTGCCCGGTCCAGACGGGCCTCTGGGCTACACAAATCAAAAGTGAATGCAAGGGTGGGCCTGGCCTCCACCCCGCATGCTCCACCTCTCGTTCTTCAGAACTCGGGGCAGCCTGTCCCTGAGACCAGCATTAAACAGCCACAGGCTGTATTTTCATGTTAGCATTTATTGTTCAAGCGGGTATTAAACTGCATCAGACAAAAATGTAAATTGAAAGACAGTTTTCTAAAACCCCATTTGTCTGGACTTTTTAAGCTCCCTAAAGTGCAAGCCAGGATTAACTGCCCGGGTGACTGATTCTGTAGAACTTGAACTCTCTGGTCCCCCCACCCACACCCCAGGGCATCCACCCACTCGACACCCCTGTGCTCCCACCCCATGCCTCGCAGCTGGCAGAGTGGCAGCCCCCCCAGCTCAGAGGTGCCGGCGGGCAGGGGCAGTGCCCTCTCCGTGGAGCAGCCTGCTTGGGGACGTGGCCAAAGCCTTTGCGTGGCCCTGGCTCTGTCCTTGCTTCTGGCCCACCTTTCAGGGGTCTGCCGCCTTCCTTCTCTGATGGAAAATACTGAGCCACCTGTCCCATATCAAGGGTGTCCTGGCAGCTGGCATCACTCCCATCACAAGTGAGAAACCTGGGAGGGTACCACCCAGTCCTCACCTCCCGGGACCACCAGGTCGTGACCCTAAAGGCCCCAGGCCACAAAGTGCATCCCACTGGCCCCCGGGGAACCTGTCAGTGCTTCCCAACTCAGCACACAGCAACGTGTCTTTCTGAACGCCGCTGTTCATCTCCTACCAGAAAACTGCTTTGCGGTATGGCCTGTGACTGAAATAATTACTCAACAATTAACAAGGCTCCTGGTTTCGCAAGTGCCCCCAACTCACGCGGCTTTACTGCTGTCTGTGCCACTAGGAGGTGGCACACAGGGCAACTCCTGGCCGTGATTTCAATCGAAGCCAATGTTAACGTCACCCCCACACGGTCCCTGCAGCCTGGCAGGTGGGCAGTAACCGCGTGGGCTGTGCGGAGGGCGTGTGAGTGCCCCAAGACCCCGAAACAGCGGAGGTAGAGAACACCCCTGACCCCAGCCACACCTCAGGTGAGTGAGGATGAGGATGAGGCACTTGCTGAGGGAGGGACAGAGAGCTGAGATGCCCAGTGATGACCCCGTGAGGAGTCCGGGGAGCAAATGTGGGAGGAGAGCCTTGGCCCCCCCAGACACTGAGGCCAGTGAGTCCAGCCAGTTCCCAGAGCCTCGGGCCCGGCCACACCCAGAGAACACTGGACTGACGGTGGCCAAGTGAAGCTCTGCACTGGGTGTGGCCACGCCTGGGGACGTGGACCAGGGCTCACTGTGAAGACAGCGCAGAAACTTGGGGGTGGCTCTCACGTGGGAAAAGCAGCGGCCGTCCAAGTTGCGTGTTGCGTGTCCGGGCTCTGGGGGGAGCCCCGTATCCTGCACAGGACAGAGGTGCTCAGCCTCGCTCTCCTGCCCAGCAGACGGTGCTCAGCAGCCGGCTCCATCAAAGCAGGGCGGGGCCTCTCCCAGTGCGACCCAGGCCGGGCTGGCAGAGTGGGGCCGGCACGGGAAGAGCCGACGAAGGGAGCCGGCTCAGGGTGGTAGGAGAACTCGGGGTCTGTGTCTGCCCAGATACCGACACCTGGAGACCCGGCCCCGGCCCAGCTGCGAGGGAGGTGGGAAGCTGCGCCGGGACCCTGCGCTCGAGCCAGGCTGTCGGCGGGCAGGACCCATGCCCTTCCTCAGGCCGGGGAGCCCAGGCCACCGAGCAGGGCGGGACCGACCAGTCTGGCAGGGCACAGAAGAGCCAACCCCTTGCCTATTTCAAAATTAAACTACCCTAAGACAAGAAAAGGCCACCTCACAGCGTGCCCTGCCCTCACAGGAGGGACACGGACGTGTTAGAAGGCGGCACCCGGGCGCAGTTAGCGTAGGCACAGTGCAGTGCACTGGGGCCAGGCCCGCACTGCGACTCAGTTTCCCTGTGCTGTAGTCACTGGGCCATCTGCACCACTACAGCTCTCCAGGCTTTCTCCTTGTCAAACTCCTTTCCGGGGCTTCTGGCCACCTGTGACAAGACAGGAAAGTGGTCACTCCACCGGGCCGCCTGCGTGGCAGGAAGACACCGGCTGCCGGGCCCCCTAACTTTAGCCGTTCTCTCTGAACACGAAGGAAGGGGAGGACATAACCCCTGGGCCTCTAGGGGAGGCGAAGGCCTCTTCTCTACCATCTGAGAGCCACCCCGTCCCTGGCTTGGGGCCCTCCATGGTCCCCCGCAGATGCAGAGCCTGGGGGTCTTCCCTCAGCCCTGCCCTGGTTCCATGGGGGGAGGCTGCCCAGGCGGGGGGCATGTGCTGACAGCTGAGGAAGAGGACACTGGGGGCAAGGTGACCAAGCGCCCCCAGACTAAAGGGAGAACCGTGCAGCCCCGGCCGTGCACCGTGAGCCCCAGGGGTCCAGTGAGAGCAGCTCGTCCACCTGACGACATGCCTTGGCGGTCACAGCACAGAGCCAGGTAGACCTCGTGGGCCCAGTCACCGCCACCCCAGCGGGCACCCTGACCACAGCCAGGCAAAAGTGACAGTGAAGCCATCTGCGGAAGCAGGGGTGCAGGGGACGGCACCGAGAAAGGGTGCAGACTGTTGAGGTCGCCCAGGGCAAGGGTGTCCCCGGGTTGCAGCAGGCAGAGCACAGACGGGGAGGGCGGTGTGCCGGGCACAGGTGGTGGCCAGGTACCCAGGACCACACCCCCCACTGGTGCCACGGGGCCCAGAGGACGGGCCAGGTGTCTGCCGGTGCCGTGCAGACATCTGTCACGGGCACTTGACCCTGGAGGCAGGCACAGGTCTGCCCGGGGAAAACACTCGCAGGCAGCTCGCCTCTCAGTCGTGGGGGTGACAGGCAGGGCTCGGGGGCTGGGATCGTCCAGGTGGCGTGAGCCAGGCAGAAGGGCAGCATGACCCCTCCAGCCTGCCAGCCAGAGGTCATCAACACCCATCTGTAGGGACCCCCCTGGCTGGTGGGTGCCCCCTCCCTGCAGAGCTGGGGTCCCCAGCAGGGGCAGGAAGGAGACTTTGGAGGCACCCCAAATCCCCCAGTCCTGTGTTTATAAGAGCAGAACTGAAAGCATTGAGTCCGTCATGTTTTCTAGGAATGGGTTTGGGTTTGCCTAGTTGTTTTTTGTTAAAAATGAATTTTTTAAAAAATATTTCACTTCTTCTAGATTCTTTTGTGGTGTCTTTAAAGCCCCAAAGTGGCAGGCCAAGTCCTGAGGGACAGGGCAGGCGCCAGAGCGTGGGCCCGGGAGCCACTCACCTCTGCGGCCGGGCGCTCCTGCGGGCCAGGCTGGGCGTCCCAGGGTGCGGCCTGCAGCCTGGCGCTGACCTTGAAGCTCACGCACTGGATGGCAGTGCCCGTGTTGAGGCTCGCCTGCAGCAGCAGCAGCAGCATCAGGAGCAGCAGCAGCAGGTCGTAGGACTGCTGTGGGCAGGGCATGCCGTGAGAGGGCCCTTCTCGGGGGTGGATGGGCCCAGGGACCAGCCGGTGTGTGGCGCTGGCTGCAGGTGTCCAAGCCCCTCCACCCCAGCCCGCCCCAGCGACCACAGGGTCAGCGAGGAAACCGGCAAAACCACCTGTGCCTCCTAGCCACAAGGGGGGTGTGCGTATGAGGCCCAGGGGACGGCAACCTTCTCAGGGTATCAGTGGGAAACCCGCTCTGAGGCTGACAAGAGTCAGCCCATGAGGGCCTTCGGCAGAAGGCAAGAGGACGGGGTCCCAGGCAGGGGCACAGGCCACCTGCAGATCCCCAAGCAGCAGCTGCTGGAGAGGAGGGGACTGAGCAATGCCAGCCAGAGGGAGCTGCAGGGAAGGCAGGAGGAAGCGCTGGGGCCCAGCGGGGAGAGGATGGAGGAGCCTGAAGCGAGTCCCTGTGGCCTGCGAGTCCCAGGGTCAGAACACCCTCAACGCACCTGGGACCCTCGGTGTGCCACACGGGCGTCCTGCCAGCCCTGGACTCGGGAAAGACAAAGCAACTAACTGTAAGCACAAAACAGAGCCCAGCACCATCCAACGTCACGGAATGAACAACTCTTCTCAAGTTAATCCATACAGTTAAGGTAGTCCCAATAAAAAAATAGCAACATTGGGCCGGGCGCAGCAGCTCACACCTGTAATCCCAGCACTCTGGGAGGCCGAGGCCAGAGGATCACTTGAGGCCAGGAGTTCGAGATCAGCCTGAACAAGACCGAGACCTCGTCTCTACTATAAGTAGGAAAAATTAATTGGCCAACTAAAAATATATACAGAAAAAAATTAGCCGGGCATGGCTAATGCCTGTAGTCCCAGCTACTCGGAAGACTGAGGCAGGAGGATCACTTGAGGCCAGGAGTTAGTTAGAGGCTCCAGTGAGCCACTATGACGCCGAGGCACTCTAGCCTGGGCAATAGAGCAAGACCCTGTCTCCAAAAAAAAGACAACATTGCAGTCTCCAGAACAGGTACATTGATTCCAAACTTTGCACAAAAACTCCAAGCCAGGTCAATCCTGAAGAGAAGCGCACTCAGCAAGTGGGTGCCTGGCCCTGCAGGCCACTAAGCGTGCCGTGAACCCGTGTGAGCAGAGAGGGGCTGCGCAGGCGCAAGGACGGCCTGCGGGGAGGAAACAGGAAGTGCAGAGACAGACCCAGACTGGGCAGGGATCTGACTGCGATCAACTCCAGCAGACGCACGTGTCCCACCCTTTCTCATCAGGTCTTAAAACCCAGAGCAATTAAGGAAAGCATCCTTCAATTTAGCTGCATAAAGACAAAAAAAGCTTTCACATGACAAGCACCTCGACAAACGGAACCAAGAACTGCCAGGCTGAGGCCACTGTCAGCATCTGCCGTCAGAGTGACGGCTCTCCCTGCCCGCATGGGAGCTCTCAGATGCCCACAGAAACATGCGGACCACACCAGCAGTGCTAACTGGCAAAGAAGTTCAAACGCCCCAGGGCACAGTCAAAGGTCCCTGCAGTCTCGAGTCACAGAAGGTCTGAGAGAGCCGCTGTCTGGCGGGTACCAGGAAGTGCGTGCTCTGGTGCCCTTGGCAGGAGAGGAAACGGGACATTTAGGGACGGAGCCATTAACACATAACAGACGTGTCCGCCCTCTGCCCGGCAGTCCCTCTCCTCGCTGGTCATCCTAAGGCACCTGCACAGGTTCACGGTGAAGTGCACACAGGCTGCTGGAGGAACTGTTCACAGCAGCAGGTGTTGGAAATGACATGCTTGCCGTCGCTGGGACGGCTGCGTGCCCTGGGCCATGTGTGCAGGAGCCACGAGAGAGAACAGGGCTGTGACCCCCTGAGCACTGGTGAAACGCCTGCATCATTACTAAGCTAAAAAAAAAAAAAAGCAAAGTACAGAATAGTGATCACAGTGAGCAGCCTGTCTTGTGAGAAAGGAAGAAAAATAAAAATAATACAGTGGCATCTGAGAGGAACAAGTAGATCCAGGACCACAACATGCCCGAGTCCACCTTGTATGCGGTGTTGGCTTTTTGAGCTGTGTAAACGTTTGTATATTTAAAAATACCACGACAGGGGAAAAAGCACTAAGCCCCCAAACGGAATACTAGCAGCAGCCACGAAGCCTCACGGTGTGTCAGGGCCACGGCATCAACACACACAACGTGTGACTGTCCCTCCCAACATGGCTCATGCTAACGGCCGAAAGGAAGTCTCGGCTCACCCAGCTGGTGGTAATACTGGAACTGAGAACAGCTACATGCGTGTTGTAAGACAAAAATCAAGTAGTAATAAGATATTAAATGTTACAGGAAACACGGTTTTTGGAATAAGGACAGGGGAGCAAACAAAGTCAAGAAAAAAACCCTAGAAGTTAAATCTGAACTAGAAACACCAATATAAACGCATGGTCATTAAGAACATCCATGTCCCACTCTGCCCACTGCAAGAGCTGGGAGGCACCGACGCCCCAGAAGCAGTGAGCCTGGGGCCCGGGCAGTGGCTCCCTGTTGGGGGCCCGGCCACGGCCGTGGGGCGGGGCCGAGCACGGTGCATCCAGGAAGAAAGTAGGATGGGTTCCCTCTGGCCACACCTCAGCCTAGCAGCAGTGCCCGAGCCTCACGGAGGGAACTGTGCAAAGCTGCCGAAAGACTCTAAAGAAGTCCCCTCTTGACGGAGGGAATTGTGCAAAGCTGCCGAAAGACTCTAAAGAAGTCCCCTCTTGAAATATATCACATCTTGGAAAGGCTCAAAGTCACAATGTCAAACCTCTTCAAACTCATAAACACAATGCGATTCCAGTAGGAATCCCAACGGACTGTCTCGCAAACCCTGACAACAGATTCTGTTCACCCGTGGGTGCCCGCAGGGCAGAGAAAACCTGGGATCCAGGGCTGGGGGACGGGCAGAGTGGCCCGGCCGCAGCCTGGGTGGACGCCAGGGCAGAGCTGGCCCTGCCCGCCAGGGAGGCAGGACCGCTGGCCGGGGGACCAGGCAGAGTCACTCCGTCATCCACACGGAAGAAGAAACACCATCCCTCCTCACGCTAGGCTACCGCCAGCTCCGCCCAGAGCAGACTGTGCAAAGCCAACTCTGCCAGCAGCTGCCCCGTCCACCGCCCAGGATGGAGCCCACGTCCCCATGAGCCCCTCCCTCAGACGCAGGCCAACAGCTCAGCAGCACTGCCTCACTGGAGAGTTTTAAAATAAAACAAAAGGACACATACTTTTATGGCCGGCGGGTAATCTGTGAAGGTCTCCACGACCCGCATCACGCTGGACGACAGGTACCCGGAGGCCGTGGCCAACAGCGGGGCCGTGAGGCTGGTCACGGCGATGAGCACCTCCACCTGGTCAGAGAGCAGCAGCGTTGCCGGCCGGCCGGCCCTGCGCCTGGGAGCCGCCGCTGCAGGGAGGTGGGGGGAGGCCAGAGCCCACGCCCGCCCACAATCCTGAGCGCTGGACTCCATGTGCAGCTCTGCTGATACCTTTGGCCATTAACTTAAAGCAGAGCATCACAGAAGTGTTTTTAAGTGCACGCACAATTCTCCACTCTTGGAAAAACAGCACTTCTGCACGGATCACCCCTCCATGGCTGTGACATCTGGCCCTCTGACCTCCCTGAAATCTTCCTGCATTGGAAGCGAGGTCCACGCCAAGGCTCGGAAATAAGCTACACAGGCCCCAGCGTCCAGGCCGTACTTTGCGTGCAGTGGGGGCTCTCGCCTTTCGGGGTGCTGCAGCCCTGATTTAGCAGCCGTCACAAACCAACAATGGTCAGCCTTTGGGGCTGGTCCGCCTATACCCTTTGCTTGGTCACAGGGAGGTCTGTCACAACAGGAGTGCTTGTCCACAGACAGGGCACTGCCCAGGAAACCCCCTGCAGGCAATCCCTCTGCTAGGCGGTGGCGCCAGCCTCACCCTGGGGTCTCCTCGGGCCGCTCCCCTCTCACGCCCTCCTGCTGCTGCATCCAGCTCCCCGCAGACCCTGCCTTGCCCAGGCAGCCTCAGCTGCCTGGTTCCCAAGGCTGCAGCTGCAACGTGGGCTGTGGAGGGGATGGCCAGGCTGCAGCCCAGCCCACGGGTACCAGGGGACAAGCCCTCACCTACCAGACACCTGCTGGGACACTCCGCTGTCACGTGACTGGCAATGGCACTTGGAAAACACTAAGAACAAACAAAAAGGAAACATCTTAGAGGCAACACTCTAAACGTGTGCTTTCCCATCTTGGCGTGGTTCGTCATTTGCCCTGGGCTGCCTGGCTCTGCAGGGCTGGTGGGGGCCGGGGGTGGTCCTCCCGAGTGCGGGCCGAGCCCAGGGCACAACCCGTCCTGCTCAGTGCAGCCCCACACCCAAGACAGCGTGGACTCAATAGCATCATCCCATACGGGCCATGTTCAAATTCCTGCAGTTGTCATGATACAGTTCTGTTTAGAGCCTCTGTTCCTGATCCAGGGTCCAACCTGTGATGGCACCCGGAGACGCCTTGCTGGTCCCCATTTGTGGGGTGGGGTCCCCTGGCCTCTGTCACCCCCTGCTGGGCACAGGCTGTAGACCGGCAGCTGCTTCTTCAGGGTCAGACCCTGTGAAGCCTCGAAGCCACGGAGGCGGGGCTGCAGCTCCCAGGGCAGATGGCCCCTCCTTCAGAGGCCCGGTGACCCATGTCCCCCACGGGGAGTGGCCCGTGCTGTGGCAGGTGCCTGTGTGGCCTGGCCAGTGGCAGAAGGACCAGGGGACCAGTCAGGGTGTACTCACAGCCACTAAGATCCAAAAGAATGTCACCGAGAGGTGGGGGCCTGAGACCGTGTCATCCAGGTTCAGGGCGATGATGCCCCCGAGGACGGCGGAGACGCCCGCAATCACCTCGACGACCTGGAGGGTGACAAGGGACAGCATTGCCTCACCAGGCACAAGACGGCCTATACCTAAACCTGGGAAGCGGGGACGACCCCAGACGCCACCATGGAGCCCTGGGGCAGGCTGTGGCTCCATGGGCTGCCCCTGTGGCGGGGGTGGGGGGGGTGAGCCCCAGGCCCAGCCCCAGCCCCAGCTCCCTGGCAGCGTGACTTTCCACGCCGCGCTCTCCTGAAGCAGAACTTCCTACGCAGAGGCTCCCCTCGATGCTCCTATTCTCCAGAGAAGCCGAACGAATGCAGGTACTTCCCCGACAGTGGTGGGGGGAGAGGCAGGACCCCCAGAAGCCCCACCCCTGCCCTGGAAAGGAGACAAACACTCAAAACCTGTGGAGAACAGCCGTGAGGTCCCAATGCAGGGCCAGGGCAAGAGGGCCAGGGGCTGGTGTCTGCGTGAGGACATTTGTCCCCTCGGAAGGCACAAGACCCCAGGCAGACACGTGCGACACCTAAGAGAGATCACAACCACAGGACGGAAAACTCAGAAATGGAGGCCGCCCATGAGGGATGGCAGTTGGGGCATAGCAGACGGCGGGACGACTAAGCGCTCAGGGAAAACCATCACCTGGATCCTCTCCCACCCTGGATCCTCTCCCACGCATCGTCATGGGAGACCAAGGGGAAACCAGCAAACTCTTGAAAGACCCGTCAAAAGCAGACGCTCCCTCAAGAGACCCTAAAGCAAAGGGTGAAATGCAAAAGACGGGAGCAAAGGCACCTGGAGGAGGCAGACGGGAGACTGCGCCGTCTCACAGTGAAGGGCACAGCGCCGACGCACGAGCCACAGTGGGCCTCGGGGCCCGCACTGTTGCGCATGGATGCTGCCGGCCTGCCAGAGGCAGGCGGCAGGTCACAGACAGCCTCTAAAAGAATACTGAAAAATGCTAAATTTGCAATGCAACATTAGAGGGAAAAAGAAGGAAGACGCTTCCACCACTTCCCAAGAAGGCGGAGGGACGGGGAGCAGAGAAGAAAAAGCCCAGGGTAAAATGGAGAACAAAAAAGATGCTAAAAGTAGAGATGCATAAGTCAGCAAGCACTTCCAAAAGGCTACAGAGAGGCCGGGCACTCACGCCTGTAATCCTAACACTCTGGGAGGCCGAGGCAGGAAGATCATTTGAGCTCAGGAGTTTGAGACCACCCCGAGCAAGAGCAAGACCCCCATCTCTACTAAAAAATAGAAAATATCAGAGGGGCATGGTGCCACATGCCCGTGGTCCTAGCCACTCTGGAGGCTGAGGCAGGAGGATCGCTTGAGCCCAGGAGTTTGAGGTTGCTGTGAGCGAGGCTGACGCCACAGCACTCTAGCCTGGGCAACAGAGTGAGACTCTGTCTCAAAAAAAAAAAAAAAAAGGCTACAGAAAGAAAGACAGGTTAGATGACCGAACGTCAAATGCAGCTGTGTGCCGTCTATGAGAACCACACCAAATGGGACAGCAAGGGAAGTGGGAAGGAACAGAGACGAAGGTCTACCGGGCGGGTTATCAGCCAGAGGGTCATGGACACGCTTAGACCCACTGACATGGATTTCACATGGCGTCACTGCAGGTAACTCCGGTTGCTGAGAGTGATGACAGGACATGACCAGGGAGCGGCTCCACACACGCGCAACCAAACACGCCAGGAAGCCGCTGAGTCACAGAGGGAACTGGCAGCGCCGCACTCAGACAGAACGCTCCCAGCAGCTCATTCTCTGACAGAGCAGGTTGGCCAAGGACAGGAAAGCAGAAAGGGCGCAAAGACACACACGGGTCGCGGGAGAGCGGCCATGTGACTCAACCCCGGGCCAGGACGCTGAGCTTGAGGGGGGACGCTGAGGGCTCAGGGATTCCTCGTGGACAGCAGTGTCAGCCAGGACACCCCCTGTGACCGTGCCTCTAGCGGCACCAAACCCTGTCCCCCGAAACCTAAGGCACGTGGGCACCTTTTAAGATCAGGTGTTTTGTCGCCACCGATACCAGCAAATGGACCGAATGCACCCTGGCAGACGATGACCACGCCCACGCCCACAGCCTGCACGGCCCTGTCCCAGTCGTCTTGAAAAATAAACGCGATGCTTCAATCCAGCTGCAACTCGCCCCCTCAACAAAACAAAACAACAAGAAGAGGGAAAAAACAGAGACCAGTCTCCCTTACCGAGTAGGATTTCAGGACCCGGGCAGGAAACGTCACTTCTTCCATAACATGGGTGCTGCTGGAGATGGAACCCTGGAAAGAAACAGAACATCGTCACGCCGAATGCGCAGGACGCGCGGCTCCGCTCTGCTCTCACGCCCGGCTGCCGCCGCCTGTGCTCGAAACTCCACCTTCCCACACTCGGCAGCAGGTCTCAGGCTTGAGGGCAAAGTTCAAACACGGGCGTCTCCCCACCCCTACAGGGAAGAGTGTTCCATCTCAGTAATCCCAGTTCGAGAGAGATCTCCAGGAGCTCTTTCTCCGCGCCATCCTGCCAGAGGACGGCACCCGGGGAGGCGGCATCTGGCCTTCGCCTCCCAAGGCGCTGACACCCGACCTCCCCTCTGCCATGCCAGCCCCGGGGGACGTCCCCTCCACTCTGCTGCTCAGGGCCGGCAGCTGCACCCACCTTCTTCTTCTTGCAGAATTCCTCGCCAGACCGAGCAGAGACGATCACGGTGGCCGCCATGAGCAGCTCCAGCAGCAGCAGCAGGATGAGGTTGAAGTTGATCTGCGGAGTAGACGCACACTTCAGCCCGCCATGCGCCATCCTCCCCGGGCTGCCCCTTGGCGCCCAACAGTCGGGCTCACTGACAGGCCCGCCCGTGCGGGGCTCCAGACCGTGGGCAGCCGCCTGTTCTGCCCGAGGCCGGCTATTAGGCCTGGTGGACACATGCCGTCGCTTCTGTCTCACACAGGTCTCTGGGGTTTCTTTGGCTTTTTAAACCATCATTAACTCTAAGGCCACACAAAGACAGACCGGAGTCTGCCGACCTCCAATCTCAACCCCCTTTGTTCCCACGTAAACCCGTACACAAACATCTGTGTAAACTCTGTGTGTCATTGCCAGAAACTGGAAACACAAGTTTTTGGGGTATTTGGAATGGAACTATTCTAGATCTTGACTAGGTTGCTTTTACATAAATCTATATGCCTGTGTTAACATTCATAGAACTATATGTTTTAAAACTCAATTTAGCTGTGTGATAATTCAAAAATAAATTTAGAAAACAAAGAATGGGCCAGGTGCAGTGGCTCACATCTGTCATCCTAGCACTCTGGGAGGCCAAGGCAGGAGGATCGCTCGAGGTCAGGAGTTCGAAACCAGCCTGAGCAAGAGCAAGACCCAGTCTCTACTAAAAATAGAAAGAAATTAATTGGCCAACTAAAAATAATAGAAAAAATTAGCCAGGCATGGTGGCGCATGCCTGTAGTCCCAGCTACTAGGGAGGCTGAGGCAGGAGGGATCACTTGAGCCCAGGAGTTTGAGGTTGCTGTGAGCTAGGCTGATGCCATGGCACTCTAGCCCGGGCAACAGAGCGAGACTGTGTTAAAAAAAAAAAAAAAAGAAAAAGAATGTAGAACCATATTCGACTAACAATAGAGCCTCAAAATATATAAAGTGTTAATAACAACTCGCAGAACCACAGGAGGGAATAGACGAACCAAGAAGAAAGCACTATAATCTCGATTCCAAAACCGGATGAAAGAAACAGGCCCCTGCACTCAGGAACAGTGACGCACAGACCCTCAGCACAGCGCCGGCCAGTCAGGGCACCAGGTCGCTGGGAAGATGCCGCTATGGTCAAGAGGGGCCCTGCAGGGGCTCAGCACCAGCCATGGCCACCAGTGCAGCTCACCATGTCGATTAACCAGGTGAGGAAAGACCTCAGACATACCAAAAAGCAACCACTGTATCAAACTCAACATATATTTACATTTCTAAAATGAAAAACTCATAGCAAACCTGACGTTGAAGGGAACATTTTTAACTCGGCCAAAGTTAGTATCAAAAAGTAAATGAAAATGTTTAGATATATTCCAGGAAGGCCAGGAATGAGACAGGGGGACCCAGGAATACACTACCGTTTGACACAGTCCCGGGATCTCGGCCAAAGCTGTAAAGAAAGGACACAAAAGAAGAGACATGAGGTTGGAAAAGGAATGTGAAATGCAGAAGGCAGATCTCCAACACAGAGAAACCAACATAATCCCCAGAAAAGCCGTAAGAATAAGAGAATACAGCAAAGTTGCTAGACACAAAATCAACTGGCAGGTGCGGTGGCTCACGCCTGTAATCCTAGCACTCTGGGAGGCCCAGGAAGGAGGATCGCTTGAGGCCAGGAGTTAGAGACCAGTCTGGCAATAGCGAGACCCTGTCTCTACAAAAAATAGAAAAATCAGCCGGGCGTGGAGGTTGAAAGCCTGCCAAACAGGAAGGAAGGAAGGAAGGAGGGAGGGAGGGAGGAGAGAAGGTCAACTTTGAAAAAGAAGAGTGAAGCGGAAAAGTGGGAGGGATGTTTCCCGACAGGGTTCTAGGTGCGCCATGAAGCCATCTCGGTGAGGAGCATGGTGTTGCCTAGTACCAGAAAATCCCGCAAGAGCTGCCAGCAGGAACATTTCTATCAGGAATTTAACTTATTACCTAAAAGCAAGTCCTTCCTGTGAACAAGAAAAGCTGGGTTTCAAAGTGCAGGCAATGGACAGGGAAGAAGCCCAGGAAGGCAACAAGCAGAGGAGGAGGAGGTGCTCGAAACAACACGGTGGGAGAACGTGACTTAAACAGTGAGTAGCTGTCACTGCGGCTATCAGAGTGGAAAACGGTAGCAAGTCGAGGACACCAATGTGGGAGAGGCTGGTGCTCCTGGTAAATGGAAAACAGGTATAAATTGTGGCCCAGAGGCCACCAAACAAATTTGTCTGGGCCAGCCCACATACAGGGGAGGGTCCAGACACCCGTCCCCAGAGAAGGGCCCAGCGGAGGTGCCCACATGGGCTCAGAGCCATGGGGAGAGGCGACAGGTGTGAGCCCCACGGTGTGGTGGGCAGGTGGGAGAAGCGAGGAGAGACGAGCTCCGCAGCCGGGCACAGTCTGGGGACAGGACGACCACACACACTTCCCGGAGGACTCCCGGGGCCACGCCTCGTCCAGGCTCAGAGGGCCCGGTGAGGGGCTAACAGGGAATCCCCCAACAGGCTGCACAGAGACACGTCACGGTTTTCTATTTCACCAAGCACATGTGTGCTTGCATGAGATGTTGCTTTTGGGCACCAGTGGTTCAGGCGTGGCTCCTAAGGCTTGTCCACGTGGCTTTGGGTGGCTGATGCTCAGTCACTGTTGGAGCCCGATGGGGGACCCTGCACCTGGGGGCTGATTCTGCCGCTCGCTGGGCCATATTCCCAGTGGAGGGCTGGTGGGTGTGGTTCTCTGCATCTCTGCACATTTATTTATCTGTTCCATCTCTCATCCTGTGATTTTGGGCACCCGTCACGTGCTGGTGCTGTTCTGGGGGGCGGACACTGGTTGGGTTTACAATTTTTGCTCTGATGGGCGGGGCTGCTACGACCTTCTCCAGCACCTGCCCAGCTGCAGGTGTGCGAGCAGATGCTCTCCAGGGTCTTCGCGGAGCCCTCGCGTCCTCAGGGTGCAGGCCCACGGCAGGGCGTCATGCTGAGCCCAGCTCCCCATGGCTCTCACCACGGACCTGGTTCTGCCCAACTGCAGGGCGCCCCTCCCATACACCGGGGACCCTTTCTCCATCCCAGGAGGCCCCATCACCCTTTCCTCACTGTGTGCTCCTGTGTCTGGGAGGACAGAACGGTGCTCCCAGCCACGCAGGTCTGGGGTGGGACACAGGCGATGGGACCACCAGGCTAACCCGATCCAGGGACGGTCCCTCTGCCTGCGCCAAGACAGCCTGCTTACCGGGACAGCCTTCTAGTAACTCCCGGTTCTGGGGAGGTGCGCCCCCAAGCTGTTCTCCAAGGGGGGCCCCCTGCCCTGACCCCGGGGTTCGTACGCAGACCTGCGGGGCTCTGACTATGGAGAGGACCTCCCTCTCCATGACTTCCGGTCTCGAGCACGGTCCGGTCCTTCATTTATTGAGGGTGTCTTTAACAAGAAAGTGTCATCATTTTCTACCAGTGTTGCAGATCTTTTGCTACATGTATTTCCAGGAACTTTATATGTTAATTCCATAAAATGATACCTGCATTTTATTTTATTTTATTTATTTTTTTTTTTTTTGAGACAGAGTCTCGCTTGTTGCCCAGGCTAGAGTGAGTGCCGTGGCGTCAGCCTAGCTCACAGCAACCTCAAACTCCTGGCTCAAGCAATCCTGCTGCCTCAGCCTCCCAAGTAGCTGGGACTACAGGCATGCGCCACCATGCCCGGCTAATTTTATATATATATTAGTTGGCCAATTAATTTCTTTCTATTTATAGTAGAGACGGGGTCTCGCTCTTGCTCAGGCTGGTTTCGAACTCCTGACCTCGAGCAATCCACCCGCCTCAGCCTCCCAGAGTGCTAGGATTACAGGCGTGAGCCACCGCGCCCGGCTGATACCTGCATTTTAAACTACACTTTTGATTTTTCCTTGCTGGTGGAAATAATGTTTTTCACCGATTTTCACATCCAGCAGCCTTGCCACACAACCTCCACAGTCCCAGTCATCTAATTCAGTGGAAAATCAACCCTCCTGCACATGATGGCAGTTTGGGTTCCTCGTGTGCCTCATTTTCTGTTTTTCTTGCCTCACAAGACGAGCTAAGTCGTCCTCAGAGACCCCACATGCTGTTCCGGGTCTTGCAGGAAGCGTGCTCAGCATTTCACACAAAGCAGGTGGCTTGTTTAGAGGCACCTCTGATCAGGTCCTGGTTTGAAATGAGATTTTTCTCTTTTGGTGTCATAATTTAAATGACAACATTTTCCCGTTTTTCTTACATGTGCAAAAGACGACCGTGTCTTACCATCAACAGCATCACAGACCTGATGAGATGTGCCCTTACGTCACTGCTGATTTTTAGGAAGTGTTTTAAAAGACATGTTAAAAATATCGTGTATCAGTAAATCCACCAGAAGCAATTAAAAGAGTCCAAGAAAGACAATGCTTTCCTTCAGCAGCATCAATACAATTCTCAGCATTTGTCAAACTCAAAAGACATGACAAAAACTACATGTTTCTGGCCAGATGCAGTGGCTCATGCCTGTGATTCTAGCTCTCTGGGAGGCCGAGGCAGGAGGATTGCTTGAGCTCAGGAGTTTGACACCAGCCTGACAAGAGCAAGATCCCGTCTCTACCATAAATAGAAAGAAATTAGCCAAACAACTAAAAATAGAAAAAAATTAGCTGGGCACAGTGGCATGTGCCTGTAGTCCCAGCTACTCGGGAAGCTGAGGCAGGAGGATCGATTGAGCCCAGGAGTTTGAGGTTGCTGTGAGCTAGGCGGATGCCACGGCACTCTAGCCTGGGCAACACAGTAAGACTGTGTCTCAAAAAAAAAAAAAAAAAAAAAAAACATAAAAACTACATGTTTCTAACTTAACAGACAACCTTCATGACACCCGCGCTGAAGCCACCACACTGGGCGTCCCCCGCAAGACCCCGAGCTCGAAACCCGTCACGGCCATGAAGCTTCGCAGTCACTTACGTTTATTGCTGACGGGTTCAGAACCAGTTTGCATCCGAACCATATTAAACACGTGGTAGTCACAGCGAATGTGGAAACAAACAGTATCTGAAAGTTGGGAATCTGCAAAATAAGACAGGAGGAGTTTTGCTTCTTGGAATCGCTAAAGAAACGAAAGCAACACCACCACCAAACTTCAGATCATTAACTAAAAGTAGTCAAGATGGTGACAGGTGAGGGCCTCTCCCCACCCCTCTTGCAGGCAGGGGTCAGGGCAGGAAGCCCTACAGTCTCAGTGCGACCTCTGGGACCCCCCTCGGCACCCCAACTGTCGGCCTCGGAGGACTGGCCCAGGCTGGACTCACCGCGTTGATGTTTTTCCTGGAGACGGCGAAGCTCACGAGTGCTGAGGGGACGCACTGCAAAGAAACCAGAGCGGCTGAGCCACGGGTCCCCGCACCCCTGCAGGCCACAGCCGCCACTTTGATAAATGTAACATTCTAGTTTCCGGAATGATCCGAATCGCTTCATCACAACGTGACTGCCAGTCCACCTGACGCAGGGGCTTTGCTTGACGTAGGACAGCCCCCGGATGCTTCAAAATAATTTATTCTGAGAAAAGCTTTTATTTTTCTGATGAGCTAGAAGACGTTTGACAATGAACACTAGTCTAGCTGGACGCGGTTCGAAGTCCGGGATGCAACTATGAAAGCACAAGGCAAGGGACGGTCTTAGCTGAAGAGTTACCCAAAAAGGAAAAAGAATCTACTCAGGGCGTTCTTGTCCCGCTGCGACCCCTAGGCCAGGAGTTGGGGCGGCGGCCCAGGTGGGCCCAGGTGGTCAGGCCATGGGCCCCAGAGGGGGCAGAACCGAGCCGTGTGAGGGGCGAGCACAGCAGGGTCAGGCGGGAGGCGGGGGACGCCCACAGTGGCCTGTGCGGGTGTCAGCTGGGTGGGAACGGACTCGGCGTGGAACCCACACGGGGGCCTTGAGGGCCGAGGGCTGGGAAGGAGGGGGTAAGGGGGTGAGCAGGGACAGCGGCAGAGGCTGGGAGGGCTGTCCCAGGGGAGGACGAACAGCCCAAGAGAAGGTTTTCCAGAGTGCAGCAGGGAGAAGCGTCACATTCCCCCAAGGAGATTCGTTCTGAGGGAGCAGAGACCCCAAGACCCAGAGACCCGGGACACAGGGTGTGGCACGGGGTTAAGGAGAGCATGTGTCTGCTCTTGTTTGGAGACATTTGGGGACACAGTCTCCAACCCTGTCCTTGCAGGTGGGAGGGCGGAAGCAGGAGCCCGGGGCATCACGCCTGTGCTGTCATCAGAAGCAGGGCTCCCCGATGACACACACGAGACCCCAGGAAATAGGGTGCTCTGTGCTCAAGCTGCCAGCGCCCTGGGGAGGAGGGGGCAGGGGTACTGGGGGGCAAAGGTCAGTGGCCGTCTCTGCTCCCCTCCAGAGAGGACCAGTGGGCACCCCCCATGGGCCCCACAGAGCTTCAGGAGGAGGTGGGGTGCAGCCCCAGACCCCAGGGCAGGTTCCGGCCAGCTGGAGCAGGACACAGCCCTGTATCGGAATCAAAGTGCTATTTCTTGCACAGGCCCCTGCGGGGTGAGATTCAGACCTGCTCCATCAATAATTCTCACAAGTGGTAAATCTTATTTGAAACCAAAGTCACACAGAGACTCTGAACAAGGCACAAGTGACAGAAACCTGTAAATCTCAGAGCAAAGAAACTCAAGTGCACGACAGTGAGCTTGGGCACTGCCAGCCAGTGCTGGGGAATGTTGCTTACAGAGCCTGCCGCGCAGCGTAAGTAATCCATCTCAGAGGGGAACACGTTCCCCAGGTAGAGCGAAAACCCCGAGGTCACGAGAAGGCAACTCTGCAAAAGAGTGATATGAATTCAGGTTAAGATGTAGCCCCATCTCAGACACCTGGGGAAGGAACACTGACCCTGTGATCGCAGCTCAACAGCTCTGAGCCCAGTGCCTTACCAGCACCAGCTGCCCCTAGCCCTGGATCCTGCCTGGCTTGGACACCTCCCCGCAGGGCGGACACAGTCCACAAATGGACTGGCCTCCCCGAGAGTCAGGGCATGGACTCTGATTTTGGGGGACAGGAGGGAGTCTGGCAACACTTAAAGCAAGTCACAGAGCCTCTCCCCAGAAGACACCCAACACGTGCGATTCCAGGGGCTTCAGGACCCACCCCCAGGTCCGGGCAGCAGCCTGGAAAACAACGATGCCTGTCCCACTGCTGCAGAAGCTAATCCAAGCTGCCATCTGGGAAAGGACCCCGAGAGTCGGTGGCTATGGCCACAAGGGCATCGCACAGGCAAGGCCCTGGCAGGAGGCAGGGCTGGCTCTTGGCACACTCTGGCCAAAATGACGCTGATCATCTAGGCATCCTTGTATCTGTGTACCCGGGAAATGTCCCAGGGTCCCAGGGAAGACCCCCAGCTGCTTGGTGCTGCCCTGCCTGCTACAGCCCTGTGGCCCCTTTGCAGGGGACTCCCCTCCACGACCCCCCCCCAAGAGTCAAGGGTCTTAGAGGCCACCCTGGCCCGGTACACAGCCCTGTGGATTCAGTGTGGCCCCGGGACTGTCCCTCCCTGGGGGGACATAGCCACAGCCCAGAGGCCAAATCAGGGCCAGTGCCAGATACTCAGGAATTGAGAAAAATAATTCAGAGAACACGTAAAACAAACAGGTCGGCACCCAGGGCTGCGCAGCAGCAGGATGGGTCAGCACCACTCCCCCCGCCCCACCTAGGAAGGCCACACAGCCCAGGGGACCCTCAGGGACCAGGGCAGGCTACTCACCCCCATCAACACGGAGAAGACCCCCGCCTTGTCACTGAGGCACCGGGGCACCCTCTTGGACAGCTGAAGGTCTCTAGGCTCCGTGTCTGCCGTGTAGCCCACAGGGTGCGGCCGACCCCTCTCCAACGTGGGCATCCGGTCATAGGCCAGGTCCTCCCTGAACGGCTCCTCCCGAGTCATGGCCCTGGGGGACAGCCGGCCAGAGCAGTGACACCACGGCTAGAGCTTTCGGCCAGTGTCACGAGTTGTTTATGAAATTATCATCGCCTTTGACCACTTTGGAAAAACTTCAATTACAGTAAGTTGTTTTCAAGAAATATTTTCTTAACAAAGAAATATTGCTCACACTGGAGTGCTGCAAATTTGAAGGGAAAAAAAATAAGCATTTAGTTTTAAAACTGAGTAAAATCATTTTCCTCGTAAAACAAACCTCAATGTTCTGGATTCAGGGCGATTTTAGGCTTTAAATTTAGCCTCATTGATCCTGGTCCTGTGCGTACAATGCCTTCTGACTTCCACTAGCGGCTCCGTCTGCGACCCCAACACGCTGTGGACGCAGCTTGCTCCAGGTGGAAACTGAAGCAGAGATTGCAAATTCGCCTCCACCGCTTACCTCTCCTGTTGTTCCGGCCTTGGGAGCACTGGTATGTGGGTGAGGGGCTTCCAGCGAGAACTATTCACAAGTGGAACAAAAGCTCAGCAAAACTGTGCCCAAGCCAGGGGAGGCAGAACCGCTTCCTGAATTTCAATGAGGAGATGAATTGAGTGGATCCTAGGAACGTTCGCGTTGGTTGTTTCTCGAGCTGTTGTGTAACCACTGGCCCAGAGCAGTCTTAGCCCAACTGGGAAAGAAAGGGGCCTCCTGGGTTCCACTCACCCCAAGTCCCGGGCGCCACCATGGGTGCCTCAGAAGAAAGAAGCGCACCTAGGAATGGGATGCCACCAAGTGCACAGTCCTAGCAGGTCCTGTTTCTGAAACAAGCAACTTTCTGTTCAAAGGTCTTGTCCGTCTTTTTCAAGCAGCCTTTTTCTATCCCCCGTGACCACACAATGGAAGCTTCCTTCACAAGGTCACACAAACGGTTCACGCACTCACTTGGCCGGCATGGCCCTTGGCCTGCTCAGGATTCAGCCCTGGCGGTTCCTGTGGGCAGCCCTAGTGGCTGGCAGGCACGGTCCCGCTGCATCCTTTATTTCTGCTCAGCAAGCAGAGAAAAGGGACATGAATGTTTCACCCAGAGACACTGGCACCCTGACAGTTACAGCGACAGATTCTTTGTGCACATTGTAAAAAGGCCAAAGTGTTCCGAAAAATCAGCTCCTTAAACTGTGAACCCACATTAAATGTGGGCAGAGTCCTCAGATTTCAAATCATGGGATAGTCCATTGTCTTAGTTTCAACTAAGCAAGAAGGATTAGAAATAACTTTCACAAACTACAACCTATGGAGCCAAGAGCTATTGTGAACAGACAAGAAACCTCCCACACTTCTTCACCGACGTCTTTTAAAGCAATAAACAGGATTAATGGGATTTGATCTGAGCAGACTGACCCTTCTGTTTCTTTTTGTTTGAAAAGAGAATGTTAATCACATGTCACCATTTCTGTGCCTTTCCAAAGTTCTTCTCCACTGAGAAATGCAAACACACTGCCTTGAGTCAGAGGTTGCAGAGCAAGCCCCTCTGGTCCTTGTTCCTGCTGGCAATGCTGGTTTCTAGAACAAGTCCTGTTCTCACACACCGTCTTCAAACTGTTGTTCCTAAAGGGCCCTTCCTCCCTCTCTCCTGCCAAGGTCCCCACACACTTCCACATTTACACAGCCATTCAGCAAGCATTTACGGAGTGAGCAGAGCAGGCCACATGCGTTCACGCTGCAACGAGAGCGAGGAGCACACGGGATAGACAGTTACTGTGCCGCACACAGCACACTCCATTCTTCCCATGAGAGAAAGAGGGGAGGTTCGGAGCCAGGGCAGGCCCCAGGGAGAGGGAGGCGTGTGGGCATCGTGCAGAAGGAAGCAGGGGACGCTGGCAGAGCTGTGCAAAAGCTGCAGGCGGGAGGTGAGGCAGGTGCATGTCTGGAGCGTGGGCGCAGTGGGGCACCCAGGAACCAGGCACCTGTGGGCATGGGGTTAACTAAAAATCAATTATCGAGGTTTGTGCTTTGGAAAAAAGAGAGCTCCATTTCTCATACAGGGCAGCAGCCTTCGGGGCAGCCATCCCCACAGGTTGGGTGGGAAGCTGAGCTCTGGTGCTTCCAAGAAGAGACAAAAGGGGACAGGATTGCACACCGAGCGGGGTGGTCAGACTCACGTATTCTTCGAGCTACAGGAGTCGTGAGTACTCGTGAAAGGAAATCACACACCCAACTGTGCTTTATCCTCTGCCGGTGATGGCGGGAACTCGGTGTTAAGGTGTTTCTGGGCCCCCTAGGCCGGGAGGCGTCCGCTCAGTAGCAGAGAGGGCTCAGGACTGTTTCCAGGCGACAGGAGACCGCGCGGCCTTGGCTCTGGGACCGACCCACCGCAGGGCCGGGATACCGTCACCCCCAGCCTGGGCGGGGAGCGGCCAGGCCGCAAGGCAGGGGCCGCCGGGCACCGCAGAGCCGACGCCATCCGCTGCCAGGGGACTTGGGCGCATCCCGCCTGAGTGAGACCTCAGGGCCAAGCGCGAGACCCAGGTTATGGCGTCGGACTCCTCCGACCCGCCGCCATCTGTCTACCTAGCGGCAACAGCCGGGAAAGACAGGCCCCGGATGCAGATGCGCGCGCTCCGACCCTCACTCTGACGTCACTCCCACCGGGCCCCTCGCCCCCTCACGTGGCCACAGAGGCCAACCGCCAACCTCTAACCGCTATGCTGGTGGCACTCGCTAGGACCCCATTGGCCCAGGGCAGCAGAGGAAGGCGCAGGCGCAGGTGCAGGGACCCCATTGGTCCAGGGCAGTGGGAGGAAGGCGCAGGCGCAGGCGCAGCGACCCCATTGGCCAAGGGCGCGCAGCTGCGCCGGCCGCGTGCGGCGGGAGTGCGACGTGCGTGGGCGGCGGGCGAGGTGGCGGGCTATGTTGCGCCTCGCGGCCAAGCTGGTGGCCTTCTTCTGGAGGAAGGCGGACGCCCCCGATGAGGAGGCCGGGCGGTCGGGGCTGGAGCTCGCGGAAGGTGCCGCGGGGCGTGGGCGCGGGGCCTGGTCCTGCCAGGCGTCGGGCCGGCCGGGCGGGGGCGGGGGGCGTCAGGGCAGGGCGACCTGAGAGCCGCGGGCCTCGCTGTTGCCCGTTGCCCCAGGGACATCTGTGGGGCTGACACCCGCCTCTGCGGTTCCCGTCCTTACCGCGTGCCTTCCACGTGTATGGGTGAAATGAGAGAAATCAGCGCTTGGTGTTCCTTTTAACGCACTTGTTTCACGGAGCTTCGGTAGAATGGGGACAGTTTGAGAAATGCTGACGTCATATGTTGTCTTTTCAGTTCTAAAATTAAGGCACGTCCTCTCCTTGGTCGTCTCTCTCCCTCTGTCCAGCGTGACATAAAAAGATTTTTTAACTACACATAGCATTCTGCATGATTTTTGGACATTTGTGCCCTTTTAGGTCTGTGCCACTATTGAGCCGTTTTTCCTTATTTCCGCTTTGAATTCGTATCTGTGCCAAGTAACGTGAAAAAAAAGTCTCTACGTATTTTTCCCTTTTCTCTGTCATTGTCATCACTTGGCAGTTGTGTGTTTAGAACGCTCTGAAAAATGAGAATCTCAGCCATCTTAAATTGTCCTTTCAGAATGTAACGAAATCACATTCCTCTCTTCAAGTCGATTTTGAACCCATCTTCCTAAAGTCCAGGGTGTACTTACAATTTTGGCAGGTTGCCCCTTTCCTGGCCCTCAGAATTACGCAGCAGCTTCCTCCCAAGTTTACTGATGTGTTCTCCCAATTTGTCCTATAGGGGAATTGAATTCACAATAGTGATTCCCTAGTTGCTCTCTTTAGCCCATAAAAAAGGTGGAATTCTCCACAAGAGAAGCCAGAAACAGCATCAGAAATGTTGCCAGTTGTTGAAGGCAGTGTGGTAAAGGCCATCTGTGTCAGATGTGCAAGTAAATGACTTTGTAACCGAGAGCAGTTTGCTTCGTTGGTCTGGTTTCATCTGTAAACTACTGGCTTTCAAGGACAGCTTGAGCTCCAGCTCCACAGGACACTAGGATTCCATGCCTGTAATGTGACTTGGGTACCCGAGGTTTTTCCTATGTCTCTTGAGGTGCATCAAGGACTCAGAGGACAGTGGCTGCAGCAATGGTTCCTGATCTGTCACTGAGTGGCTGAGGGCTTGGGCCAGATTAGCCTGCCCAAGCCCTGAACCTCTGCCAGAGCCATATTTATAGAGACATTCCCCAGTCTTCTGAGACTGCTGGTGTGGCTGGTGACAGTGATGAAAGAAAATAATTGTAATAACTGCATGTTAATGACCCCCAGATGCTGACAAGTAACAATTCATGCTGCACCCTAACCTGTGTCAGCCACTCGGAGGTTTATACATGCACATGTGTTGTTACTTAACCCTTCCAACAGCTCCCTTGGGTAGCTATAATTACTGTCTCCATTTTACAGATGACAGCAGGCACAGAGTGGTTAAGGACCTTGTCCAGAGTCACACAAATGGCAGTAAAAGAGCTGGGAGTCGAACGCAGGCAGAGCCCTAGGCTCTGGAGTCAGGGCTTTCTCCACCACGTCCACCACCTGTGCCCCTCAGAGGAACCTGGCTATCTGCCTCCTAAACACTACATTCCGAACATGATACTGCCGGGCAATGTCTCTGTCTCTCAAATCCAGCGTGTCAGGCTCCTGTCCCTGATGGTCACTCGAGTTCTCTGCCTTTCCCTCTAGGGCTTAATCGTAGTGTGGGCTTGCATTTGTGGCCAGTGTAACCTCTTTGTTTACCTATCTCAGGTGACACTAAGTTGAAAACCATACAAGGTGTTGTGACAAGGTACTGCAGTGATTATGGCATGATTGATGATTTGATCTACTTCTCCAATGAAGCTGTGACTGGCAAAGTGCTCCTGAATGTTGGACAGGAAGTTATTGCAGTTGTGGAAGAGAATAAAGTGTCTAACGGACTAAAAGCAATCAGGGTAAGATCTGAGTTCATTTCGAAACAATCTGTCTTCACCATGGGGCATCATGTTGCTTTTCTCTTGTTTAGTTAACCTCTCAGACATGACTTAGCCAAGAGGGAGTGAGTAGAATATGCATTCGAGGGGCTGCTTTTATTAGGGTGTGTGTGTGTGTGTGTGTGTGCACGAGCGCACATGCATTTTGAGACGGAGTCTCTGTTGTGCGGGCTACCTACTGTATGATGGCATCATCATTAGCGCACTGCAACCTCAAATTCCTGGGCTCAAGCATCCTCCTGCCTCATCCTCCCAAGTAGCTGGGACTACAGGCATGTGTCACCACACACAGCTAATTTTTCTATTTTGTGTAGAGATGGAGATCTTGCTGTGTTGCTCAGGCTGGTCTTGAACTCCTGGCCTCAAGCGATCCTCCTGCCTTGGCCTTCCAAAGTGCTAGGATTACAGGTGTGAGCCACCTCACCCAGCTTATATTTTGTAATGATTTCTGTTTGAAAAAATAAATGTTGGTCATTGTAAATCATTCAAAAAGCATAGAAATTTATAATTCAGAAAGTGAAGTTTACCTGTAAATTCATGCCTTGGAGAACAGTTAGAAGAGAACAGGTCTAGTTCTGTTCTTCTGGTGTTTTAAAAATTGTTGTTAAGAATGATTGCTATTGCACCCTTTGTTATCTGATTAGGAGAGATAATTAGACTATTATTCAGCAACTTCCTTTTTTATGTAAAAACAGATTTTTATAGTATAAATTAATGGATGTAGAATTGCTAGGTCAAGGGGTATGCAGATTTAACAATTTAATGGTTATCTTCAAATTAACACCCAGTAATGTACTAATTTATACTCTCAGGAGCAGAATGAGAGACTAGTTATTACCTAGTGTTGACAATGTTGTGGATATTATTAATCTTTGAAATCTTTGCTAATCTAATAAGTGAAAAGCAATCTCATAACTTTAATTTGCACTTAGGCCTTAAAGTACATTAACTTATTAGGGAAAGTAGAGCTTTCTAAGGAAAATTATTATATGAAAATGTAGGCATTTTCCCCAAGGTCGTCTTTTGACTTTGTTTTATGGAATTTCATTGTATGTAGTTAAATGGGTCTTTTCTATGTGGCTTCTGGACTCTGCAGGAATCCTTAGAGAGGCTTATTCATAACACTTCCTATTACAAGTATTCTCTCAGATTTTTCTCTGAAAATCATTTATCAACATTTGCATATTTAATCTGGAATTTATTTTGGTGCACAGAGAACAAACCAGGCATTCTTTGCTAATGGGTAACCAGTCATTCCACTGAGGCCCTTATTCTTTCCCTGCTGATCTGGAAGGTTCCTGTATCACACACTGGAATCCCACATGAATGTGATGGTCAGTCCTGAGGGCTTGTGCTATGGGCCTCAGTGACATGGTTCCTGTAATAGATGGTAAGGAGGTTTCCCTTCCTACTCTTATTTCTGGATGAAATTTTTTGGTGAGTTATAGAAATTTTTGGTTGTTTTTCCATCTCTGCTTGTATTTGCTTTGATTGACGCTGAGTTTATAGATTCCTTTTAGGATAATTGATATTTGGATCATACAGAGTCTTTCCCAACCACAAATAATTATGTCTGTCCATTTAAGCCTTTCTTTGTATTCTTTTTTAGTTCAATAGTTTTCTTCATTTAGGTTCTACAGATTTCTTAATTTTATTTCCAATAATTTTTGTGTGTTTGTTCCATTATAAGTATAATTTTACATTGTATTTTCAAATTTTTTTCTTCCTATATAGAATAGGTGTTGATTTTTTAAATGTATCTTGGAAGCTGAAAAACTTACTGGGCTCTTAACTGCTTATTAAAAATTGGCAGGGGGGAGGGGGAGGGGGGCGGGTATATACATATATAATGAGTGAGATGTGCACCATCTGGGGGATGGACATGCTGGAGACTCAGACTTGTGGGGGAAGAAGGGGGGGAAATGGGCATTTATTGAAACCTTAAAATCTGTACCCCCATAATATGCCAAAATAAAAAATAATAATAATAAAAATAAATAAAAAAATTCTTGAGATGCGTTTTATTACCATTATAGTTAGTAAATGCCATCTTAATGCTTAATGTCATCTTTCACACATTTAAAAAATAATGTGTACATATAAAAATAAAATAATTCAAATTCTACAATTGTACCGTTCAGTATGGTAGCACCAGCCCATGAGCGACTATTTAAATTTATTAAAAAGAGTAAATATAATACAATTTAAAAGTAGTTCCTCAGTTTCATTTGCCACACTTCAAGTGCTAAATGTAGCTAGTGACTGCAAATTGGGCTGCACAAATAGAGAACATTTCTGTTATTGCACAAAGTCCCGCAGGAAGCTCTGGCCTACAGGCTCTGAAATGGAAAGCGGAACCTCCCTCCTCGCTCCCCTCCTGCACTTCCACACCTCAGACCTCATGCTCTTCTTGGTTTCTGTTTTTAGCTCTTCTGGCAGATACTTGAGTCACTTGAACAATAAGCTTACATCTTTCCTTCATTTACCAACATTAGTCTTTACTGACTGACATGGGAGGTGTAGAAGTGGCTCACTTACACTACCCTCTTTGTTCTTCTTACAAATTTTTTATTGTATGTTTTTTCCTCCAAAGATTGCCTTTGCAACTTCAAATTACAGCGTAGTCCTCACTTTTTTATGTCTGTTAAAAGAAGTACTCTGGTTTTAGAATCATACAAAGGTGATCTGGGACTCAGAACCTTTGTGGATGCGTTCCTGGTTCTCTGAGCTGCTGTCATGTGGCTCACACATGGTCTTTCCCCAGCAGGTTCTCCCACAAAAGTCCCATTGATTTTTTAAGACACACCATTAATTTAATAATGATAATTTAAGATGGAAACATAAGTTGTGAGACTCATCTTGATCTCAGAAATGTTAAAATGTGGAAAACGGGCCTCTGGGTCTTTAGATGTCGCCGTCCTCTTGGTTCATTGGCTGTCCCTGCACTTGTTCCCAGTTTACACAGAGGAAGGACCTTCCTTAGTTATGGGAAGGAGTGTTCATCTGTACTCACAGTCCTTGCTTTTATAAATCAGTAATAGATTTTTCAAGTGCTTTTCAGCATCTTCCGGATGATCTTGTAATTTCTGTTTCTTTGAATTATTAATATGATGGAAAATATGAATAGTTTCCTAATATGAACCATCTTTACATTATGAATATGATCCCATTTGGTACAAATTTGAATATACCTCTGAGTTTTTTTCTTGTGATAAAATATATATACCATAAAATTTATCATTTTAATTATATTTAAATGTACAATTCAGTGGCATTACGTTCATTCTCATTGTACAACCATCACCGTGATATATTTTCAGAACTTTTTCAGTGTCCCAGTAGAAACTCTACCCATTAAACAGTTATTCACTGTGCTACTTTCTGTCTCTATGAGTCTGCCTATTCTAAATACCTCACACAACTGGAGTCACAGGGTGTTTATCCTTTTGTTACTTACGTTGTGCTTAAGTTACTTAGCTTAATGTTTCCAAGGTTAATCCTTGTAGCATGTATCAAAAGTACCTTTTTATGGTGGAATAATATTCCATTGTTGGATACATCACATTTTGTTTCTCCATTCATCTGCTAATGAACACTTGGGTTGTTTCTTCCTTTTGACTGTTATGATAATGCAGCTATGAACAAGTGTCTGTCTGAGCCCCTGTTTTCAGTTCTTGGGGTACATACCTAGGAGTACAATTTCTGGGTCATGCGGTAAAACCATGTTTAACTCTTTGAGGAGCCAACAAACTGTTTTGCACAGTGGCGGCACCATTTATATTCCCACCAACAGTGTAGGAAGGTTCCAATTTTTCTATATCCTTGCTAGCACTTACTATTTTCATTTTTCTTTCTGACAGCCATTCCTAGCAGGTGTGGTGTGGTATCGCATGGTGGCTTTGATTTGCATTTCCCTGATGATTAGTGATGTTGAGCATCTTTTCATGTGATTATTGGCCATCTGTGTATCTTCTTTGGAGAAATATCTGTTCAAATCTTTTGCCCATTTTTAAATTGGATTGTTTTCTTGTGGAGTCGTAGGAATGCTTTATATTTTCTGGATAGTAATCTCTTATCAGATACACAGTTTGTAAATATTTTCTCTCATTTGTCTTCTTCATAGTATCCTTTGATGTACATAAGCCTTAAATTTTGATGAAGTCTAATTTGTCTTTTTTGTTGTTGTTGCCTATACTTTTGATGTCACACTTCAGAAACCATTGATTAATCCAAGATCATGAAGATTCCCCAGTTTTCTACTAAGAGTTTTATAGTTTTTAAAAATTTAAGTCTTTGATCCATTTTGAGTTGATTTTTATATATGGTGTAAGGTAAGGGTCCAACTTCATTCTTTTGCATGTTTCTGAAAAGACTGTAACAGAGAATATGCCTCCCTGCCGAATGGTCCTGTGGCCCTGTCGAAGATCAGTTGGACCGTGTGTGAGGGTTTCTTTCTGGGCTCTCTGTTCTGTTCTGTTCTGTTCTGTTCCTTTGGTCCATATGACTGTCCGTATGCTGGTGCCACACTTGTTTGATAACTGTACATTTGTAGGAAATTTTGAAATTAGGAAGTATGAGACCTCCATTTGTTATACCTTTTCAAGACTGTTATGGCTATTCAGAGGCCCTTGAAATTCCTTGTGAATTTTAGGGTGAGTTTTTCTGTTTATATGAAAATACACTGATGGGATTTCATTAGGAATTACATGGACTCTGTGGGTGCTCCGGGTGTTATTGTCATCTTAACAATACGAAGTCTTCCAGTTCATGAACTTGGGTGTCTTTCCATTTATTAATATTTAGGTCTTTAATTTCATCCATCAATATTTTGTAGTTTTCAGTGTGTAAGTCTTCCATCTCCTTGGTTAATTCCTAAGTATTCTATTCTTTTTGATTTTGCTATAAATGGAGTTGTTTTGTTAATTTTCTTTTGAGATTCTTCATTATAAGTTTATAGTAATAAAACTGATCTTTGTGTGTTGACTTGATATGTATCAAGTTACTTTGCTGAATTCACTTATTAGCTCTAACCATTTTTTTGTATGTGTGGAATTTTTAGAGTTTTCTACAGATAAGATCATGCCATCTGTGGGCAGTAATTGTATTACTAGTTAACAATTTGGACACTTTTTTTTTTTTGAGACAGTCTTGCTTTGTTGCCCAGGCTAAAGTGAGTGCCGTGGCGTCAGCCTAGCTCACAGCAACCTCAAACTCCTGGGCTCAAGTGATCCTCCTGCCTCAGCCTCCCAAGTAGCTGTGACTACAGGCATGCACCACCATGCCTGGCTAATTTTTTCTATATATATCAGTTGGCCAATTAATTTCTTTGTATTTATAGTAGAGACGGGGTCTCGCTCTTGCTCAGGCTGGTCTCGAGCTCCTGAACTCGAGCAATCCGCCCACCTCGGCCTCCCAGAGTGCTAGGATTACAGACGTGAGCCACTGCACCCGGCCTTGGACACTTTTAATTTCTTTTTTCTTGTATAATTGTTCTGGCAGGAACTTCTAGTATAATGTTGACTATAAGAGGTGAGAGTGGGTATGGCTTTCAGTCTCTCACCATTGATTGCATATGGTATCAGCTGTGGACTTTTTAATATTACCTTTAACATGTTGAAGGAGTTTCCTTCCATTCCTAGTTTATTGAGTATTTGTGTCATGAAAGGATACTGAATTTTTTCAAATGATTCTTCTGTATCACTTGAGATATTCATGTAATTTCCCCCATCCTATCAATGTGGTGTGTCATGTTGACTGATTTTCACGTTGAACCACCTTTGCATTCTGAGATGAACTTCACTTAGTGGTGGTGTGTAAGCCTTTTAACTCAGTTTGCTAATGTTTTGTTGAAGATTTTCATATCTATATTCATAAGGGATTGCTGTAGACTCAACAGTGGTATCCCCCAAAATTCATATGCTGAAATTGTGACCCCCAGTGTGATGTTATTAGAAGGTGGGGGCTTTGATGGTGACTGAGTCATGAGGGTGAAGCCCTTATAAGACATACCCTGGAGAACTCCCCCTCCCCGTCTATCAGGTGAGGCTGCATCAAGAAGATGTCATGGATGAAGCAGGATGAGGACGCTCGCCAGACCCTGGACCCACCAGCCCCTTGATCTCAGAATTCCCAGCTTTGTTGGACGAAAACAGGGATACTGGCCTGTAGTTTGCTTTTCTCATGGTTCTTTTATTATGGTTTGAAAAGCTGCTTGTCTGTCCTACAGGTAGAAGCTGTCTCTGATAAATGGGAAGACGACAGCAAGAACCACGGTGGCGGGCTGTCAGACTCCAGACCCCGAATGCTGATCGGATGTGTGACTTCCCTAATGGAAAGTGCCGGCTACATCAACCAGACCACGTACTTCTCTCTGGAAAGTGTCTGTGAAGGTATACTAGAGGGTCTCTGTTTCACATCTAGAAGTTTCTGTGTCTTAAATAATTTCATGTATTAAATCTGAGATGGCTACGCATGTCCCTAAAAGGATCAAATTTGGACTTTGTTGAGAGGGTTTTGGGGCTAGATGTCTTCTCCAGGTGCTCACTTCATGCAGAGGCTCTTGAATGTAGGGTGGACTTGTCGGGGGGCATTCACTGTTTAAACTTATGCTTTCATTTGTTTTATGCTGGTTTGTTGAATGCAGTCTCTAATCTCTCTAATATGTAGTTCCTTGCATATAATTATTAAGTTATTAACCTAAGTCAACAATGTTACAGGTATACATACATATAAAGTATCTTTTTAAAGTACTCCAGGCCAGGTGCAGTGGCTCACACCTGTAATCCTAGCACTTTGGGGCGCTGAGGTGGGAGAATTACTTGAGGCCAGGAGTTCGAGACCAACCTGAGCAAGAACAAGACCCCATCAGTACAAAAAATAGAAAAATTAGCCAGTCGTGGTGGCACTCCCCAGCTACTCAGGAGGCTGAGGCAGGAGCATGCTTGAGCCCAAGAGTTTGAGGTTGCAGTGAACTATGATGGTATCAACTGCACTCTAGGCTGGGTAACAGAGTAAGACTCTTGTCTCAAAAAAATAAAGTACTTCAAATGTTTTTAAATATTTGGGCTTGGGGATAATCTTGTACCTTTCCAAGAGGGTATACCATTTTTAATTGCTGTTATTTTTGGCCAATCTAAGGTTTTGTTTTTATGCCTAAAGAAATAATTTGTCGATGCCATTTATTGCGTTTAATTCAACAGCTGTTTACTGTGCACCTGCAGCCTGCAGCAGTGAGTAAGGAGCTGGACACTCAGAGACTAAGAGGAGACTCAGCTTCTCCTCCCTATATATACGTTGTATCAGAGCAGGGTTGGGGAAGCTGCCTGGGGCAGTGCTTTCTGAGATGATGTCCACCTGCACAGCCTGCCAGTCTGCATGCTATAAGATGAGTAGGACTAAGGTCTTCTGCCACCTTCAGCACACTCAGGTGCCTGTAGCCTGGGAGCCAGAGAGCGATTGGCTCGGCCCACTACTTTATGAGAAGAGTAAAAGAGCGCTTTTGTTCTTTTTTCCTTGATTGCTAACCATGAAATCCCCAGGATGAAACTGATAGGTGACTATTGGGATTTTAAAATCTCTGCCCTGTCAGAGAAATTCTCAGTTCTTGGGAAGGACTTTTGTGATCGTCCAGGCCCCTCACTCACGCTCACAGGAAGCCCCTCCTGGGGACCTCACAGGGACATGTCTCAGGTGAGCAGACCAGGAAGCGCTTGATGCTGTGGATGTGGATGAGGCACAGAAGAGAAGGTTGCCTTGGGGAGTGAAGACAGGGTGGGATCCTGACCTCAGGCCGGGGGATTTCCTGGTACACAAAACCTCAAGTGAGGGGACTCAAGTTGTTCTCTCAAGGCTGAGAGAGAGCTATACGAATATGTCAAAATTGCTGCTGATGTGATCTCAAAAACTAATGACATGGCAAAAGAACATTCTTGAAAGAGAAACTACAATGTGAAAAAAAGATGATAATGGGACTCTAACATAGAGATCAGCACACTGTGCAGGACCAGGCGGTGCAGCCTGTAAGCAGTGCAAGGTCTCTACAGAAACCCTTCCCTCTGGGATGGAGGTGTCTGTAGCTGGAAGCAGCCAGGGACACACCTGAGCGAGAGGCTGTAGCTGTGTCCCCGTGAAACCTAATTTATAGTCTCTGACCTAGAGGTGAGAAAAGGAAAATTCTGCTAAATTTTTTCATTTACTTATGGGAAAGTTAGAAGATGCTATTTTCTTCTTGACGTTAATTCAACAAATACTGGTGTGCTCTCAGTGCTCAGGGAGAGCACTAGCAGAGGGTGGGGGATGACAGGGTGGTGACTTTGGGAGGGGCTCCCCTGCGTGGTGCCCAGCAGAGGCTTCTGTCCCCCCTCCCAGGCCACAGCTTTTGCGGAGCAACCCCTTTACAGCCAGAGCTATGGCCAGGTGACCTCATGATTTAGTGTCGAAACCAACACACATCTGAGAAGTGAAAGGGGTGTTAACATTAATTAAAATTAAATCATTTTGAAATATTTATATATTGGCTAATATTTTATTTTTTCATATAATTGACTAGAGTCTTCTTCAAAGTTGCATTTTGTGGTTGATGAATTTGGAATTGTAGGCACCTTTGGTTTACTATTTCATGTGGGCTATAACATTTTTAATTGAGGAAATATTAGTAAGTTCAGCAAATTCTACAAAATGTGAGATATTTACAATTCTGGGGGTTTTTTTCCTCTTAAAACATAACTATTTCAGCACAAACGTTTTCTCAGGTCCTCTTTTTGCCTCTATTCAGAGTACATAACTGTTCAACCATTTTTATAAACTTAAATTAATCAAATGCATTGTCTCTGTGGTTCTCCCAAGCGTGCGGGCCTCTTCAGTTCATCCATTGCAGAGACCCGGCTTACCCAGGGGAGTGCAGGCTTCTCAAAGTTGTGTTCTCAAGTCTAGTCTTAGGATTGTGGCTCTCATTTGTATGTACCCGTCAAGCTTCCAGGATCTGATTGGTTCATTTCTTCCATTGCTTTTGTATTTTCCTGTTTACTAGCTTTATTTTCAATAACTACAATTTGCAAAAGATGAAGAGTTTTGGCTCTACATTTATTAAATACTTTGATTAAAGATTTTCAGCTGATTTGAAAAACGTGTAACCGAAATTTGGAGGTCTTACTTTTAAAAAAAAAAGCACCCTGATAGGCCCTGGGGTGATTTACAGAATGGCTCTTCGGTTCCAAGCATTTGTGAAGTGCAGGTGGTGGGGGCCACAGACCCCACTGTGTGTTTGTGCATGCATGTGTGTGTGTGTGTGTGTGTTTTATTAATCTTAGCTCTGTCACAGGAGTTGTGTAGTTCAGTTACATACATATGCTTGTAAATTTTAACTGCTACAGCTTGTGTTCAGGTAATTGAACATGTAAGCATGTTTGGAGGCAAGGACCATGTGTGTGCCATCGGTTCCAAGTTCATTCCTGCTTCATAGGTTTCTTAATATGTGGGTGTCTTATTTGTATTGTGGTGCTTTTATTCCATCAAAATCATGTTATCACTATGAAAACAAACACTTTTATTTCCTGGAGTGGATTTTTAAACTGAATTTACAGTAGTATTCACAATAAGGCCAGGTATTTCTCCTTTAAAACAGTGCTCTGAAATCTTTATTTTGATTCCATGATTCTGATGGAAAAAAATCAGTTCTTTCAGTTTACTTGGCTTTTTCTTTAACTATTTATAGAACTGGCACATGAACCATTCCACTTTACTTTTCATGTATACCCAGGAAATATGGAATAAAAATTATCAAAATTATGGTAAATAATTATATGATAAATGAAGGTGTGGTTTACACACACTATCTCTACATTTGCACCTGTCTTCGTAAAGTACCAGCTGACCCTGAGGTCAGTGCTCTGCTGGGTCTGTCTCCTGTTTTCAGACGGTTCTGGGTGAACGTCTATGTCAGCAGACGTGTGGGCTCAGCTGTATGTTCGTAACTCGCTTTCTGGAGAAACAAACTCGGTATTCAGTTACATACTTTAAATTTTTGAGCTTATTACTTGTTATTGCAAAATAACAAAATTTGTAGCTAGCTGTCACTTTACTCCTTGTCCCATACCAGACCTGTGCAGATGTGCTCTCTGTTCTGTCAGGACAGCTGGGCCACTCACGTTGCTGCACCTGCAGTTTCCCACTAACTCTGCCCACTGGGGCCCAGTGACATCTCCTGTCCTGCAGGCCGTGGCTCGCCAAGGGACTGGCTGGGGCTTTCCCCACACCTGAGCAGGGATGCCTGTGTGCACGTCCCTCTGTCGCCAAGCTCCCTGCATGTGTCCCGGCAGGGCAGGATACAAACACTGTGTCAGAGAAAGTGGGAAGGGCACTAGCACCTGCCTCTGCGTGTGTGTTAATAGACCTGTGCACCACATGTGCACCAGTACCTTCTAGAATCTGGAGTCTCCAGCTCATTTTATTGCAGTGGTTAATAATAGTGCTTTGCGGTTTTTTAAACTGCAAAGTATGGAGAATATGCTAAACAGAAGAGACCTTGATATGATAGTTGTCTTTCTGGGTTCCCCTGCCATCCCTGGCAGGCTGGGGACGGCAAGGCTGTGGTTGGTCTCATGCTGGTAGAAAATGCTTTTTTTTTTTTTTTTTTTGGGGGGGGGACAGAGTCTCACTCTGTTGCCTGGGCTAGAGTGCCATGGCATCAGCCTAGCACACAGCAACCTCAAACTCCTTGGCTCAAGAGATCCTCCTGCCTCAGCCTCTCAAATAGCTGGGACTACAGGCATGCGCCACCATGCCTGGCTAATTTTTTCTATATATGGTTAGTTGGCCAATTAATTTCTTTCTATTTTTAGTACAGACGGGGTCTCCCTCTTGCTCAGGCTGGTTTTGAACTCCTGACCTTGTTTGATCCACCCATCTCAGTCTCCCAGAGTGCTAGAATTACAGGTGTGAGCCACTGCAACCAGCTGAAAATGCTTTTTAAAAAGTTCAGACATAGCTGAACTGTGACAGAAGTGATGTCAGTGTATCACAACTTGAGAGTCAGTTGTGTGCTCTAACATGGCTGGGTTTGCTCCTGGCCACGCAGGTTTCCAGCCCTGCAAGGGAGACTGGGTGGAGGCCGAGTACTGGATCCGGCCTGGCACGTGGAGCAGTGAGGCCGTGTCCGTGAAGCCGCTGAGGTACAAGCGCGTGGACAAGGTAGCGTGCCGACGGGCGGTTCTTCCCGTGTTTCTACCAGACCTGCTGTCGGGGATAATTTTCACAGCCCAGGATTTTCCTGGATGTGTTGGGAAGCCAAGATAAAGTTTAGTCTTGGCCAAAGAGGAGCCTGTTCTCCTACTGAAAATGTTTTGCCTCCTTTGGAAGTAGAGGCTAATCTAGAGTGCTGGCAGGATTAAGTTCTGAGGTGTGTGGATTGCGTGTGGAAGTGTTGTAAGGAGAAAGGCGTGTGTCGGAACTGTGGAGAAGGTGGGGCAGGAGGTGGGAGGTGAGCTTCCTGGCAGAGGCCAATGTGGTTTGGGGAGAAGAGACTGGGAGCAAGGGAAGTGTTCTCATGAGGGGCATGCTGTAGCCTCGACACAGACCCTTCTGCCCCTCAGCCTTAGGACAGGGCACCTTCCCACGTGTGTCACACTGTGGGTGTGGGTTCTATGGGGAGCACGGCTCCACCTCAGAGACTCAGCCCTGTCTGGGCCGTGGAGCGCTGGGCGAGCTGACACAGAGGCGTGCCTACAGGGCTCACCCAGCACCCGCGGCACGTGCTCTTCCATGACGTCCAGTCGCTGTGCCCACAGGTCTGCATCTCCAGCCTCTGTGGCAGGAACGGGGTGATGGACGACAGTATCTTCTTCTCCTTGGACTCTCTGAAACTGCCAGACGGGTACATTCCCCGGAGAGGTGACATCGTCAACGCAGTGGTGGTGGAGAGCAGCCAGTCGTGCTACATCTGGAGAGCACTTTGTATAACCCCCGTGAAAAGGCGGTAATCAGAAAATGCTTTTCTTCTTTGGGAGCGAAAGGCTTGATTTAAGTGTATTCTGAAGAGTTACTTTAGTAAGCTAGAAGAGGAGACATGCAGGTCCTGAGTCAGTGGTTAGAGTAGCCTTCTGGAATTTGACTGAAGGTAGCGTTTGGAGTCTCTCTTCATCCTTATCTTACCTGTTGGTGATTGATACTTTTGGTGGATTTGTATGTCTTGTTCCTTCACATTTCGACATTTTTACAAACACATTGAACATTGACATTATTAATGTGCCACATCTGTGCTGCAGGGACATGCCTGCTACCCATGAGTCGGAGAGTGTGATGGGGCTTCCCTGAGCCCCCCGTTCACACAGCAGCTCCAGCCCCGACCCCCCTCCCCACCTGCCTTTTCTCTTCCTCGTTTACCACCAGTGAGCCACTCACCCGTTTCTTTCTCTATCCTGTTGTTGTCTCACCCCCTCGGTAGCATGTGGGTTCTGTGTGGGGAAGGCATTTGCCTACCTCACCCACCTCAATATCTGGGTGCAGTCAGGCAGCCCATGTGTGACCCAGGCGACAGGTGTGTGTGGAAGTGGGGCGCCAGAATAGTGCTGCTAGGCAGGACTTCGGGACAGCTTAGCCTGGAAGAATCCCACAGCCAGCCCTCATCCTGCTGGCAGAGGCTTGTTTGGTTTCTCAGTGCCTGGGTCCGCTTCCCCACGAGACCCTGCTTTGCTGTTGGAGAGTGCCTCAGGGCAGGGAAGCCAGACGCAGGGCCCTCACCTGCTCTCTACACCGAGTGGCAACAGGAGTTCTGCCTTTAGCCCCATCTGCCAAGCCTGGTGTTGCCAGGAGGTAAGAGAGACCCAGGTGTGCTGACCTGCACCTTCTTCCGTGTCTGCATCGGGAAGAGGCTATGAATCCCCTTCTTGCATGGGACCCAGGAAGCGAGAGCCCCATGGTGTTGCCGTGGGCCCAGACTGCAACATTCTTAGGTGGTGCAGTCAGTCGCATGAGCCATGTGCCACTTCAAGGAAGCACCCACGTCATTAAACACACGCTTTCCTGACTCTTCTCTTTGGGCCAGAGTGTTTGAAAAAGACCTGTTTCTGCCCACCAGCCTTTCTGTGCTCTTCATCCCTGCTCAGGCCTCCCCACCATAGGGAGAAGCTTCGGAGCAGAAGCCAGGGAAACGCTGGCTACTCCTGGGCTTACAGCCCCCATGCAAGCCAGGCCGTTCCCCTGCACTCCTGACCCCATGTGTGAACCACGCACAAAATAGATGTCACAGAGTGAGCTTCCACAGCCCTCCCAGACCCCACACCTCCTGGGGTCTTCCCAGGAACTAAGCAGCCTGTTCTGTGGGTGGGTGAGTCACAAACCTGGCAGTGACTTACTTCCTCCTTCAGAGTCATCCCCCTCACCCCACCCTGTCTGCTAGCAGAAGTTGTCAGCTGACAGCAAGGGTCTGACTGCTCCCTGTGCTCCTGCACCCGGCCAGAGGCTGGAGGGAGGGGGTTATGTGTGCACCTGGTTGTGTAGGCCCCTGTGGAGGAGGACATGGCTGCATAGGTGCCAGCCCAGTGGCCATCACTGTGTGCTGGGAACCTCATGGGGTTGTGGGCAGGGCCAGGTTTGGGGCACTCGTCCTGGAGGCGCCATGTTCCCAGTGGAACCCCAGGGCCCAGCTGACCTTCTGGGAGTGCTGGGGACAAAAGTGTGGAGACCTGAGCCTGCTTCACAGTAGTGTCAATAGGAGATAGGTAAATGGGTCTTTTTTGAAGGGACAGTGAAAGCTTCTCATTTTCCCAAGAGAAACTTCTCATCTGATCTCAAATACTTCAAAGTAGCAAAACTCTTTCTAAAGGCAAGTTTAGTAAGTTTTGTGCCTCCCTTCCATAGCCTGGGAGAGAAGAGGGGTGACGGTATAGGAAGTGGGGGGCCAGTGGGGTGGGGAGCACAGCCAGCAAGATACCCGTGTCACCCCCTTTTCTCCAGACTTCACAGGTTTGCAATCATGAAACCGGAGCCTGGTGAGCTCCGCATGTAGTTGGGTGGCCTCTCCATGAGGATGGGAGTCTCTGCCCCTCGTCCTGCAGCCTGTCCTCTGGGCTGGGCAGGGCTGAGGCCTACAGAGAGACGTCTCTCTCTGGGCTTTTTGCAGAGATGCCACTGCTGTTGGCGAGGCAGCTGAGGAGTCCTACGGAGCCCTTTTGTTGAAGAACAAAGGGGATGTTGAAGTTACACAGATGACACATTTTGGAACATTAAAGGAAGGAGGAAGTAAAATTATGGTGATCTGGATTGAGTAAGTTTACCACTTAAAAGTTCTAAATAATGTTATATTAGTGGCCTTTAAACTGTGATTTAAGAATTTCAGTAGAACCAGCTTTGCCCATTTTTTGCCTTTATGAAGATCCCTTCAAATATTTTCACCCCAGAATATCTATTTTATTTATATTTATAAAAGTGTTTACAGTTGCCATTTCCTAGAGTGAATTTTGTGTTTTATGATAACTGAATCTCTTACCTTTAGAAATCCTATCTGTATTTATGGCTAATTTTCTTTCTCAGGAATAAAGGAGACATTCCTCAAAACCTAGTCAGCTGTAAACTGGCTGGCTGGGATAAGGCCAAACAGTTCAGATTCCAGGTGCTGGAGGAAGCCCAAGCATGCCCAGTGGTATCTTTTGTTTCTGTTCCTGAGAAGGGGAAGAATTTATTAGATGAAAATATTAATTCATTAAATAGCTACCGAAAAAACAAAACCTGTCAGACACCAGAGAGCAGTTTGGTGGACAACAGAAACGTCTCCCCAGGTAGACAGACACTTCAGCTCTTAGCATGCAAGGTGGGTGGGCTGAAGGAGCCTCGGGGCTGTGACCAGACACCTCAGCGAGCTGTGGGCAGAGGTGGGTGCAGTGGCCAGAACACCCCGGCCACTGTGGCGCTTCCTGCTCTGAGCTCTCTGGTTCTGGGCCCTTCTCCTCTTGATGTTTCGGGGCTGGAGAGGGACGGAAATAGCTTGACCGATACCTAGAAGTGATTCTGGCGGTGGCCATTTCCTGCGTGTTTCCAAACCAGGGTGGGTTGCTGTGGGTCGTTGCAGGGACTTCGTGGTGCAGGGCTTCGCCCCTAGTGGGGGCAGGCTGCTGCTCTGCCCCTCTCCCGCTTCCGGCTGCTTTCTATGATTTTTGTCAGCCACCACCTGAGGCTTCGCCCAATGTTCATTGTGCGTTTGAGTGTGAGTGTATGCATGTGTGCACGTTTCCACTGGGCGTGCCAGCACTGTGAGAGATAATTTGCTTTCTTGTCTGAGTTGGGATTTAAATTTCATTTCCCAGGTGATGGTCCCTGTGAAGGAGAAAGTGGAGGCAAAGGAGGCACGCTACTGCGGCAGCAGGTGGCAGAGCCAGGGCCTGGTGTGCTCGTCCCTCCAGGGGGTAAAACCTCTGTGGTGGTTGTATGTGACGCAAAGTAGGTGACTGGAGGTCAGGAGAAAGCCACTGCGGGTGCATTTGCACATTTTTATTTTTAAGTTTCATCTGTGATACTGCTAGGTTGAATGTCATAAAGAATACTCGTGAGCGTTGTGATGTGAGAAAATCGTAAGAAAAAACATTGGTCAGAAAATGGCTACGTGAGCTTTGCCCACTTGAGGCGACGGATGCTGTGGCCCAGAGACATCCACTGTGGGCCTCAGCACCCGACCTTCAGCTTCACAGAGAAAACTGGGCGGCCATGAGGCGTGTCCAGGCGTGAGCTCCCTCTGCTCTGAGCCCTCTGTCCTTGGCCGTCCTGGCTGTTCCTCCTCACTGCCTTCCTCATGAGCCCTTAGCCTCCATCCACTCCCATCCCTGCCCCAGGGCATCTCTTCTCTCCCTCGCAGGTCAGTCCCACCCAGCTAGGACCCGTCAGTCGCTGGTTCCTCTCTAGGCTCTCCCCATGTCCCTACCACCATTTGAGCTGCCTGAAAGTGTGTGGTCAACTTCCAGCTGGGCATTTGGGCTCCAGGCCTTCTTACCCCCACATTTGCTAATTATAAATTTTTTAAGATACTTAAGTGAGTTTAAATCACTGCCTTGCTTTAAGCTCATCAAACGTCAAACTGTGGGTGACAGTTAAGTATATAGTCTAGGCAGGCACAGTGGCTCACGCCTGTAATCCTAGCACTCTGGGAGACCAGGGAGGGAGGATTGCTTGAGGTCAGGAGTTCGAGACCCCCATCTCTACTAAAAATAGAAAAATTAGTCAGGCGTGGTGGTGCTCACCTGTAGTCCCAGCTACTCAGGAGGCTGAGGAAGGAGGATCACTTGAGCCCAGGAGTTGGTGGTTGCTGTGAGCTAGGCTGACGCCACAGCACTCTAGCCCGGGCTACAGAGCAAGACTGTCCCCAAATAAAAGGAAAATGAAATATGTAGTCTTCAGTTGGCTGTGTGAGATACAGCTAGCTTAAACGATTTTTTTTTAACATTATGACAACCTAAAAATAGGCAAAGAAGCCATGAGTGAGAGCCAAGCATAGCATGTACAGAGTAGCCTTAGCTAGAGCACAGTAAGGAATTGGGCAGAAAGCAAGTTAAAAATAGTGCATATTTTTGGTCATGTTATACAATTCTGATTTCAACTTGAGAATATTGAAAATGTTTTTCCTATTCTTAAGTTTGAGAATTATAGAAAGGACTATTTTCGGTGCTTGATTTTATCTTGAGAAAATATTACATTGCTTGTTTTAGAAAGTCTCTTTTCTGTGTAAAAAGAATTGTTACAAGGCCGGGCGCAGTGGCTCACGCCTGTAATCCTAGCACTCTGGGAGGCCGAGGCGGGAGGATTGCTCGAGGTCAGGAGTTCGAAACCAGCCTGAGCAAGAGCAAGACCCCGTCTCTACTATAAATAGAAAGAAATTAATTGGCCAACTAACATATATAGAAGAAATTAGCCGGACTACAGGTGCATGCCTGTAGTCCCAGCTACTCGGGAGGCTGAGGCAGCAGGATTGCTTGAGCCCAGGAGTTTGAGGTTGCTGTGAGCTAGGCTGACGCCACAGCACTCACTGTAGCCTGGGCAACAAAAAAAAAAAAAAAAAAAAAAAAATAGAATTGTTACAAACTAAGGGTGGCCAGGCTTGGTGGCTAACACCTATAATCCCCGCACTTAGGGAGGCCAAAGTGACAGGATTGCTTGAGGCCAGGTGTTCCAGACCAGCCTCAGCAACATAGCCAGACTCTGTCTCTGCGAAAAATAGAAAAATTATCAGGACATAGTGACACGTCCCAGCTACTCAGGAGACAAAGGCAGAAGGGTCACTTGAGCCCAGGAGTGTGAGGCTCCAGTGAGCTGAGATGACACCACTGCACTCTAGCCTGGGTGACAGAACAAGACCTTGTGTCAAAAAACAACAAGCCCTGCAACTTTCTTTGTATGCTGAAAGGGAAAAGATGTTTAATCTGCCTATCTTATGACTGAAACTAAATTTTGTTTTGTTTTTTTTCCCTAAGAAATTCTGGCCGCTGCAAGGAACTCCTTTTGCTCTGTTTTTCCAATTTCCTAATTGGGCGATACCTTGAAGTAAATGTTGTAAGTGGTGAGGAGTCACTAATAGCTGTCCGTGAGCCATTTTCTTGGAAAAAGCCTAAAAGTTCCCAAGCATTATTGGCATCCACAAAAACTACAGTTGTCGTGACCACACAGAAAAGGTACAGCAACTGCGTATGTGGCTCTTGATCTGGTGACTTTATTGAGGGGAAGCAAGTAGTGCTGGCGGGTGATGGTCACCTCCCAGCTGGGGGAGGTAACACAGGAGAAAAAGCTGGGTTTGAGCCTCCTTCCCCACAGTGTTACCGTGAAGTAACTCTCACGGTCTCTGCCACTGCCCAGCGACAGTGTGGAGTCGAGGGCGGTGGCCCACACCAGCCCAGGCCCCACTCTGCCCTGGCATGTCTCAGGGCGACTCTCTGAGCAGGATGGGTTTGTGCTCAGCTCCTGCCACCTCCAGTGTAGCTCGTGTGGCAGCAGCAGGGGTGCTTGGTCCCTTGCCTTTTGAAGACGTGGTCCCACTTAAGAGTGACTCTGAGGAAAGCAGCATGTGGGCTGCTAGTGCCCCGTGGCTGGGAACCTGGGGCTGCCCAGGTGTTAACTAGGGTGTGGTCTCTGGGAAGTCTTTAGGTCCATGTGTTCTCTTCTGCAGTTACAAAACCAAAAAGCTCTGAAAAGCAGATATTTTTAAAGTTTGGTGCCAGAAAATCCAACCGGTCAACCTGTTAGGGTGGTCAGTGACTTTGTCCCACGTGACGTGAACAGTCACCCATTAGCTGCAGTACTGGTGGGTGTGAGCTCTGGTGCTGCTCAGACCCCACTGAGGGTGAGATGTTTTACTTCTCTGATGTTGGAAAACTCTTAATTTCAAACCACATGTTTGCCTAGTAACAGTTTAAGATGAGGAATTATGAATGTCTGCTAAATTGCAGGCTGAAGGAAAAATCTTTTAGCAGAGGAGAATATTATGTGGTTGTTTACCTTTGGAGTTAGACTGCATGAATCACAGCACGACCACCAGGAAGCTGTGTGATCTTGGGCAGGTGTCTTAACCTCTTTGAGCCTTTATCGCATTTGTAAAATGATAGTTGCTACCTCTTGCAGATTGAGAGTTAATTGAGGAAAGGCATCCGAAATGCACAGTTTCCTGATGGAGAGGCTCTGCAAGTAGCAATGATTCCTGGTCACATGGAGGAGGGGTGCCCTGTAGGGATGGAGCCCAGAAAGGGGGCAGGAATCACTGGGGCTGGGAAGCAGCACCAGAGTCAGGGGCCTTTGAGACCAGGAATCACTGGGGCTGGGAAGCAGCAGCAGAGTCAGGGGCCTTTGAGAGCCCCTGGTCTTGTGTAGCAGTGCACCGAGCAGCTTTCTGGTTGTAAGTTGGCTTAACTAGAAGAGAAAAGAATACAGACCAACAACCACATTTTATTTTAACCCCAGTCATTTATTTCCCTTTGAACATTAACGCATTGTCACTGCCCAGGGGCATCTCTAGGGCACTGCTTCCTGCCAGTCAGGTTGGCTGGAAGGCTAGGTGTCTGGCGCTGCCCACACAGGTGCCCTACGGCACAGCCCTGGCCCTGCACATCCTGCTGGGGCCCCGCCAGGAAGCTCCAGCTCTCGGTCTTGCTCCCTTCTTAGACAGGAGGGTGTGTGCACCTGGCAGAGCTGGCTGGGGCCTCCGTGTCCAGTCTTATCACTCCAGCTCTTCTGGCCATGTGGTTAGGCTGGCTGTCAGGCCACCTGCCTGAGTGTGCGGTGTCTGGCTCATATCAGCAGCCCAGACATAACCCCCACTGCTGAGGGCCCACTGACTTCCATGCGCACGTCACACGTGTGCTAGTGTGACTCTTGCCACAGACTCTGGGGAGAAGACACCTCCATGTCTTTCTGCAGGGCTGAGCTAAAGGCACCCAAACGTGCGGTGACAGCTGAAGGAATAGGAGGTTGGTTGGGTGCGCTCTCCCATTTCCCTACTTGGACACAGGGAAACGAGAGTCGGGAGGGACCTGGAGAAAGGGCCTGATGCCTTTCTTCACGGGGTTCAGGTTCACCCTACCTCCCTCTGACTTTGAGCTTCCCTGTCCTCTCCTGGTGCCTCTTCTCCCATTTTCCTCATTTTTGTCATTCCTGTTGCACTGTTGGACTTGCACAGTAGCAGTGGTGTTCTTCATCCTCCTGGTGGCAGGATTTTGGTGATCCCGACAGCCATTCTAGGGAAAGGCGGAAGCTTAAGGGTGAAACTGAATTTCCCCAGAGAAAATACAGGCTGAGAAACAAAAGAAAAGCAAATCAAAGGCAGGAGCCAGACAGAACAACTTCCAGATGCGTTCTCTGCAGTGATAGCATGGGCGTAGTGTCTAATACTCATGTCTTTCATTAAAAGTACGGTACTAAGAGTTTAGCTAATTAGAAGATTAAAACCCAACCGTTCACAAACTCACTGGTTCCAGAAGGTTCCTGGGGCTCCAGCCCTGTTCTGCTGCTGCCAGAGCAGCTGTGCCTACCTGTGTTGGCAGGTGCTTCTCTGCAAGAGCCAGTGGGAGAAAGGATCCCAAAGCTAAAATAAAAGTGCAAACTACTCACTTAGGCCAGTTATTCATATATCAGTTATTTTCAGTGAGTAAATGAACTTTGATCTTTCTAAAATAGAAAAGGATAAGTAAAAATGTGATGTGTAGTATAAAATGCCTGGTAATTAAGAAATGTTTTAACTTCAGAATTTATTTTTTAAGGAATTCAAGACGACAACTTCCCAGTTTTCTTCCTCAGTATCCGATACCAGATAGACTTAAAAAATGTGTGGAACAAAAAATTGACATCCTGACTTTTCAGCCATTACTTGCCGAGGTAGGAAAACTGATGCCATGTGGAATCTTTACCTCATCACCACTGTGGAGTTGTTTTCTGGCAAAAGCGGGAGGAGCCCTTCCTTGGCTCAGACTTCACCGTGGCTTGATTTTGACTCAGGTGACTGGGGTTCCAGGCGAGAGGCAGCTCTGCCGCACCCACAGCAGTGCCAGGAGGCCGTACCAAATTGTGGGCCAGGGCTGTGGGGGCCAGGACAGAAAGGGGCCCAAGGACACCTCTCCCACCAGTCCAGCCTCTCTCCTCCAGATCAGGCGGTCTTTGTTAAGGGCGAGAGGTGTCCACTCTCTTGACCGCCTTCCACTTGTGACAGAACTCCAGCTAAGAGCATGAACCTGCTCAGGCGGGAACCTGCTCTGAGAAGAGGAGCTGAGAAGAGAAGGGCTCTCTGGATGAGACCTGGCCCAGCACTGGCTAGCAGTGAAATGCAGGCCCCTCCTGAAGGTCAAGAGCAAGGCCGGGAGGTCAGCCTCCTGTAGGTGACAGCCTTTGCCAGAACATTCTCTCCTCACCTCCCCTGTGCTGTGCTGCTGCTTTGTTGTGATACATACAACATGTTCATTCGCAGAGGCCTTGCCCAAGCCTGTCCGCTGTCCTTGTGGAGGCCGAGGCCAGGGGAGGGCTGGGGCCACCCAAAGGGCGTGGGCTGAGGGCAAGGAGGGTCCCTGCGGGAGCTGCAGGCAGGGGACGGGAGGAGAGGAGGAGCCCTGCACACCTGCTTGTGTGGAGGATGGCACCTCCGAGTGCAGTGGCTGGAGAAGGAAGGTCCAGGAAGGAAAAAGTCTACTACATTTGACAGGAAAAACACTGCTCCATCTCCAGGCAATTTTCTGTAGGGTTTGGAAGTATTCTGAGGACCTCCAGCTAAACTGGGGTTCCAGTACCAGAGTGCTGGCAGCCCTGCCCTACTGGGGAGTGCAGGGGGACAGCATGTGGCGTCCACAGTGTGCCTGCCGTGGCGTTCTCCCTTCACCTGGTGGGTTGCCTGACAAGTGGCCGTCTGACCTATGACCCGGGGTCTCTCTCACAGGAAGCTTGTTTACACTGGCAGATGTCTGTTGACCTGAAAGGAAGAGGCTGAGGCACAAAATATAATGTAACGTGTTTACTTGAGCCAGAGTGAGGACAGCTGCCAGGAGACTCAGACCCAAGTAACCTTGAATGTGAGCTCCGTTTGGGCTTGGTTACAAGCAGGTTTTTAAGTCAAAAAAGAGGCACAGGGACTGGGCAGATAAAAAGTTGTTTGTCCAGAATTCTAATTGGTTTATAGAAATAACAATGATTAGCAATTGGCTGTGCATTGTTAAGCTGTAGGGCTTGGGTTGTAGTGTCTGGTGTAGCGTTATTAGGTTAATCTGTAGCTACTTGTGGCAATTGCAAGCAGTTTTGAGAGATGAATGCTTAAGCTCAAGGAGGGTAGTATTTTAATGTCTTTCTCGGCTTGATAATTGTAAAGGACTCATCTTTCTCAAGTGAAAGTTCTTTTCTTTTCTCATACCCTTGTGGCTCCTCTCTGACCCCTGTCCAGTTTGTGCTTGTGTGACCATCACTCTGATGCTGGGAGCCTGACTGGGGGCAGCCCCTGTTCTTCAGACAGAAGCACAAGCTCAGTGCACAGTAGGAGGAGTGTTCAGGGTTTATTACTGACGGATCCTGGGCAGGCGGGCAGTCCTCTGTCCCCAGGTCACTATAAGTTCTCAGGCAAATGCCTGAATCGTCCGTTTAGGAAATGGCAGGAAAGCAGGGAGCCCAGTCTAGGCTGGAGAGAGGCCTCAGTTCTCATCTCTTTCCACCGGCTTAATCCATCTGAGTGTCTCACGTTCCACTTCTCATGCCCATGCAGCAGCTGCTGCTGTGTCACTCCTGTCATACACACACTCTCTCTCACACACACACTCTCTCTCTCTTTCTCACACTCACTCTGGATGGACCTTCACTGATGTGTCATTATCCCCCAGGGTCTGTAGTGCACTTCATGCTCACTCGGTGGTGTGCAGTGACACGTGTGCACCATGGTCGTATCGTGCAGAGTGAATTCGCAGCCTGAAATCCTCTGTGCTCTGGCCATTCGTCTCTCCCTCCCCCAGTCCCCTGGCACCCTCTGATCTCTCTGCTGTCTCCATGGTTTTCCTTTTCCAGAGTGGCAGAGTTAGAACCACACAGTCAGTAGCCTTTGCAGATGGCTCCTCTCACTCAGTGGCATGCACTTAAGGTTCCTCCTGTCTTTTCCTGGCTTGATAGCTCATTTATTTTTAGTGCTGAATAATGTTGCATTGTCTGGTTGTACCACAGTCTGTCACGTCACTTCCTGGAGGGCATCTTGCTTGGTTTCAAGTTTCAGCAGTTGTGAATAAAAACTGCTATAAGTGTGTGTGCATGTTGTTCGTTTAATTATATTCTTATTGTTATGAAACATACTTAAACATAAAATTTACCATCTTAATTGTATTTAAGTATGCAGAGGCATCACATATATTGCTAGTGTTGTGCAGCCATCACCACCATCCATCTCGTAAACCTGAAACTCTGCCCCCATTAAACACTGACTCCCCATTTCTCCTCCCCTAAGCCATGGAAACCACAATTCTACTTTGTCGCTATGATTTTTACTATTCTAGGAACCTCACAGAAGTGGAATCATAACAGCATTTGTCTTTCTGTGACTGGATTACCTCACTTCAAATAACGTCCTCAAAGTTCATCCATGTTGTAGCATGTTGCTCCATATCCTTCCTTTGTAAGGCAAATATAATATTTCCACCCATCAATGGGTGGGTGGTCTACACATGCAAGCCAATAAATAAATAAATAAATATATAAATATATTTTATATGTATATATATATAATTTGACTATTGGGTATACCTTTAGTCCCAGCTACTTAGGATGCTGAGATGGGAGGATCCCTGGAGCAGAGGAGTTTGAGACCAGCTTGGGTAACATAGCAAGACCCCATTTCTTTAAAAAAGAAAAAGGCAATGGCTGGGCACAGTGGCTCATACCTGTAATCCTAGCACTCTGGGAGGCCTAGGCAGGAGGATCACTTGAGGTCAGGAGTTCGAAACCAGCATGAGCAAGAGGGAGACCCCGTCTCTACTATAAATAGAAAGAAATTAATTGGCCAACTAATATATATAGAAAAAATTAGCCAAGCATGGTGGCGCATTCCTGTAGTCCCAGCTACTCGGGAGGCTAAGGCAAGGAGGATTGCTTGAGCCCAGGAGTTTGAGGTTGCTGTGAGCTAGGCTGATGCCACAGCACTCACTCTAGCCTGGGCAATAAAGCAAGACTCTGTCTCAAAAAAAAAGAAAAAGAAAAAGGCCAAAATCATGTGAACATATATTGGAGGATTTATTTTTGGCATCTCTATTCTGTTGATCCATATGTCTGTTTATGCCAGTTTCACACTGTTCTGATTACTGTAGCTTTGTAGGAAATTTTGAAATTAGAAAATGTGAGTCCTCCAGCTTTGTTCTTTTGCAAGATTTTTTTGGCTATTTGTGCTCTTCTGTATGAATTTTATAATGGGCTTTTGTATTTCTTTTTCAAATGACTTTTCAATTTCAAATTCTTTTTCAGTGACTTTCCAAAAGTCATTGGAATTTTGATGGAAATTGCACTGAATCTGTAGATCATTTGGATAGTATGGACATCTTAACAATATTGAGTCTTCCAGTCCATAAACATGAGATTATTTTCATTTATTTATGTTTTGTTTAATTTCTTTAAGCAATGTTTATAGTTTTCACTATACGAGTCTTTCCCTTCTTTGGTTAAATTGATTCCTAGGTATTTTGTTCTTTTTGATGCTATTGTAAACAGAATTGTTTTTGTACTTTCAGATAATTCACTCTTAGTGTTTACAAATGGAGATAATTTTGTGTTTCAACTTTGTATACTGCTACTTTGCTGTATTTATTCCAAAAATTTTTTGTGGACTCTAGGGTTTTCTACATCTAAAATCATTCCATCTGTAAACAGATAATTTTACTTCTTCCTTTGGAATTTGGATCCCTTTCCTTTCTTTTTCTTGCCTAATTGCTCTGGCTAGGACTTCCAGTACTATGTTGAATATAAGTGGCGAGAGCAAGCATCTTTGCCCTGTTCTTGATCTTAGAGGAAAAGCTTTCAGCCTTTCACCATTGAGTATGTTCTTCACTGTGAGTTTTTCATATGTGGCTGTTATCATATCAAGGTAGTATTCTTGTATTCCTAGTTCAGTGTTTATCATAAAAGGGTTTGAATTTTGTCAAATGCTTTTTCTGCATCAATAGAGATGATCATGTGGTTGTTTTTCTTCATTCTGTTAATGTATTACATTGATCAATTTTTATATGTTGGAACTATCCTTGCATTCTAGAAATAAATCCCACTGGGTTATGGTGCGTAATCCTTTGAATAAATTTTATTGAATGCTTTTCATGCATCTACTGAGATGATCATATAGTTTTTGTTTTTAATTCTATTAATGTGGTATATCACATTTATTGATTTGAGCATGTTGAACCATCCTTGCATCCCTGGGATGAAACCCATTTGATCACGGTGAGTTATGTTTTTGATGTGCTGTTGGATTTGGTTTACTAGTATTTTGTTGAGGATTTTTATACCTATGTTCATAAGGAATGTTGGTCTATAGATTTTTGGTTTTCTTTTGAGATGGAGTCTTGCTCTGTTGCCCAGGCTAGAGTGCCATAGCATCAGCCTAACTTACAGCAACCTCAAATTCCTGGGCTCAAGCAATGCTTCTGCCTCAGCCTCCCGAATAGCTTGGACTACAGGCGTGTACCACCATGCCCAGCTAAGTTTTTCTATATGTTTTTAGTTGTCCAGCTAATTTCTTTCTATTTTTAGTAGAGACTGGGTCTCACTCTTGCTCAGGCTGGTCTTAAACTCCTGACCTTGAGTGATTCTCCCACCTCTGCCTCCCAGAGCATAGGATTACAGGTGTGAGCCACCAAGCCTGGCCGGTCTGTAGTTTTCTTTACCTGTAGTGTCTTTGTCTGGCTTTGGTATCAGGGTGATGCTGGCCTCATACAATAAGTCAGGGAGTGTTCCCTACTCTTTAATTTTTTGGAAATGTTTGGGAAAGATTGGTATGTTATTCTTTAAGTGTTTGGTAGAATTTACCCATGAAGCCTTTAGATCTAGGGCTTTTATTTTTTGGGATACTTTTGATTACTGATTTAATCTCCTTAGTAGTTACATACCTATTCAGATTTTCTATGTTTTCATGGTTTAGTCTTGATAGGTTTTGTGTTTCTAGGAATTTGTCTATTTTATCTAGGTGTTGGTATACAAGTGTTCATACTTTTATAATCCTTTTAATTTCCATGGAATCTGTAGTAATGTCTTCACTTTTGTTTCTGATTTTAGTAATTTGAGACTTTTCTCTTTTTCTTCTAGTCAATCTAGATAAAAGTTTGTTGATTTTGTTGATCTTTTCATTTTCAGAGAACCAACTTTTGGTTTTATTGATTTTCTCTATAAATCTTTCTAGTTTTTTCTGTAGCTATTTCTTTTGTTTATCTCTCATCTTTCTTTCCTTTAGTCTGGGTTCAGTTTGTTCTTCCTGTACTAGTTCTATATGGTACTCATGGCTGCTGGTCTCCTCTGAGTGCTGCTGTCACTGCACCCATAAGTCTTGGTGTGTTAGGCTTTTGTTTTCATTCACATGATAGTATTTTCTAATTTCCCTTGTGATTTCTTCTTTTGCTTTAATTCATTGTTCTTTTACACATAATGTATATTTGTTTCTAGCTGCTTTTAAGATCTTTTTCTTTATCACTAATTTAAGAAATTTAATTAACAGTACACTGTGGCTTAGTTTTTCTCTCCATATTGTGCTTGGGGATCATTGGGATTCTTGGATGTGTGGGCTTATAGTTTTCCTCAAATCTGGAATTTCCAGCCATCATGTCTTAAGGCGCACGCTCTGCCCTGCCTTTCCAGGCCGTCAGGCCACTACAGACTGTCCCACGGCTCGCGGCGTGCTGCTCTTTTTTTCCAGTCTTCTTTCTTCTCTGTTGAGTTTTGGATAGTTTGTATTGCTGTGTCTTCAAGTCCGTTTATTTTTTCTTTGTAGTGTGTGATCTCTAGTATGTTTCTGTCAGATGTTGTAGTTGTCATCTGTCCAGATTCCACTGGGTCTTTTTATATCTTCCTGGTCTTTTTATTCCTTCCTGGTCTCTACTCTGCCCTGTCATTCCTCTACTTGGCTTATGTCCTTCGCTTTCTGCCAGCTCTACTCCTGTGTCTTCTCTGGTTCTGGTTCTATTGGTAGCTTTTTCTTCTCATTATGGGTTGTAGTTTTCTCATTCATCCAATGCCTGGTAATTTTGTTTGGATGCAAACATTCTGAATTTTACTGTGTTGGGTGCTGGATTTTTTTTTCCTAAAAATATTTTTGAGCTTTGTTCTGGGATACAGTTAAGCTACTTAGAAACAGATGAGATGGGCCGTGTCAGGGTGGTGTGGCCACTAACAGAAACAGATAGATAGGTGTAAAGCTGGCATTTAAGCTTTGCTAGGTGGGACCAGAGTAACTTCATTTGGGGATCGTGCCCTTTTATTACAGCCTTCCTCCTAGGGCGGGAGGGGACCATGCCTTCCTCAGCCCGGTGTGGGCTCTGGGAACAGTCCCTCTAATCTGGTGGTTCTCACTGAGGGACCATTTTCCCTGCAGCAGACGCTTCTGGCTGACACGACTGGGTGAGGGGTTGTCACTAGTATCTAGTGGGCAGAGACCAGGGATGCCACGCAGACCGCAGTACACAGGATGCCAGAGCCACCCAGCCCTGAGGGTCCTGAGGGGAGAGACCCAGGTTGCACCTTCCAGTGGGTCTCCTGGCACAGTGTCATCTCATGCACATGCTCAGAGCTAAGCTGATGGTTCTGAGCTGATCCTCTCCAAGCCACTCTGTGCTGTTCCCTCTTCCTACTCAGCTTCCTCAGCCGCCTCAGACCTCCAGCTCCTCCTGCTGAAGTCAGGGACCACATGGCCCCCTGGATTCTCTGCACTGTGGCCTGGAGACTCTGTCTAGATCTCAGCTGGGGTGGTCGTGGGCTTGTTTCTCCAATCTCAGGGTCACTGTCTTAGACCATTGTTTCCTATTTCTCTATTGTTTTTAAAATTATTTCCTGTAGGAAGGTAAATCTAGTCCTTGTTGCTCCGTCTTGGCCAGGCCTAGAATTTCTGTACTTTTTCACAAGTCTGTAGAAGCCAAACCCTGCCCTTTCCAGAATGAACTCAAAAGACCTCAGCAAGAACAGGAGCAGGGGTGGTGGACAGGGGCGTGGGCAATGCTGAGGGGAGCTGCTGGCTGGAGCCCCACAGGCCCCAGGCGCTGAAGGACCAGGAAACGCGCAATTTCATTCAGAAACCCTGACCTTGAGCCGCCATGCCTGGAGGTCTGCCTCTGCAGTGCAAGCAGTTTGGGCTTTCTGGCTGCAGAGCTGCCGATTTCCTAGGTGTGGAGATGTTTGATGTGTGGCTTTGCTCTCACTCACTCGCCGATGTTTGGGGTTTTTTCCCAGCTTTTGAACATGTCAAATTACAAGGAGAAGTTTTCGACTTTGCTGTGGCTTGAGGAGATTCACGCAGAAATAGAACTGAAAGAGTACAACATGAGCGGCGTCACCCTGAAGAGGAATGGGGACTTACTGGTTTTGGAGGTCCCAGGACTGGCTGAAAGCAGGCCTTCTCTGTATGCAGGTGCGTGCGTCATGTCATTGGGCACGTTTTCCGGGACAGACTAACAGACTGCACTTCGGGAAAAGAATATTTTATTTTCTAACTGGGAACACTACAATCATGCTATCTCCTTTTCTTTCCTTTTTTTTGGGGGGGTGGGGTGGGGTGGTTAGAATTTCACTTAAATCTGAACAGCCAAGGTGCAGTGGTTCAGCCTATAATCCCAGCACTTTGGGAGGCTAAGGTAGAGATCACTTGAGCCTGAGCGTTGAAAACCGGCCTAAGCAACATAGTGAGACCTGTCTCTTAAAAAAAAAAAAAAAACACACACAAAAAAAACTTGATCAGCAACTCTAGTACATCAAGCCTGTTTCTTTGTCGCACTTAATTATTGTTACGCTCTTGATCCCAATAATGTTTGTTTTATTCCACGTCCTTAGTGTTGGATTTTATGGTAGAGCACGGCACAGGAATATATGATTTTGTGTTAGTTTTACACATGCTGATGTATTTTTTTAACTAGGTGATAAACTGATTCTAAAAACTCAAGAGTACAACGGACATGTCATCGAATACATCGGCTATGTGACTGAGGTGAGAGGACTCTCTTAGTAAGATTAACATTGGACTAACCCATCCAACTGGTCAGAAAGGTAAATGTCTGCCCACAGCTTGGGCATTGGCTGTATTTTGGGACATTTAAAGATATGGTGAATCTTTAAATAATTTTTGATGCATAAAGGGAACTTAATAGCTAAAGAAATGCTATAATTTTCAACCATGTAAAACATATTTAAAGTTCTATTTAAGTCATGGTGTTTGCATTTAGTTAAATTTGGGCCTCTGAATGTATTTGCAAGAGTTAACACAGTGGAACCTCAGAAGGAAAGACACCCGTGAGTGTTTATGGTCTGGTGTCTGTGTGCAGGAGGCTTTGTTGCCTTAACCAGCTCCTGGGCTCCAGGCCACTCTACGTGTGGTGTCTGTGACTCTGGGCCTGTTTTTTCCTGCTCACGTCCTGGTCCTGGCTCTGGGAATGATACTGGGATCTGCAGGAGGAGGAGGACGCTTTCTCTGTGTAGCAGAGGACAGGAAGCATGCATGACTCTTAATGTAGAAAATTAGAAGGGAAAATGCCAAACCCTTCACTCTGGAAGAGAAAAAGGGTTGAGAGAACTAGCAGAGTCTGACAAGCCTTCGAAGAAGAGGCAACATCTGACCTTTGCTGCTGCATTTGCTGCATTCTGAACCTTGATTCAGGGTCCACACCATGGCTTGATTCATGGAATGTGGCATTTTCCCAGAAGAGAAAACCCTGGTAGGGGTCAGAGATCTCATAAGGACTTGTAAGACACGTGCTTTGCCCACCATTTGCCTCCAGCTGGGTGCGGAAGGTGAAAACTAACAGCAGTGGGACAGCAGGTCGGTCTCCCCCGAGGGTGCGGGGAAGACGTGTCCCACATTCCTGCAGGCAGGGGAGAGTGTGTCTGCTTGAGGGGAGCTGGAGGTGGCATCTGAGAGGGCCTTAAATGACAAAAAGAATGTTGGTGGCCAAGACGAGCACAGAAGGTCATTTCTTCAGACAGCACGAAGGACCCGGCAATGATGTGGAGGCTGGCGCCTTCACGTGGGCCGGCACGGTCAGTGACGTCAGCTAGGACTTGACTGTGTGAGAAGCCTGTGCTGTCCGGTGGGAGCAAGAGAGGCATCGTTTTGAAAAGAGTGGGCAGCTCTCAGAATTATCCCAGGGTGGCAAGCCAGGCTTGGAGAACAGAGGTTGGGGCAGTTTGTGGGGCAAATCACAGCAAGAAAGTACAAAGCCATAGGAGGGTGTGGCTCTCGCCAGCCTCAGACAGGAGATAGCGCAGCCAGCAGCGCTGTGTCTCAGTGTCAGGTGCTGATACTGTGGCCACCCTCAAACAGAGTCCTCTGTCCTTGTGTCTTAAGGCAACTGGATTCTGGCCAAAAATCCAGAGTACCCAATTGGACATGTCACAAGCTCCAGTCACAGCGCAAGAGACACTGGACACTTCCTACATTCTAAGTGGGAGGCTCACAGGAGCTTATGGCCCCAGCATCACAAGGGGCTTCAAATTCTAGTACCCAGGAAAAAAGCGTCTTTCTTGCATGAGAGTGTCAGCTTACCTCCTCCTTTTTAGACTTAAACTTGTAAAGAACTTTTATAAGCTCCTCACTAATACTCTGCACTTATCCACGTGCAGCAAATGTCTTCATTTCTCCCAAAGATATGTCCCCAGTCCTGTCATGCACCACCTCCAGGTACCAAGTCTCGGGGACATTTCTTCCCGGGCCTTGCACAGGGCTGTCTGGACAGCCTGCAGGCGTGGGCTCCGTCCGAACGTTAACCACTGCCAGCACACAAGGCGTCTGAGAAGAGGGAATGGGGCGTTATTAGCAGTACATAAATAGGAAAGAAATTGATCCCATTGATGGTGGGACCAGTGCTAAAATTTAAAATTTCCCTCCTTTCTGCCTATTGCAGGCACTCCAAATTTAGCAGCACTTCGGTTAGCTGAGGAAGGAGCAGCCCCCCGCTAAGGGGTTGCACCCCTTTGTCCCGTGCCATGTTTCCCACACGCTCTCACCAGTGATGCAGCTGTGTGATGGGCACCCCTTCCCCTGTGTAGAGCAGCAGCCCTGAGTCAGGGGGCCTGTCACCCTTCCAGCTTTGTGTAGCCCACCCTGGCTGCTAACCAAGTTGGCATGAGGAGCCCAGAATGGCCAAGTGGCTCTCATGACTTCCGAAGAATAGACCAGTTCTGTCAAGAGGGGAAGCCCTGGGCACCAAAACCTTGAAAGAAGCAGAGTCAGGACCACAGGGGTAAGGCACCCGCCCCCTCCACCCCTGGTTCCTGGGCTCACAGTCTAGCTGTGGGTAGCCAGCACTACCTGGGGCAAATTCAGTGCTGATGCTGCAGTCACCCCAGCCTCAGGAGGGGTCAGGCCCCTGGAGATCCTCCACCAGGACACCCCCCTGTTGATAAAGCCAGCTGCTCTAGAGCAATGCAGTTGATGGGAAGGGAGGTGAACTCCTCAAGTCTCAGCCTGTCGCTGTGCTTGGTTCCCTGTGATCTAATTTTCTGGCCAGAGCAGGAAATGTGGGGGACTGCAGTGGGAAGAAGGCCCTCAGGAGGGCCCCCTGGTGTGTCAGGCAGAGAGGACACATCTCGAATTAGTTGCTGTCTACCAAAGCCATGTTGCTCTCCCCTGTAACCATTCAACAAGACACCAGCTGGCAGGGATAGTTCCTAGTGGGGCCTGCACCCACAAGGGCAAGGAGGCTCCTTTGGCCAGGCCCATGCCCAGCACTGACCCTGTCCCCAGTCTACATCCACAAGGGCCACATCCACCATGTACCTGGGAGCAGACACCGCCATGCTTCCGCCCTGCGTGCTTAGTTCTTTGAAGCTGCCCTCACAGGTTTCATGTTGTCTTACGCTTATCTTTGTCTTGCAGTTTTCCATTTCATATGTAGCGTAAGTCCCACAAGTGGCCCTGACAGTGTGCGGGGTCCTTGGTGGCTGTCTGCACTGACCCCACCTTGGTTTCTGTGTGTGCTTGGCGACCTCTGACCAGGGATTCATCTTCATTTCTCTGGATGTCTGGAGAACCAGAGGACCTGCACTGAGCTCATTTCCTCCTCAGGAGACAGTGAGGCTCCTGCTGAGGAGGAGGGGCACTGCCCCCCAGCGCAGACCCATCCGTCAGCTCTGCACTTGGATCTTGAGGCTCAGGTCCCAGCTTCCTGACTATGCTGGTGTCAGCCCTGGCCTCAGGAGACCACCTGCCTTAGTCACCTGAAAAAGAGTTTGAATTCCTTTTTCAGCCTGAAATTTTCCTTCCTATTTTTTTTCTATGTATCCTGAGAAATTTCCTTTCCTTTCCTGCTTGTCTGGGAAAGAATGTGCAGAAGTGTTTCATGCAGCATCTAGTTTCAGCTGGAGGGCTTCCCTGGAGCTCCCGCTCCCTGTGCTGGAACACTGGGAAGGGAAGTCTCTTCGCCACGGCTTTATTATAGCAGCCCCTCCTGTGTATAATTTAATGCCATAATGAGCTGATCCTTTTCAACTACTTTGCAGACACCAAATTTTAGCTCAAAGCTGTAGAATGAATTTTTCATGATGTGTTGCTGGATATAGATATAAGATTATTCCAAGAAATCAAATATAATGTTATGGAAGTTAAAATCATTTGTTCCTTTTTTAGATTCATGAAGAAGATGTAACTCTTAAACTTAATCCAGAATTTGAGCAAGCATATAACTTCGAACCCATGGATGTGGAATTTACATATAACAGGTAATGCTTTCAGCAAGTCTTTGTTCAGATGTCTCTCTACCCTTGAGCAGGTGGTTCTTGAGTCATCAGTCATCGGACGTCCCGGTAGTGATGTGGTAGGTGCCCACAGGGCCTACGGTGTGGGTGGAGGTTGGCTCCCTCCACCAGTGTTGCATGCCCCACGTGTAGAGCTGTATTGCCAGGTATGTTTTGAGACATACAGGTACGTACATCTGCATGCTCATTCTTCTCTGCACCAGGTCTTTGGTTCATGCCATGGTCACCGGCAGCTGCCAGCTCCCTGACCTTGTTCATTCACTGATTGTGGGAGGATCACTGCTCCCCTCATCCTGCTTCCCATCCTCCACCAAACCCCAACCCATTGACTAGAATTTTGGTTTTTTTCCCTTTTTAAATAAATGGTTTGTGTCTATGTATATACACATAGGTACACAGGAGAAATGTATTCTTTAGTTCTAATTATTTTTGACTTTGTAAAAGAAATAACTTGTTACATATAGTTCCTAGGAGTTCCAAAAGGAATAACTTGTTACATATAGGTCCTAGGAGTTCCCTTTTTCACTAAACATAGTTACTGAGATTTCCCCGTTATTGTCTGTAACTAGTGTTCATCTGTTTTTACCACTGCATTGCAGGCAGTTGTGTGAATACCCACGGGTTTGAGGTGGAATCTATCTCATTATGGTCTTGATTTACATTTCTGTGATTACTTAGAGGGTTGAGAATCTCCATTTCTTGGCTATAAAGCATTCATCGTCTGTGAACTTGCTCATGTGTTTGGCCCTCTTTTTACTGATTAACTTACCTAACTTTTATTATTTGTAGGCATCCTTTCTGTATTATTTTGGGTTGTTTGTTTTGTTTGTTTGTTTGTTTGTTTTTTGGAGACAGAGTTTTGCTCTGTCGCTTAAGCTAGAGTGTAGTGGTGTCATTACAGCTCACTACAACCTCCAATTCTTGGGCTCAAGCCATCCTCCTGCCTCAGCCTCCCAAGTAACTGGGACTACATGTGCACACCACTACCGGCAGCTAATTTTTCTATTTTTTATAGAGATGGGGTCTTGCTCTTGCTCAGGCTGGTCTCAAATTCCTGAGCTTTAGTGATCATCTCGCCTCAGCCTCTCAGAGTGCTAGGATTACAGACATGAGCCACTGTGCCTGGCCCCTGCTGTGTTTCTTTATGCTAAAAACTATTCTCAGATGTATGTATCGTCTTCAGGTTTATTACTTTTAGCTTTCTGTAAAATACCTTTTGATTAACAGAAGGCACTATTTTTAATGTAGCCAAATTTATTGAATTTTTTGGTTATAAAAAATGCTTTTCCTGTCCTTTAGAGAAATCATTTAGTGTCTCAGCTGTCATCAGACTGGAACGTGTTGTGGGTGAGTGGACTGGAGAAGTGAAGAAATGTGGTTGGTTCTTTTTTACGGTGTCTGTCCGTGAAAGCAGGACAGGATGAAGAGGGAGAGATGTTCACTGATTAGTAAAGAGGTACTCAAGGCCCAGGGCGTGCTGCTCAGGTGAGACACAGCCTGCCGACAGCCAGTGACCTCCCTGGCTGGGAAGGAGAGGCTGCAGGCTGCAGGTGGGTGGGCGTGTGAGCGTGTGAGGAGGTGAGCTCTGGACCACAGGCTGAAGCATCCTTGCTGTGATGGCCAGAGAGATGTGCAGCCGGTTTGTGGGCCTAAATTTCTAATGCCTTGTTTCTACTCTGGAACATGAGGCTATTCTAGTAGGCGCAAAGTGATATTCCATTGTGCTTTTAATTTGTATTTCTCTAATGACTAATGATGGTGATCATCTTTGTATGTGCTTTTTTTGCCATTGGTACATAATTTTTGTTGACATTATTGGACTCAAATAAATGAGTGAGGCAAAAATATCAGTCAGTGGTAGTTTATTAAGCCAAGATTTGGGGGTAAAGCATGAACCACAGACAAGCTGTGGTTATTTTTCCAAAACAGAGAGAAGGGAAGCGATGGTGGCAAGTGGAGGCTTTTGAGGCAAAGTGGCTACATTCTTGTAAGGTCAAGGAAATCTATGTTTACATAAAATAAGGAAGTGAAGATTAATTACAGAGATGTCTATGGTAGGTGGGAGAATGTCTGAGTCTGTCCTGTCTCCAGTTCTCTTACCTATAAGATAAACTTGTAATTCATTGTTAGTGTAGAATCAGACAGGCTTTAGTTCAGATGCTGACATAGGGATAGTTCACACGTCCCTGCTTATGGGGCCTCAGCAAGAAATTTCCTTAATTTGTGCATTTCATCCACATTGTCTAATTGATTTGCATAAAGGTATTCATAGTATTGCCTTATTATCCTTTTAATATCTATAGTGATGTCACATTTCTCATTCCTAATGTTGGTGATTTGTGTCTTCTCTTTTGTTGCCATCATCAGCCTGGCTCGAGGTTTGTCAGTTTCATTGACCTTATCAAAGAATCCACCTCTGGCTTTATTGGTATTCTCTGGTGTTTTTCTCTTCTCTGTTCCATTAATTGTTGCTATGATCTTTATTATTTTAGTTCTCCCGCTTATTTTAGGATTCACTTGCTTTTCTCTTTCTGGTTTCTGATGGTCAAAGTTGCGGTCACCAGTGTGAGGCCTCCTCTGCCAGTGCAGGTGGCGGCGTGGACGGGGTCCTGCTGACAGAGCGTCGTGAGCTCCGCAGCCGCCATCTGTTGCTGGACGCTGGGGTTCCCAGTGTTTTGCTGTTACAAACAGTGGAGCAATAAATGCTCTTACATCTTTGTACGGTGATGCTAGAATGCAAGGAGAGTTGGCATCTTTGCAAGACTGAGTCTTCCTCTGGAACAGCAGTTGATACTTCAGGAGAGTTCCTTTCTGTTCCTGGCCCTCCTCCAGAGTTCCTGTCCACTACCCTCTTAGTCCCCTGGTCGGTTTTTTATTACATGGCTTTCTATCTCTTTGTGTGTTTGTCTTGTTTTTTGTTTGTTTGAGACAGGGCCTCCTTCTGTCACTCCAGCTGGAGTGCAGTGGTGAGATCGTAGCTCACAGCAGCCTCCAGCTCCTGGGCTCAGGCGACCCTCCCGCCTCACAGCTGGGACCACAGCAGCCGCCACCCTGGCTCAAAGTGGCTTTTCTGTTAACCCAGTAATCGTAATACTCCCTCACACTTCACAAGCTGCACTTTCTTTTTTTTTTTTTTTTTTTTGTTTACTTTATATATTAGAACAAATATTCCTATAAAGGAAGAAGTTCCTGCTGTCCTGGTAGGTAGGACATTTCTATTTAAATTTTTTTATAAGACCTGTAATTTCTGTGTTTTGTTTAGACACATGGTAAAATGACACCCTCTCCTCAGTCCTTCAGGTTTCCCAACAGTGCCTTTGAGACCTTGTAGGACCTGACATCTAACGTGGTCCCTATCTACAAGTATTTTGTGGAGGCTATGTTAGTATATTGACTGAAAGATTACATATTCAAATTTCCATGACCTGTGCTTAACCTTAATAGTTCTCAACTTACGGTTATTTTCTGTCATTTTATTTCCTGCAGAACCACGAGTAGACGGTGCCACTTTGCACTGGAACAAGTCATCCACTTAGGTGCAAAAGGTATTATTTATGTAGAATGATAGTGTTAGACCTTCCCAAGGTGTTTTTATAGGCTTTGTGTAAAATTTTGTATAAAACAGTTTCTTCAATCATAATATTAGAAGTAAAACTATGTGATAACCATATATTTTTAATTTTCTATTGAGGGGCTGGGTGCAGTGGCTCACGCCTGTAATCCTAGCACTCTGGGAGGCCGAGGCGGGTGGATTGCTCAAGGTCAGGAGTTCAAAACCAACCTGAGCAAGAGCGAGACCCCGTCTCTACTATAAATAGAAAGAAATTAATTGGCCAACTAATACATATAGAAAAAATTAGCTGGGCATGGTGGCACATGCCTATAGTCCCAGCTACTCCGGAGGCTGAGGCAGAAGGATTGCTTGAGCCCAGGAGTTTGAGGTTGCTGGGAGCTAGGCTGACACCATGGCACTCACGCTAGCCTGGGCAACAAAGCGAGACTCTGTCTCAAAAAATTTTTTTTTCTATTGAGGAATTTCAGTATTGCTATTTCAACTTACGAAGCAACTGAAAATAGCATGCTTAAATAATTGAAAACAAACTCATTGTGCTCTTCTTTTCCCCTTGTGATGGAATTCATTTTTACATTTATAGGTAGACAAATAAATGGCTTTATTGTAAAGAATATGCAGCACTGGTATAATTCTGTAATTTAGAAAGAGTGTACAAGGGGGTCAGGAATGGATTAGAATAGGGGAAAGGAATGGATTAGAATATGAATTACTTTAGGATCAGCCATAAACATATATTTCTGAGCTTTTCAATAATGTCTGTGCCCTTACCTTTTCTTGTTTTAAAAGTGTTGTTTCCAGAAGAAATAATTTTACAGTCTCCCCAGGTGACAAGGAATTGGAACCATGCACAAGACACCAGAAATGGTGGACAGTCCACCTCCAAGGTAGTGCTTTGATGACTTCTACATGTTTACATGAGTAACATTATAAACTTGCTTCCAGCTGTGTTAGCTCTCAGTTGACTGGAGTGTTAGAGGAATGTACTTCACAACCTAAAATCACAGATAAAATATGGCTGAAATATTCATAAAATAGATTTAGTGGTAAAGTTTGTATGTCGTTGTATGTAGGGCTAAGATTGCTATAATATATTAAGTGGGGGAAAGCAAGGTGTTTGTATGATCTTATGGTTTTGTTTAAAAATTATTAATATACGGTTTTTGTATACACTCAGGTACGTTTATGTGATTGTGGATGCAGAGAAAATACCTGGAAGGAAATACCCAGCAAATTATTAACATTTACAATCTTTGTGAATGTTGCAAAGATATTTTATTTTTTACTTCTACAATCTAGTCACTCCATGAATAGTAATGTGTGCCTGTTACATGCCTGGTGTTGTCCCAGGTTCTCAGTGTGTTTTTGTGAATAAAATAGAAGTGTTTTTATTTATGAGTGTGTTTCTAGCAACAAGAAAAATTGTTTATCCCATGGTGGAGCTTACAACTTATAATTCCATATTGTTGGAATTTGGTTTTGTGAGCATGTATAATAGAAAATTTTAAATTTTATCTGATATTTAGAAACCCTTTTACCATTTTATAGCCCCTCCCCAAAAATGCAAAAATGATAGCTTTAGAATGCCTATGCATTCATGGAAAATATTAATACTGTATAAATGAAACAGCAAAGATTATCCATGAAAATCATCTGCTATGTACTTCATATTTGATCTCTTTTGTTCTGCAAATAGAAAGGGGTCTTTGCTGGCACAGGTGTGATACCGTCTTCAGTGCTCTCTTCCTCCCTTCACCCCTCAGTGCTGGTCTGTTCCACACCTCCATCTCAGGGACAGCATGAGGTGGGTGGGGTAGGTGTTGGTGTTTAGGTGGGCACACTGTTAATTGGCTGAATTTTAATATTTTACAGTGTAGAACGTTATCTTCTTAGGAGTTAGCAAGAGCATTCCATCCCTCAGCCAAGATGGAATTACAGGGTCTAGATTTACCTTCCTGCCTGAAACAACTAAAAACCAGATAAAATATGTAAAACAGTTTCAGACATTGGACATCAACTATCAGAGGACAGTGATTCCTGAGAGAGGAAACAAGTCAGATGACCCCCCACTTATAGCAATCAGAGAGCGTCCAGACCAGAGAGCAGAAAAGGACAACCCCGTGGTCTACCTGAGGAGTCAGAATTTGGAAATGCAAGGAGAACCAGATGGTTGAAGGAGACAGGGCAGGGTGGGGCGAGAGCAGGACAAGAGAGCACGGGAGAGAGTGCCAAGATCCCCAGAGTTCTCAGCCAAGCGCTGATGAGTATGTGCTTGTGAGCAGGACACCTGGGCTGGGAAAGAACGAGCTGGGAAGAGTGGAGAGAACAAGCTTCAGCGCTGACACAGTGCCGGGCCTAGTCTGTGCCCACAGCCAGAGGAGGACGACCTCGGAATGCACAGGGACAGTGCTGCGCAGGCTGCTGCCTCGGGAGTGCAGAGGGGTAGCCCTTGGCCAAGGCTGCTCTGGCCCAGCCTGACAGGTGTGATGCCCTCAAAAGGGACAGGCTGTTTCCAAGTAATTTAATTGCATCCCAGAACAAAGTCGGAGAATATTTATAGGAATATAAAATTATCTAGCACCAAAGAAGGTGTAAAGTTCACAATGTCTGACACCTGATGAAAAAATAAAAGAAACTGAAAAACACAACCCATAAGGAGAAAATTTAATCAATTGGAACCAACCCCCAAAAATAACATAGTGATGGAATTGGGCAGACACAGACATTAAAAGTAAATACATAAATATCTTCGCTATGTTCAAGAAAGTATAGGCCAGGCACGGTGGCTCACGCCTGTAATCCTAGCACTCTGGGAGGCCGAGGCAGGCAGATTGCTCAAATTCAGGAGTTCGAAACCAGCCTGAGCAAGAGCAAGACCCCGTCTCTACTATAAAATAGAAAGAAATTAATTGGCCAACTAATATATATAGAAAAAATTAGCCGGGCATGGTGGCGCATGCCTGTAGTCCCAGCTACTTGGGAGGCTGAGGCAGGGGGATCGCTTGAGCCCAAGAGTTTGAGGTTGCTGTGAGCTAGGCTGACACCACAGCACTCACTCTAGCCTGGGCAACAAAGCGAGACTCTGTCTCAAAAAAAAAAGAAAGTATAAGAAGACATAAACACATCACATAGATACATGAGAGATACAGAAAAGACACAAGTGTGTCTTCTAGAGATAAGAATTCAGTGCCTAAGATGTAAAATATATTGTACAGAATTAACAGCAGACTCAACAATATAGAACAAAAGATTAGTGAACTTGAAGGCACAGCAATAGAAACTCTCCAAAATGAAGCAAAAGAAAAATCTTTAAAACAAAAAGAAAAAATTTAATTGCTCTAAAAAATAGTCTTTTTTTTCTGAGAAAAACATGAAAAGAGCATCAGCGACTTGTGGGACAACTTCAGGCAGCCTCATGTAGATGTCCTTGGAGTCCCAGAAAGAGAGAATAGGGGGAATATTTTTAAAAAACAGTGGTGGGAATTTTCTAACTTTGAGGAAAACTGATGTGGTGCGCACCGTAGTCCCAGCTACTCTGGAGGCCGAGGCAAGGGGATCACTTGAGCTCAGGAGTTCAAGGCCAACCTGGGCAGCATAGCAAGACCCTATCTCTAGAAAAACAAAAAAGGCACAGTTAAGACAATAAAAAGGAAAGTGACAGAAAATACTTGCAGATCACATATTCAGTAAGGAATTTGTGTCCATAATGTATATTAAAATACCCTGCAAACTCAATGAGAAAACAACTCAATTTTTAAAAATGGACCAAGACTTTAACACTTTACCAAAGACTATATACAGATGTTAATAAACCCATGAAAAAGTGCTCAGCATCATTAGTTGTTAGGGAAACACAAAACCACATTGAGATACCACAGACCTATTAGAATGGCCAAAATCTAAGACTGATCACAAAGAACGTTGGCAAGCGTGTGGACCACTGGACCCTGCGCCCTGCTGGTGGGGTGGAGAGTGGCACCGCCAGCGTGGAAACCACGTGAGAAAACCAAACATGCACCTGCCGTGTGATCCAGCCACTTCTCTCCCGGGGTGCACCCTAGAGAAAGAAAAACATAAAGCCACAGGAAGACTCATGCATGAAGTTCACAGCAGCTTCATTTGTAATTGAAAAAAACTGGAGACAGCCCAGAGTCCATCAGCAGGTAGCAACTACGCAGGTCGAGGCGTCCTCACAGCGGAGCACGATCAGCACAAGAGGAGTGAGCCATCGACACAGCGTCGCAGATGGATCCCAGCACAGTTAGCTACACCGCGTGGAAGAGGTCAGACCAGAAAAGAGCACCGCTCCACTTATGCACGCTTTAGGGCACGTAAACTCGTCTGCGTGGCTGCAGGGACCTGCTGCGAGGGGCATAAGGAAACTTGTGGACTGATGGGTCTGTTCGCCATCTTGATTGTGGTGATAGTTTCATGGGTACATGCGTGTGTCGGAACCTGTCAGATTGCACACTTCAAATATGTGTGCCTTCTCGTAAGTCAGTTACACTTTGCAAAACTCATAGGACATTAGCGGGAGGGTGTGGTGGTACAACCTTCAGGACTAAAATTGAACAGTGTGCGTAAAATTTTTAATGTGAAAACTTTTGATGTAACAATTTTACAGATTCTAGAATTTATCCTATGAAAGTAGTCAAGTGCTGCACAAAGGCACATGTACAAAGCTGTGAGTTACATAGTTATTTGTAACGGAAAAATTGAAAAGTCCATTTTTCCAGGGCAAATTCTGTTTTTGTTTAAACACACACAGAAAACCAATTCTTGTGCAGAGTCTCAAGCACAGCTGGCAGAGAGGCAGTGCTGGCTCTTTGCACTCTGAGAGGCACACGAGGTTCCGTGGAGAGCGGTGAGGGTGTGCCTGTGGTAGGCCAGCCTTGAAAGCAGGAAGGAGGTACCAAGGGAAGACTTGTTAGTAAGATAAGATATTGTCAATGGAAAAGAAGACAAACTCTGTGAAATAATTTAGGAAGGTTTGTTCTGAGCCAAACTTGAGGACCATGGCTTGGAGCTATGCCCAAAAAGCCTTGAGCAAGTGGACTTGCTATGGCTGGGTTATAGTTTGGTTTTATACATTTTGGGGAGACAGGAATTACAGGTGAAGTCATAAATCAGTACGTGGGAGGCAGACGTTGGTTTGGCAGAAAAAGGTGGGATATCTCAAAGTGATGGCTTACACGTCATAGTTGGGTTTAGGGATCCTTTAGTTGACAATTAGCTGAAAGAGTTAGGCTTTGTCCAAAGACCAGGAATCAGCAGAAAGGAATACTTGAGTTAAGATAAGGGTCTTCTGTCTTTTATGTGATGCTATACCAGCATCAGGTCAGGAAGTAAACCACATCATAAAAACCTGTTTACTGAGATTTTATCATTTGTAGTCATGACTCACCAGGCTCCCTTAGGAATTTTTTGGGCAAAGAAAAAGATCAGAGTTCAGTCCTCAATATAGTCCTTTGTTTTGGTTTCATAATCACAAAATATAGTTTATTTATATTTAAAAGTGAGTTCAAAAAAAGAAGCATAACCCTTTTTAGCAGATTCTTAAATTTCTGTTATGTTTCAAAGGATCTGACCTGCAACTCATCCATGGAGTTGTTAAGGAAATATACTTAAGTAGAACACCTAGTAGATGTTTATGTTTGCTCTTTAAGCCAGTGTAAACACAAAACTGGTTTTTTAACCATTTTTCTGCATGTTAATTTCTAGAATAGGAAAACCATGAAGGACCAAACTAAACACGGAAGGAAGGAGAAGTGTGTTGGTGCCAAGGACCTGCCAGGGGTGGTGGCTTTGGCCACAGAGACAAGCAACTTGGGTATGTGTGTGTGAGGCTTGGATAGGAGCAGCTCAGGAATCTTGCCTGGGCATGTCTGGGGACCCCTTGGCCAAGAGGGAGCGGGTCTTTTCAGTCAGCTGGGGGGCTTAAGATTTTATTTTAGTTCACAAGAAAGGTGCTGGCATGCGAAAGTAAGAACAATCAGGAGAGAGGTGTGGTCTTGCCTTGGCTGGAGGCCAAATGGAGACTCAGTGTTTTGGGTTAGGTGCTTTAAAAAGAGTTAGATTATGGATTATTTTTGCCATGTGCTCTTTTAAAATGTAAAAATTCTAAAATCATGTCTCAAGTGCACATATAAGGGAGAAGAGTAAATTGGCCTATTTTTTCCCTCTCAGAAAGCTAAGGTAGTTGTCCTGACTCCACTTGATGAAATGCAGACAGATCATCAGAGGGGACACGAGGTGCCCTCGCTGGATCTGTGTCTCACTGGAGAGCCGCTCCCCATCTCAGTTCTGTTTCGGCCTTTAGCGCAGTGTGTGCTGATGCCCAGCCTGGGAGAGGGGGTGTCCGCAGCTGCTCAGAGCCGCTGGACTCTCACTGAGACTGTGTCTCCACTTCGAACACTGCAGGTGAAATTCCGACCCCTAAAGCAAGAGAGAAGGAGTTCTTCAACCCAGTGCTGAACGAGAACCAGCAGTTGGCGGTTAGACGGATTCTGAGTGGCGACTGCCGCCCGCTCCCCTATGTTCTCTTTGGACCTCCTGGGACGGGAAAGACGGTGACGATAATCGAGGCTGTCCTGCAGGTGAGGCGGCTCATGGGTGCCAGGGTCTGTGCTGCTGCTCCCGTCTGTGTCTTCAGGAAGTGAGCGTTTAAATCGTGGAATCAGAAGTTGTGAAGAGCTTGAGAAAGTTCTGTTATTTCATAATACTTAGTTAAGTTTTCTTTTACATGTGTATGAAAATCTTCAAAGCTTATTTTATAGGTTTTGAAAGAAACTTCGTTTTTAGAATAGTAGACTATTTGACCACATCATGAAATTTTGCCACAGAGAAGTTACACAGTAACTAACTAAAGTGACCATTCTGTAGAAGTTTCTGGCATCTCCATTTATATTTGAAATGTATGACAGTGGTGTGTGCAGGTGCTCCTCAACTTACGGCGGGTTCACGGGATGTCGTCCGTCGTACATCAGGGAGCATCCTGGGTGCATGTTGCCTGTGCACTGTCCCAAAGTCAGAACGTCGTAAGCTGAACCGTTGCAAGTCAGAGACCACTGGTATTTGGTATCGTGTGTAATGTGGATTAGCAAACATTGAGTGCCTGCCTCAGTACCGCGCTGCAGGCTGATGCATGAGAATGAGTCTGACTTGGTTTCTGCCTTAGAAAGTGGCTTAGAGTCTCGGAGAGCTTGGAGAGCTCGGCCACCTCAGGTCAGGTGTCGCAGCAGCACTGTGAGGCTAATTGTCACTTTCATGTCACTTGGGCCCATGTCTCAGAGATGTCAGGGATTAACGCCTGTGTCCTTGTAGCTGAGTCCTACACGTGAGCCTGTGTGTGGGTATCACACACACAGTTTCCACGCTGCAGGGCAGATATTTACAATCCTTGGTCTCTTTTGTGTTTTCGATGAAGGTACATTTTGCTTTGCCAGACAGTCGGATTTTGGTCTGCGCGCCCTCTAATAGCGCCGCTGACCTTGTGTGTTTGCGGCTGCATGAGAGCAAGGTGCTGAGGCCAGCGGCCATGGTCCGGGTGAATGCCACCTGCAGGTTTGAGGAGGTGAGCCTGGGTGTGAGGGCAGGCAGGGTCCCCAGGACCTCCTGGGAGAGCAGGACAAGCCGAGGCGGAGTTGCCACCGAGGGTGCTTGCCATGTACCAGAGCTTTGTTCCCGAATATTTCATTACATCTCACACTCTCTGTGTAGATCATCAATCTTATGGGCCTTTTTAGCTTTGTTAAATTCTAACATTACTCTTTTATTTGATCCCTAAATGTATTGTTTCTTTTTAGTTCATTTTATTAGTTTGGTTGTAAGTGCCCTTTAGGAAAATTAGACGTTTCTGATTTATTTATAAAGTATTGCTTTAAAAAAGAAATTAAATCTAGAAAATATATGAAGCTGTTTTCACAAAGGGTCTACAGGATTACATGTTATGTCCATGGCTCTAGAGTCCACAAAACATGGACTGAATGAGTATGGAAGTATACAATATGTTCATTTAAGAAAATCTTAAATCGTTGCGTGGTCATATCTAAGAAATGACAACAGGGCATTATCTTTTAGAATTCCTTTCAGCTTCATGATTCTGTCCAATTTAAAGATATACTTAATCTGGAAAAAAAAAAAACCTGACTCTCCCCCCCCTTGTCCCCAGACAATCATCGACACCATCAAACCATATTGCAAAGATGGAGAAGACATCTGGAAAGCTTCGCGCTTCCGGGTGATAATCACAACATGCAGCAGCGCAGGGCTTTTCTACCAGATAGGAGTAAGGTAAGCGTCTTGGCATCCAGTGGGGCGCCAGGTCTCCCAGACAGGTCTGTGTCCTCCTCAGGCTTCTACCTGAGGAGGCTCTGACACAGACCATGGGGGACAGAGCAGGGCCCTGGGGAGAGTGGCTGGGAGGGAAGGGCCACCGTGGAACCAGGCCAGGGAAGTGGTGGTATGCTGAGACCCTGAAGACTGGAAGGACTCAACAGTGGGAAGGCAAGCAGATGGACTCGCGTGTGCAAAGGTCCTATGGCTAGAGAGCTCTGAGCACGTTACCCCAAAGGAAACTGCAGAGCTGTGTGGCCTGTTGAGTGAGATCGGCAGAGAGGTCTGGCGCCCAGGGCTGCTGGTGGTGGAGGAACCTTTGGACTTGACCCCTGGTTAGGTTGGAGGCCTATGGACTTGACCCCTGGTTAGGTTGGAGGTCATTGAGAGGCTTCTGAGCAGGGGTAAGTCATGAGGGGTGCCACCATGGGTGGACATGCTCTGGGGGCAGGACTGCACACCCAAGGGCGCTGCTCAGGGAGCAAGGCACTCGGACCCCTGGGGCGAGGTAGGGCAGGAGGCTGCAAGCAGCTCCCCCAGTGACTGAGCACCAGGTGGTGTGGGGCAGGCTGAGGGCGGGAGGAAGCAGCAGGGTCCTTGGAGAAGACCTTTGCCCTCTCTGGTACCCAGAGACGACCCATGCAGCTTCTGGCTGGGCCACCTCAGGGCAGCATCCAGCAGCAGTGTTGTGTAGGTGACCGCCAGAGGCCAGGGTTCCCCAGGCCCCCTGCTGCCCCAAAGCCCCTGCCTGTCTCTGCCGTGGTTCCATGTGTCCACCAGCACCACTCGGACGGAGGCCAGCACGCTGCCTGGGAGCAGAGTGCAGCCGCCATGCCTGTCTGTTGTGCTGGGAGTTACTCTCGTATATACAGGATGCTGTTTCTCTATGTAACTAGTGATGACTGATGAAACATTTACTGCGTTTTCTATTTCCAGTCTTCAACATCCGGCATGTGCTTTACACTGTGAGCAGGTTGCATTCCAGACTAGCTACCCTGAGGTGCCCAAGAGCCACATGCGGCATGGCTGCGGGACTGGCCCCCACAGTTCTAAACAAGAGAGAGGGGTTTTGTGTTACTGTGTGTTGATGAGTCCGAGGTCGGGGCCTCAGATGGAGAAACTCCCAGCAAGAACACACTCGGCCACCTCTGTCTCAGGGCCAAAGCTCGTGGGCGGAGAGGGCTCTGCGCAGGGCGGGGTGGCAGGTGTCCTCTGTGGACGCTGCTCCCAGGGGCGGATGTCCAGGCAGGAGGGGCAGGGCCAGCCAGGGCGACTGCTGCCGGAGAAGTCACGTGCAGGAGCTGAGGGGTAGACACAGGTGCTGCAGGCTGGAGTGGCCTTTGGGGCCAGCTGGGAGCTCTAGAGCAGGAGCGATGCTGTAGGGTAGCAGTGACTTTAAATAACTGCAGTTAATACAGAATTCAGAATTTAAATGTGTACGTTCTAGGAAAGATACATAAAGTTAATTTCTTTCGACAGAAGTTGGAACATGAGGTAGGAACGGCTGATTTTCCTCATCTTTCTCAAAAGAGGGAGTTAATGGGTATCACGTGTGAAATTGTTATCTTGACACTTACAAATTCAGGCTGCACTAAAGATGCAAACTCACTAGAGAGGAGGCAGGAACATGTCTGCCCACTGGGTCCCGTCTTATCTGGGGACACCAGGCGCAAAGGCAGCAGCATTTGCGCAGCATCTGGGGTTGGGGGGAGACTCGGGCTTAGCAGCCAGGTGGGCCCCGCGTGTGTTCTCTACTCTGAATCTGCTTCCCTGGGCACTCAGGTGCTTCCTCAGTGGTGCTGCCTCACACAACTTTGCTAAGGTCTGGGGAGAGGGCCGGCCCAGTGTGGTCTCCTGGGCCCCTGGGGCCTCAGCCTGCTGGTGCGGAGGGCGGGGCAGTGGCCGGCTGAGAGCAGCATGTGAGGCAGAGTCGGGGAAGGGGCCTGAGGGCCCTATCTGTGACCACTGACTGGCCAGTGCACTCTGTGCTCCCATCGGCCACATCCACATGACACAGGGGAAATGGAGGCACAGAGAAGTGGAGCAGCCTGCCCAGGGTCACACAGCGAGGAAGTGGTGAAGCCAAGACCCAAATCTGGGCATTTTGATTAATCTCTAGAAATCTGACATGGAGGGAAGAATGTGCCAGAAACCTGCCCTGAGAGCTGCCCAGGGAGGTGCTCTGTGCTCTGCTCATACCTGCCCCTCACCCCTCTTTTTCCAAATCTTGTTAAGCAAACACACGTTGCTTACAAAGCACCAGTCACTGGTGTGGGCAGCTCATGTCGCCCAACGGGCCTGTGGCACCTGAGGCCTGGTGACACCCTGACCCCCTGGCAGCCCCACCGTGACCTGATAGTGCCCGGCTCGGCCTTGCTAGGGCGTGCCACAGGCCCGTCGCTGGAAAGTCAGCAGAGATCACCACTGGGGACCTCTTTGGCTCTAGAGTCGGACACTTTACCCACGTGTTTGTGGACGAGGCCGGGCAGGCGAGCGAACCAGAGTGCCTCATTCCTCTGGGGCTGATCTCAGACATCAGCGGCCAGGTGAGGCCTGTCGGCTGTTTGCTGTGTGTGCTGTTCTCTTTTACCTGTGTTCCCGCAGGGATGGGGTGCCATGGGCCTGTTAGGGACAGTCACAAGTCGCAGCCTTACAGGAGTCAGGCAAAAGTGCCAAAGACCCTCCCCACACGCAGGAGCTGGAGGCCGTGGCTCTGTTATTCAGTCACATACTTTATTCCTTTTGTACTAGAAGGAGAAGGACAGCTTTGTCTGGTCTCATTCACTTGTAAAACAGAAGTTATAAGAGCCCTTCTAGGTATTGGGGACTCACCAACTCTGCTTTCATGAAGTTGGGGTCACTTCTCCTTCCCTGCTCCCACCTGCTTCCTCCTGGGGCACCTCACATAACAAACTCCCCAGTCCCTCACTGCGCACTCAGCTACCAGGGGGCACCACTCCTCCTGAGCCCCCATCCTCAGAAGCCACCTGGGGGCCTAGCACCCCTGTGAAGCCAAGCTCAAGGGCAGGGAGAGGCTGTGGGTGGAACAAGGGTCTGTCCAGCTGAGATAGGTGGGCAGCATGCAGAAACTGAGCCCCAGGGTGAAAGGCTAGGAGGTCTGCTGGGTCCGGGCATACAGAAACTTCCAGAAGACAGGCTGAATCCTGGACTCTTACCGCTTTGGGAGATAAGGAGAGAAGCCCAGGCTGCAGGTGTGGGGCAGACACCGTTGATGCGGTAGGAGCTGCTCTGAGAGGGAGCTCCTGTCTCAAGCCCGTTTGTTTTTTCCTGCATTTCTGCTGCCCCTGTCTGGGCTGTTGTCATCTTGCACGAGCAGTTCTGACTGTGTCCTCCCTGCTCTCCCAGCCTCTTCCTCAGTGCCCTACAGCCAGAGCGGCCATCGGCAGGCCCGGCTGTACAGCACCCCACTGCTCCCCACTGTGCGTGTGGCCCGTCTCCCTCAAGAGCTGAGCCACCCTTCTGTGTGCCGCAGATTGTGCTTGCCGGAGACCCTATGCAGCTCGGCCCGGTCATCAAGTCCAGACTGGCGATGGCCTACGGGCTGAACGTGTCCATGCTGGAGAGGCTGATGGCTCGACCAGTGTATCTCAGGGACGAAAATGCTTTTGGTGCTTGTGGCGCATACAACCCCCTGTTGGTGAGTTCACAGGCCCGTTACTGTGTTCAGTAAAACCTGCAGGGAGAGGTGCTCACCTCCCTCTGTCTACCTGATCCCTGCCCTGGGTGGAGAGTGCGGGTGAGGGGTCTTCCCACCCCCAGCAGAAAGGCTGCTTCCCCCAGCTTCCTCCCTGGGAAGGGGCTCCCTGGGAAACCTGGCAACAGGAACACCAAAAAATGTGTAAAAAGAGTCGCTCCTCCCTCCCTCCTGGACGGGTTTCAGGTACTTCTCACCCACCCTCCCATCCCAGGAGCTGAGAAATGTGCTTCCTTGGGGTCCCCTGTGGGGTCCAGGAATCGCAGGTGGTCTGGCTGCTGCCTGACGCTCTATAGGCCCGGAGACGGCAAGAGAAGCTGACTGTGTGTTGTTCTGTTAACCTGGGAAAACGGGAAGTAACTTCTGTGACTGCCCAGAGGGAGAGTGCTCAGCACAGCACAGGGCTGTGTGTTAGCCCACTGTGGACTTTGGAGTCAGCGTCTTGGGGAGCCCCCAGCACACTGCGCTCGGGCCCGTGGGGTCCTGCACTGGACCTTGAGCCCAGTGGCCATGTCCTCCAAACCCCTGCGATGCACACGAAGGAGGCATTTCATCCGCCTTGCACTGGGATGGCACTGACCAGGAAGTAAGGTGTAATGACCATGTGCAGATTTTCATGGAGGAGGATTGGAACCTGTTCTCATTTGCCAGCAGTGGGGCTGAGGGCCTCCAGGCTGATGAAGGCCTCGTGTGGGACCAACCACCCCCAAGGAGAGACAGTGGCTGGGCCCAGGGGCATCCAAGATCTCTGCTGTCGCAGGAGGTGCATTTCACACTCCAGACACCCCTGTGCCCCTGAGACCTGGCCACCGCTTCTCTGAGGGGAGGTGCCACCCTAGGGACACGGGAGAAGCTGACGTGCCACCCCAGCCACTGCAGAAAGCCAGTGCGCTGCCACCTCCACCCACACTCAGACCTTCAGGGCACACACTCAGCGTGCAGCCACAGTGCAGGCAGACCCCTGACCCCCAGGAGACGAAGGCTTTGCCCTGCTTTGTGACCTCGCCTGTCACCCTTCTCCCAGACTGGCTAAAGCCACAGGGACCCTGGACGGCACACAGGCATCCTTTCCCATTCCCACTGCCGGCCCTCCCCCAGCTAACGCAGAGCTGCTGTGACACCAGATCACGTCCTGGAGTCTGAGTGGCACTTTGGAGTGGCACTTTGGACGCGTTCTAATCACTGAGTTAGTGTTTGCTCCCCAAGTCAGAAGTTGGAGCCGATCAGCATTCTCACGCTGGGACCAAGGGAAGAACCTCTGCGCCAAGTGCACGTCCCAGACCAGTTGAGGGCAAACTGCAAAGCTGTTGCACATACTGGTAACATCCATTAGTGTGGTCACAGGCCTGCTCAGGGCCAGCAGAGCCCTCGGGGTCACTGGGTCCTCAGGCCCGGGAGCTGTTCGTTCCCTGCAGCTGAGCTGAGACGAGGCTCACGGGGCTTTGTTTAAAGGCCAGGGGAGCAAAGCAGCAGGTCCAGAGCAAAGCTCGCAGAGTGCAAGGGGGATCTGCCTGCCTCCGGCCTGCCAGGTTCCGGGTGCCCATGGAGAGACTCCTCGGCTACGCCCAGACACAAGAGAAGAGAGAGAGGTGATCTCTCTGTTCCTGATGTTCACATTTTCTACTAAAATGGACCTTTGGTTCAACAGTCCCCTGAGGGGCCTGGTCTGGTGGCAGGTGGCACTTGCGGGCTCAGCGGGCACGGGGAGGCTGCCCTTGGGTGGAGATCGGGTGGGTCTCACATCTGCCACAGAGACCTCTCTCCCTCGAAAGAAGCAGTCTGTGTGCTGATTTGCTTGCGACCTTTGCCTGTCCCCTCCTGCAGGTCACGAAGCTCGTGAAGAACTACAGATCCCACGCTGCTCTACTGGCGCTGCCCTCGCGCCTGTTCTATCACAGGGAGCTCGAAGTGTGTGCGGACCCAGAAGTGGTGACCTCTCTGCTGGGCTGGGAGAAGTTACCTAAGAAAGGCTTCCCTCTCATCTTCCACGGCGTGAGAGTGAGTTGTGTTCTGAACTGTTAAGTGACGGGCGGTGTGAGCCACGTGGGGATCGTGCGGTGGGAGGGCGTTCTTCTCAGGCGAGCGCCTCGTGCCCACATGTGCGAGTCTTGCCTGTTGGAGTCAGTGGCCAGGTAGGTGTTCCCCAAGTGCCTGCGGGGGCAGATCCACAGGTGGCTAGAGAGTAGAGCACAGTCTGTGGGCTTATGCCGCTTGAGCCTGGGTGCCAACACCTCCTGCCAGGTGAGTCACACACACAGAAGGCCCAGGAGTGGTGGGTGCCCAGCACGGAGCAGACGTCGCAGGCGCTGCTCCTCAATGCTCACGTTAGATGAGCCCTGCGTGGCGGGAGGAGAGAACCCGGCCAGCAGAGCCCCTGCAGGTGTTGGGGGCTCGGGGTCAGCGAGGAGGCAGGACCCAGGGAGCTGGGCAGCAGGATGCCCACCGACCACAGACAGCACCACCGCCCACTGCTGGGCCATCTCCCTGAGGACAGAGTGTCCGAGTGGCCAGCAGGACAGGCAGGCAGCACAGGCCTCACCAAGTTCAAGACTAGCCTGGGCAACATAGCAACACCTGTCTCCAAAAATTTTTAAATTAGCTGGGCACGGTGAGGTGTACTTGTCCCAGCTATTTTTTTTTTTTTTTTGCACAGAAAAAAATATATTTAATATAAGTTTTACATGATAGGAGAGCATTCAAAAGGAAACAAAAACCCAAAGAAACAGACTGTTTTTTATGGTAGGTTTGAAGAGTGGACAAATATGAAGAAATATGAAAGGACAAAGAGAATGAGCTAAGTGTAGCAACCTGGGGGAAATGTAGCAAGGCCTGTTTGTCCAAATTCCTCTGTGTCCCTTTTTGAAGCTAAGGATGTTCCAGTTTTCTGGGTACAGAGAGGGCACCGATTACATGTGGATCTCATGACCTGCCTTGGGAAATGTCCCAGCTTTTTTAGAGGCTGAGGCAGGAGGATCGCTTGAGCCCAAGAGTTGGAGGTTGCAGTGAGCTGTGATCACACCACTGCTCTCCAGCCTGGCGACAGAGTGAGACCCTGTTTCTTTAAAAAAAAGAAAGAAACGGCCGGGCTCTGTGGCTCACGCCTATAATCCTAGCTCTTGGGAGGCCGAGGCGGGCGGATTGCTCAAGGTCAGGAGTTCAAAACCAGCCTGAGCAAGAGCGAGACCCCGTCTCTACTATAAATAGAAAGAAACTAATTGGCCAACTGATATATATATATATATATATAAATTAGCCGGGCATGGTGGCACATGCCTGTAGTCCCAGCTACCCGGGAGGCTGAGGCAGGAGGATCACTCGAGCCCAGGAGTTTGAGGTTGCTGTGAGCTAGGCTGACGCCACGGCACTCACTCTAGCCTGGGCAACAAAGCGAGACTCTGTCTCAAAAAAAAAAAAAAAAAAAAAAAAAAGAAAGAAAGAAAGAAATCATAGTAAAGGGAATCCCTCTTAATGAGAAATGGTCCTAATGAGACAAACCAGATCATCTGGAAAAAACTGCGGACCTTGACTTGAGTGTGTGAGGCACGCCTGGTGTGTCCGTGAGTGGGGAGAGCAGTGTTTACGGATGTCGTAAACGCTCTGCGTTGATCCACATCTTCCGTGCCATCTAAGTAGGAATCACAGTAGGCTTGTTCATGTGAAAATTATTATGATTGGAGTTGTAACTGCAAAAAGTTTTAGAAAAGGAGTTACCTAGTCCACAGGGTAACAAAACATACTACAAAGTTATAGTAAATAAAAGTGTACAGTATAAAAACAGCAAGTTGTTGACCAAAAAAAAAAAACACCATAAGTTGGTGGAACAAGACATCCAGGAACATTTACTGACTTAGTGTTTTCCAAGTGCTTCCTTATGTGCGAGGCTGCGGGCTGGGCCCTGAAGATGAAGTGGGCTCCAGGGCGGCGGGTCCCATGGCTTCCTCAGGCTCGGCTTCAGAGAGCATGGCCCTGCTGTTTGGGCAGAAAGGGCCTCACCCCCACCCAGCCTGGTGCCCGCTCTGCCCCCGACATTCGCCCTCCACCCCTCGGTCTGCTCCAGCACCCCTCCCCGAGCTGTGCCCGCTCCCCACTTCACGGGCAGCAGTGCCTGGGGGACTCTGGAGGGACCTGCGCACTCACAGCTCTGCCCACCTGTGCTTCACGCTCCCGCCAGGACACCTAGGCTGGGCCACCCAGGCAGCTATGGCCTTGCCACCGTGAGGAGGGCACTGCAGACAGGCACCTTGGTTTCAGGCTGCTTTTAAGCTGAACAGGCAGGACAGCCCTGGCAGAGCTGTGCGGTGCTGCCTGGTCCTTGCGGGAAAGACGCGCCGGCCTCTGGCTCCCCTGTGTTTCCTGCCTTCTGCTTCATCGTTTTCAGCTTTGTCTTTCACTCCTCGTCCTGACTCACCTCCTAACTCACCTTGCTGGTGTCTCTGCACTCACCTGCTGTGTTAGACTCCTGCAGCCGAGCAGTCAGCCCACGTCCTCACTCCGCCGTGCGCTGCACACACCTTGGGTGCTCCCCAGACAGCAGGGCTTTCTCTTGATTCTCTGTTTTGATTCAAGAGTGACAGAGAAGTTTTTTCCTTAATTTTCAAGTAGCAAAGAAATTTTTGGTCACCTCTTTTTCTGTTCCTAATTTTTATTAGGTTCTGGTCAAGGATTTTGGCCTGTAAACTCAAGTTACTGCTTTTAAAAATTTGTGGCCAATTAGGTATCAGTTTGGTAGGTGCTGAGGGCACACCAAGACGGGGATGTGAAGTGTCCTTCATGTGGACACCAAGCTCAACTCCCCGCATCCTGACCTGTAATCCATCTGTGAGGTGCACCCTCGTGGGCGAAGACCGTGGCATCTCACATTGTGCTTTTCCTCAAATGCTCTTAGCGTTCCTAACCTTTCTTGCTTTACATATTTAACTGCTGTGTGTTTCATTTATACAACTGATTGTTAATTTTTTTTTTTTTTGAGACAGCCTCACTCTGTTGCCAGGGCTAGAGTGTCGTGATGTCAGCCTAGTGTGAGCCACCATGCCCAGCCAACTGCTTGTTTCATCTTCCTCACTAATGTCCTCTGTACTTCGTGTTTTCAGCCTTAAATTCCGTCTTCTGACATGAATATTGCCACTACTTTCTTCACACCTGGTGTTTCCTCACCCTCTATCTTCATTCTCTGTCCTTTCGTCTTAGTTGTAGTTCTTAGAAGCAGGATCCAATCTGAGAGTTGCTACTTTTAACACATTGACTGCCACGCTAGAAAAAATTTTTTTCCTTAGGGCCGCAGTGTTTAATTACAAAAATAGAATAAAAACTTCAAAAACAAAGTGATTCTTTCTAATTTAATTAAAAATTTGTTATTTTTTATTGTTTTCTATGCATGTGTTGTATGCAGTTGTCAATATTAACTGTAATAATAGGAACATCAAGGTTTTCACAAACCAACTGTAGGGTCTTGCCAGGGGTCCACCCATCATGCAACACGTATGCTACAGCGTGGTACCTGAGTTGCCTGTGCACCACACAACTCTCAAGGTAAAGAGACCTCTGAATTATGTACACTTCACGAGGCCCTGGGGTCAAAGTAGCATGAGTTAAGTACAACTCAGATAGTAGTTAATGTGTTGATGAGATACATCAGCCCGTTCTAGTTACTCAACTTTATTCCTTCATCTTTGCCATGATACCAACTGTTTCTTCTTATTTTTCCTAATTGATTGGTTGCATGTCATTGAATTTTTTCTCGTCAATTTAGAAGTTCTGCTGTAAGTTTCCATCTCATTAAGCTCTTTTTAAAGCACTTCATTTATTGTAAATCTAAAGGGATAAATTATGTATGCCTTAACAACAAAAACATTCTGAAAATTAGTAAATTCTTACCGCTTTATCTGGTGTTTACTTTTTTAAAATTGTGGTAAAGCCACAAATAACATAAAACTGATATTAACCATTTTTAAGTGAAAAATGTTAAGTATATTCACATTGTTTTACAGTCAATCTCCAGAACGTTTTTTATCTTGCAAAATTGAAACGTTGTACCCCTAATACAATAACTTCCCTCCCCTAGCCCTTGGCAGCCACCATTCTACTTTCTGTCTCTAAGAATCTGATAGCTCTAGGGATCTCATATAAGTGGAATCACACAGTATTTGTCCTTTGTGTCTGCCTTATACACAGTCCTCAAAGTTCATCTGTGTTATAGGATGTATCTGAATTTCCGTCCTTTTAAAAGCTGAATAATAATTCCATTGTATGGGCCAGGCACAATGGCTCACACCTATAATCCCAGCACTTTCAGAGGCTAAGGTGGGAGGATCACTTGAGGCCAGGAGTTTAAGACCAACCTGGGCAACATAGTGAGACCCTGTCTCTACAAAAAATGTTTTAAAAATATTAACCGGGCGTGGTGGTGCACGACAGTAGCCCCAGCTACTCCGGAGGCTATGGAAGAAGGATCGCCTGAGCCCAGGAGTTGTTTTTTTGTCAATGAATTTTAAGAGTTCCTTATGTATTTTGGATATTAACTCCTTATATACGATTCACAAATGGTTCCTCCCATTTCGTAGGTTATCTTTTTGTTCTGTTGATTGTATCCTTTGCATGGAAATTTTTAATTTTGCTGTAGTTTTTTTTTTTTTTGCTGTTGCCTGTGGCTTTGGTTCATATCTAAGAAATCATTGCCATATCCAGTGTTGGGGAGCTTTCCCCATGTGTTTTCCTCTAAGAGTTTCGTAGGTGTAGGTCTCACGTTTAGGTCTCTGGTCCATTTTGAATTAATTTTTGTATGTGGTATAAGGTGTGTGTTCATTTTCATTCTTTTACGCTCAGATATCCAGTTTTCCCAACACCATTAGTTGAAAAACATCTTTTCCCATTGACTGGTCCTGGAACCCGTGTCAGAAATCATTTGACCACATACAAGAGAGTTTACTTCTGGGCTCTTGCTGTGTTCTGCTGGCCTGCTTGTCTGTCTTTGGCAGTGCATCCCACTGATCTTTAAGGAAGAGCGTTTTCAAGATGAGCAGGACCCTCTGCTCCCAAATAGGGACGCTACAAGACGGTAAAAGTTGCTTCAGGTGTAGCCGAGGGTGAGCCTGGAAGGCGAGAGTCAGGGTGAGTGGGGAGCACCTGGCCTTCGATGGCCTCAGTGCAGCTGCCATGGACTGACCGTGGCTGGCGGCCTCCACGTCAGGCTGTGCCATCTGCTCTCGCCCAGGCTCCCTGGGCTCTGACGTGCTGGCACTCCTTCCCTGGCCTGGCACGCTGTGATCCGGCCGCGTCAGGCCCTCCAGCTCACACCTGCCCTTTGCCAGGCCGTCCCTGCACACCCTTCGCACAGCACTAGCCTGGCCTCCACAAAGGAGCTTCCCTGGGTCCTCCCTGTGTGTCAGTCCCTGCGTGACGGGTCCCTGTAGCCAGTCCTTCTCCTCGGTAGCCTCTGACACAGTTGCGAGTGACTTTCCAGCTCTGTGCCGATGCGCTGACGTCTGCCCTGCTGGGACATAAACTGCACTGGAGCAAGGCTCTCCGCCGTGTCCTCCTGTGTTCCCAGCACCTACTTCAGCAACTCGGCTGCAGCCCTCGGCAGACATTCCTAGCGCAGTGATGTTTTCTCTCCTGATTCCCTCAGGGCAGCGAGGCTCGAGAGGGGAGAAGCCCATCGTGGTTCAACCCCGCGGAGGCCGTCCAGGCCATGCGCTACTGCTGCCTGCTGGCGCGGAGCGTCTCCAGCCAGGTGCCTGCCCGCGACATCGGTGTCATCACGCCCTACCGAAAGCAGGTACCCCCATTCAGACAGCCGTGCTCTGTGAGGTCCCTGCGGCCCTCTGCAGTTCCTGGAGTCCGTGAGAAGCAGGGACGGGCTCGCTGTGGAGAGCAACAGGGTTTGAAGAAGCAGGACCACACAAAAGATGCTCCAGATGAGAGATTGGCAAACTGCAGCCCACTGGCCAGTTCCAGCCAGAGGCCTGCTTTCCTACATCCCAGAGCCTAGAATGGCTTTTGTTTCTAAGCGGTTACATTTTAGAAGTCTATATAAGAATTATGTAATGTCCTTGATACTTGGCCTTTAAGAAAAGGTGTGCCAACCCCGGCTCTAAACCAGTCTCTCAGTGGGGGCGCTGTCGCTATTTTTGAATGGCACAGTTCTCGTTCTGTGTGATTCTGCCATGTAACTCTAGGGCGTTGGTATCCCCGGCCCCCAGGTGCTGGTCCCAGTGACAGTCACGTTTGCCGGACAAGCAGGAATGACACACACACACTCAGAGTTTCCCTGGAGCTGTGCTGGGTGTAGGTGCCTCCTGTGCCAGACAGACAGACTCCAGTCCCGGAGCACTCGCCCCAGGGTGCATGCAGCACCAGCAAAGCAGAAGGGAAGGCTGAGCCCACAGGCAGTCAGGGTAACGGAGCCGTTGCTTGGCAGCGCCCTGCGCAGAGCCTTCAAACACACACTGTTCTCTTCTTCTGAACTTGGGACCTCATGACGTGAGCACTTGGTTCTCCCAGTGGGAAAGAGGTGCTTACAGAGGCCTAAGGAGGTGAGTAGCTTGCTGAGTGTCACGTAGCTGTCATGATTGGATTTGACCCAAATTCAAACCCAGAGCCCCATCTCTGGACTGAGAGGTTGTGGGCGGTTTGCTGCACAGCCCGTCCTGACCTACGGTGCAGAGAGCACCTTGCCCAGCACCACCATGGTGTCCAGACGTGTCCCGCACACCGCTGGGCTTCTCAGTGCAGGTGTGCTTACGGTCCTGATTACTGCTCAGTCCTTCATGTCGTGTCTCCCAACTAAGTCGCCAATCCACTGCTCTTGATTCTGTTGATGCTTATTTTTTTTTTTTTTGAGGTGGTAAATATTGTAAGAAATCCTCTCAGATGGAAATGAGTGAAGAAAATTAATTGTTGGCCTATGAAATCAAAAAAGTTACAGTTGTGTTATTTCAGACTGAAGGCCTTCCTTGGATATTTCTCCTAAATCCACTAGTTAGTCTGGGTTTAATGTAGGGATGTCTTCCTTTGACCTTTTTGAAGAGTAGTTTTGCTGGCTGTAGGATTCTTGGCTGGCATTTATTTTGTTGTTCTTCCAGCATTTGCGAGCATATCACCACCCTGCCTCCTGGGCGCTAAGATTCAGATGAGAAAGAGCCCTTCTCCCTGTGGGACAAGCTGCGTTTCTCTTGCTGCTTTCAACGCTGGTCTTTGGGCTTCAGCAGTTTTCTGTGACGCATCTGGCTGTAGATCTGTTTGTATTTATCGTACTTGGATTTTGTTGAGCTTCTTGAATCTGTAGATTAATGTTTTCATCAAATGTAGGGAGTTTCTGGCCATATTTCTTCACATTTTTTCTTGGGGTGCAGCAGCTGACCTTCCCAGACTGTCCTTTATGTGTCGGATTGCTGGGTAGCTAGAAACCGTCCCACGGCTGTCTGTTCATTTCTCTCCAATCTTCTGTTTTCAAAGGTTTCCTATTTTCCCTGCCATTTTGCATCTGCTGTGAAGCCCTTCTCGTGAACTTTGGTTGTTAGACTTTTTACCTGTTGCACTTTTCTTCAGTTTTTTAATACTGTTTCCTTTAGCTCTTTGGACATACTTGTAATAGCTGCTTCTTGAAGCCTTTGCTAAGCCCGCCATGTGGAGGTGCCCACAGTCTCGGCGATGCTTTTCTCCTCGAGTGTGGGTCTCACTGTCCTGTGTCTTTGCATGTCCTCTAGGAATTTTAGAAAGTACGTCCTAACAAATGTGGATTATAGGTCCCCGCTTGGAGAATATGCTGTTGCTGTTTTGTTTGTGTTTGTCTCTTTGCTTAGTAGCTACCTGAGCTGAATCTGCATCATCCCCATAGTAGGTGACAGCTAATGTCCCTGGTGAGTGTTTAATTATTACTTGTAAGCCTGGCTTCCCAGGGCCCACCATGACTGCCCAGCTTCCTGGCTGACCAGCCGTGAGGCGGTGGCATGCTCCACACCTGAGCTGCAAGGCTGCTGCCGCCTGCCTGTGGGCGAGCACAGAGCACAGGCTGTTTGCATCTCCCCGGCTGCTCCTTTGCGCAGACCCTTCCTGTCTGCTGGACCTGCCCAGCCCAGCTGTGGCTCAGCTGTCGGCCCCCAGAGGACAGCCTTACCCGCCACCTGGGGGAGGAGCCCCCAGACCGTTGTCACCCAGAGGTCAGTGTTTCAAGCATAAACACTTCGTAGAGTGTGCATGTCTTCGGTTGGTTTCCTGAGCAGGCAGTTGCTTATGGGGGAGCGGATCTCCTGTCTCCTCCCTCAGCTGTCACCAACTTGCCAGGGTCTGTTCTAACCTGGGTCTGTTCAGTTGTACCTGCCCGAGTCCATCGGAACCCAGCTCCCGCAAACTTGGGCAGGCTCAGACACCTCGAGGACCCATGCCACCCCCTGCCTTGCTGGGGGGCTTCCACTCTGCACAGTTGCATCTGCCCCTCCCTAGACTCCGAGACTCCTCTCAGCCGTCTCCTCACGGCCTGCGCTGCCTCCCGAGCCAGGTGAAGCTTCCCAGGCTTTCCGCGCTCACCCTCACCATTCACAGTGACCTTGGCCCAGTGGGTCTCTCCACGAATCTGTGATTCTTCTCAAGGACTGGCTGGGACTCTGTGCAGTGCACAGCACAGAAGCCAGCGCCCAGTAGGCCTGCGAGTTCCTTAAATGGGCAAGCCACTCCTCTGCTCAGACAGGCTGAGCAGTCAGCAGGTGGTGAAGTCAGTTCTTCAGTGGGCCAGAGGGAGCCACCAGCCCGCAGCAGGGGGTGGCCTGTGCACAGGGAGCCCTTCCCGCACCCATCTCGCGCCATTCTCCTCTCGTCTCCTGCAGGCCCCACTGGCTGCTGCGCACCTGAGTCCTGGTGCTTGGCAGGGGGCAAAGGCCCTCCTAGCTCTCTGGTGTGTGACTTGCAGGAAGGCACCTGAGGTCCGCGGAGTGGGGTGTGGAGCCATGTGTCCCACGTCTGTTCGCTCATCGCAGCATCACCCACTGTCTGCTGCCTGCACAGCCCAGGACGAGCTGGGTGGGCACCGCCTTGGTCCCTGGCCTGGGAAGGGGCACCGAAGCCCTAGCTCCACAGTCTGACCACGTCCACCTGGTTCACCACGCCCCACCTCCCCCTCTGCCCCAGGTCCCTTCCCCACGAGCCCTCCTCAGGCACACATGCAGGTGGGTGCCCTTGTCACAAGGGACGCACACAGCCAGGGTCCCTACCCCACGGCGGGCATCCCATGAGACAGGAGAGGGGTGTGTTGGGAGATGTCCCCTGAGATGATCGGTGACTTAAGAGCCTTCCCTGTGTTTCTTGGCTGTTTCTCACCGTCTCACTTCTGGCCCCACTTCACATGGTTCTTTCTGAGTGTGTCCTTCCTCAGCGCTCTGCAGCTGTCAGACACCGTCACAGCTGCGTTCTTCACTGTTTCTCTCGTTAAGTAGACGTTTGTAACTTTAATGTGGCCAAATGTATAAATAGTTTCCTGTATGAGTTGTGCTCCTTGTTTTTATCTAAGAAATCCTTCCCTGCCTCAAGGTTGTAAAGTGTTTTCCCTCCTCCCTTCTGAAAGTCTCCGTGAGTACTTTCCACACTTAGGTCTCTAATTCACGGCGGTGTGTTCTGAGTGTGGGATAAGGCAGGGCTCAGTTTGTTTCCCCTCGTGTGTGCTGCTGCCCCGTCGGCACTGGGTGACCGGCCCTTCCCGTCCCAACGTGTGCGCCCCACCACTGCTCACCGCGTCGTCCTGAGTGACGGGGCTCCTCGGTCCCCTCCAGCAGCACCTCACGGGCTCGGCGACCAGAGCTTCGGGACTTGTTGGCATCGGGGAGTGCGAGCCCACAGCTTTGTGCTCTTCCTTGTGAATTTTAGAAATTCCACTTTTTCTCCCAAAAATATTTTGTTTCTCCTTGGCAACAGTTTATCGACGTATCTTACCTGTTTGGGTTTTTTAGTTTGTTTTTTTTTATTTACCTTTGCATTTTTTATCTCAGTTATCTTTCAGTTTGTGTGATTCTTCTGAGATTCATCTATTAATAGTTATTTCAGCAAAGGCCCATGAATGGCAAATTATCTAAAACTTACCTAAAAACATTTATTGAATCACCTCATGCGTGAGTTTCAGCTCAGCAGTTTCTCCAGTGCTTTGAAGATGTCTCACCTTTGTCTTCCGGTTTGTGCTCTGCTGAGGAACCTACTCACACCTAGTTTTCACTCATTGTTAAGTATTGTCTTTTTTTCACATTTTGGTTCCCCTTATTCTGGTGTTATGCCATCTCACCACAAAGTGTTCAGGTGTGAACCAGACAGTGTTCAGCTTCCCTCCTCAGGCTCCATGTCCCCCCAGTCTCTGCTCTAAGATTGCCGGTGGACACGTGTCCAGCATCTCAGCCCACCTTCTGGCCTCTGGACGTCTGTCTTTCCCTGCCTGGGCGCCCGCGAGAACTGCCCTCAGGTCGATCGCCCACTCAACAGACCTCCTCCCAGTGTGGCTCAGCATCTCGTCCATCCGATGAGTTGTATTTTATTTACTGTGCTCTTTTTTCCAAGATTTCAAATTGGTCCTTTTTTATTTTTTACCAACATAACCTATTCTTTGTGGGTTTATTCCTTTTTTTCCAAAGGTCTTAAAAATACTTGACTTAAAGTCCTATCTACCTATTCATTTAATATATTTATAGAGACAGAGTCTCACTGTATGGCCCAGGCTGGAGAACAGCAGCAGCATCACAGCTCACTACAGCCTCCAACTCCTGGGATCAAGCAATCCTCCTGCCTTAGCCTCCTGAGTAGCCGGGATGACAGGCGCGCACAACCACGCCCAGCTAATTTTTTATTTTTTGTATGTTGACCAGGCTGATCTCGAATGCCTGGCCTCAAGTGATTCTCCCACTGCAGCCTCTCAGAGTGCTGGGATTATAAGCGTGAGCCACCACGCCCAGCCTAAGGTCCTTTTTAGACTGCTCAGTTATTTCTATTTCTTCAGAAGCAAGTTCTCCTTGTGGAGTTAGCTTGCTGCTCTCACAAGGTCCGTTTTCCTCCCATGCTTTCCTTCGATGGCTGCCCACACGCCAGCACTCAGGCTTCTGGGTGTCCCATCCCTCAGAGAGGGGCTCGGCTGAGGCCTTGGTTGCACTTTGCCCCCTCACCCCGGGAGGTGCTCCTGGAGCCTGGGTGCAGGGCCCTGCAGTCCCGGTCACAGCAACCTGCCAGCGTCCCTGGACCTCCAGCTGTGGGTCCAGCACTGTCCCCCATCACACACGGTCCGGTCTAGCAGCAGGCACGCGTCTTCTTGATTCCCAGCATCCCTGGACCTCCAGCTGTGGGTCCCAGCACTGTCCCCAGCACACACGGTCCGGTCTAGCAGCAGGCACGCGTCTCCTCGCTTCCCAGCATCCCTGGACCTCCAGCTGTGGGTCCCAGCACTGTCCCCAGCACACACGGTCCGGTCTAGCAGCAGGCACGCGTCTCCTCGCTTCCCAGCATCCCTGGACCTCCAGCTGTGGTCCCAGCACTGTCCCCCAGCACACACGGTCCGGTCTAGCAGCAGGCACGCGTCTCCTCGCTTCCCAGCTGGTGTTTCCTCCATCCTGCACGCCATGAACTTGCTCTCCTGATGAACGCTGAGCCCTTCCCCAGTATACCTAAAATCAGGGTTTGTGTTGTAGTAAGTTTAGATTTGAAGAAATAGGATACGGAAGTGAAAAGCAGTGCTGCACCTGGGTTAATATTTGGCTTTCACTGTGAGGTAAAAGAACCGGTCAGATTTGCACAGTGTTGTCATTAATCTTCCTTTTAATCTGTTTTAAAGGTAGAGAAAATCAAAATTCTTCTGCGAAATGTCGATCTGATGGATATAAAGGTTGGATCAGTAGAGGAGTTTCAAGGGCAGGAACATTTGGTCATCATCATTTCAACCGTAGGTATCCGGTTTTCCGCGCACATGGCAGTCGCCTGGCAGTGGCGGCTCAGGCTGGTCAGGGAGGCGGAAGAGCAGCCGTGGGTGGAGCCTCGGTCTGGGCACTGTCGTCAGCAGGAACTGCAGGAGGTTCTTAGAAAAATACTCGGAGATCAGGAGAGAGAAGAGTAGAGAGCAGGGACCCAGGACGGGGCGGTCAACGTGCATGAGCAGGAGGGACAAGGGGTTGGAGGGCCACAGAGCAGAGGCCGGGGCTGTGGGAGGCTGGCGCCCAGCCCATGCCGTGGCTCCAGTGATGCTGCCCACAGACACCACGCTCAGTTCCCAAGACTCCATTTCTTATTTTAAATTATCTTTATTGAACAGTGCATGTTAATTGGAGATAGGTTAATGAAAACGAAGATCCAAAAAAATCCCCTAAGGCCCTGCCATCCAGCGAGAACTATCCCTTAGCTGGGGAAGTCTCCCTGGCTGCAGACAGGTGATGTAGCTGCTCCCTGTCCACCCCTCCGTGAACCAAAAGTGTAATCATGCTGCTACTCAACGTTTCTAAATATTGTCGCATATCATGCCCACAAAAAAATTAAAATACCATCCTTATTCACCTTTGTGGTTTTTTAGGTACGGTCAAACGAAGATAGATTTGAAGATGACCGATATTTTTTGGGTTTCTTGTCCAACTCAAAAAGATTTAATGTTGCAATCACCAGACCCAAAGCTTTGCTGATTGTGCTGGGAAACCCTCACGTTCTCGTCCGAGTGAGTTTGTGGCGCTGTGGGCTGTGGCTCGCTCCAGGAGAGAGGGCTCGGGAGGGCCCGCCTTGGGGACATGCTGGGACCAGGCCCGTTATGTCCCCACAGGATCCCTGCTTCGGGGCTCTGCTGGAATACAGCATCACCAACGGTGTCTACACGGGCTGCGATCTGCCTCCCGAACTGCAGTCTCTGCAGAGGTGAGCACTGCTGCTTGGCTTCCTAAGGGGTGGGCTGAGGACTTGCCCAACCCTGCACCTCCCCCCAACCCCTGCACACACCTGACCGCTACAGCTTCTGGCCCCAGCCTGGCCCCCTCAGCTCACCCTGCCCCCCGACATTTCCGGTCAGTGCCACTCTTCCCTGTGCAGCCTAAGGGAGTGACCACGGCGCCTTGCAGAACCCACACTGACAAAGGAGCCCCCTCCCTGGCGGCTTCTCCACCTGCAGCTGTGCCGAGGTGATGCCCCTGCCCCCGCCCCCGCCATCCAGCGGCACCAGGATCCTCAAGGCAGAGATGTGTCAGGATCCCGCTTGATCCACAGTGGCTGCCTTCCATGACCTCACCTGTAGACCCCTGTCCTCCGCCTGGCCCAGCGCATGTCACTGTTCCTGTTCCGAGTCCTGTAGCCCGTCCTTGTCTCTCAGCCAGGGCTGCCTGTGTGGGAGGGGCCCCGTGGTCATTCTGAGCTGCTCCTGCTGCCATATTTGGTACAAACTGGCCTGTTCCTGCCACCAGGCAGTCACTGCCACCCTAACCTGAAATAAATGCTCGACTAACCCTAGCTGCCTTTCCACCTCAAGATGTGCCATGTTGGTGACAACCAGGGTTTCATGTGACCTCTGACCCCCGCTGGGTGCAGTCTTTGGAGATGGCCCACATCTCCTACTCTGCCCTGACCAAGTCATGTGCCAAGCACCAGGCAAGGCCACCAGCTCTGCTCAGCAGAGAGCCACAGCCACGGGCCAGTGGTGCAAAGCGCACAGGGTCTACACTGGGCTCTGGTGCCTCCAAGAGGGCACGGACAGGTGGGCTGTGATGGAGCCCCCCAGTCCCCTCTACCCAAGAGCAGCCATCACTGCACCACGTGGACACCAGCGCTGCTCACAGATGGGTGGTTCCTTGGTGAACGATGCAGGTTTGGAAACCTGCACCCCCAAGGCACTGAGGACAGCGTCCTTAGATATACATCTCTGGGCCAGAAATAAACTGCAAGCTGGGGGTGGATGGTGTGTTTGGGGGCGGCTGGGAAGAGCAGGGCAGAACGACACTGCAGGGAGCACCAGGGGCAAGTCCAACACTGTCCCAAACTGGGAGTGAGAGTCTCACAGGCTCTGCAACAGCCTATATGAAAAACAAAACCCGTGGCTGGGAGTTACCACCAGGAAGCACACCCTCGGGGCCCCGGCGTGGCAGAGCTGGCCTGTGCCTGCTGTCCCCACAGGCAGACTCACACCAGCAGCTGCCTGCAGCAGCCCTGGGCCTGGCCCACCTCAGGCCAGGGACCTGCTGCCACCGCCTTCCTCCAGGAGGGGCAGGTTTGTGCTATCAGGTTGTAGCGTCTGCCTTGGAAGCAGAACTCACTAGTCAGAGGTCTGTCAGGACACCAGGGACCACAGCTGTTGACCACAGTGGTTGCACTAAGATCTGCAGCCAAAACTCCTGGAAGCGTTTTCCAGGCAGGCAGCGTCTGTGTAGGGACCGCCAGCACCTCCTGCTGTGGCTCCGGGTGAGCAGTGGCATTTGGAAATTGATGGCTCTTTCCGGGAAGGTGGCTGCGCTGGTTTGCCGAGGCCCCTGGGGGCCAGGCAGCGCCCCAGACAGGAGCAAGCACTTGGTCTGCGCCAGGGCTGGCCCAACAGGAGCTGCATGTGACAGGGGAGCTGGTGGCCACACTGGGCACCCTCCTGCCCTCGCCGTCCCCAGCAAGAATGGCCTGTCCCTGCTCAGGCCACAGCCCCTGGGAGCATCCAGCCTGAGAGGCCAGCACGGGCCTTCAGGCACTGTGGGTGGTCACCTCCACTCTGGCTGAATTACAGCATGGGGAATTGGCTCTTCTCAAAATCCAGGAAGGAGGTGTGTGGAGGGATCGGGCCCTTTGCAGGCAGGTGGGAGCTCCGAGGGAATTCCATGTTCCCAGGTGTGCGGGCGGAGCGCAGCCTCTGGTCACCTGCGGGCACCTGGGTCTGTCAGACTGGTGTCAACACCATTTTAAGGACACGATTACTGAGAATTTCAAGATGGCAACAACAGAGTGTGAACCCGGCCCTGGGTACAGGGCCTGGTCACAGCCTGACGTGGCACAAGCCTCAGTCTCTGGGCCCGGGCAGCAGCCCAGGTGGGCCCCTCTGGGCCGAGTAGCCTCCAAGGATGGTAGTGGCTAGCCCAGGCTTGGCTCATGGGCTGTGCGGGGGTCTGGCTGCAGAGCCAGCACCGTGGGCCGCTGAGGACGCAGGGGAAGCGGGCGGTGGACGGGAGTGTGACCCTATGGTGGGAGGGACCCAGGAGTCAGGACCGGGTTAGAAGAGCAGGGCCTGGGTGTGGGGTGTGGGACGTCATTCCAGCCTTGACGCCCCACCTCTGAGACACGGGCTGGGAGTTGCCTCTGCCTTGGGTGACAGGAAAGACTTTGCAGCCTGTCCCAGTACACAGGCCCAGGTCTGCCAGGTCACCCAAAAGCAGAGGAGCTTCCCTACCCTGTCACCCACAGCCCAGCGAGGCAGGACTCAGAGCCCAGGTGGTCAGTGAGGACCTGTCCCCTTCCAGCTGGGTCCCTTCTACCCATTTGTCCATCAGGAGCAAGTCTTGGTCACTCAGAGTCTGGGGCGGGGCTGCACAGGGGACTAGAAGGCATTTTCCTGGAGAGCCACGTCTCTGCTGGTGATCGTGTGCAGCAGCTGAGGTGAGGGCACCTCCTTCCCTCCCAGATGCTCCCTCAATGCCAGCAGCACCGCACGCCCCGCGGTGCCCTGTGGCCAGGCTACCGCCTGCTGCAGCCCACTCAACAGATACGTCTCCCTGCCTCAGTGTCCCTCCACTAGCCCTTGCTGGTGCAGAGTTCACCCCTTGACCCAGTGCCCTCTGGCCCCTGGGTCAACCTCCTTGGAAGCGCTAACCACTGAGCGGCAACAGGACATCATCCCCTCCACCCCAAAGCCTGCCCTCCCCAGCTCAGGCGACCCCTTGCCAGGCGGCCATGGGAACTCCAGGCCTAGCCCTCCAGCCTGTGGGAGCTCAGCGTGGCCTCTCAGGCCTGTGGCCCCAGATGGTTCCTGCACACACACACTCTCTCTCTCTGTCTTTCTCTCTGTCTCTCTCTCTGTCTCTCTCTCTCTGTCTCTCTCTGTCTCTCTGTCTCTCTCTCTCTCTCTCTCTCTCTTTCTCTCTCTCTCTCTCTCTTGAAGCACCACATGGGCTGGTGCAACTTCTCTAGGCAGGCGCTTAGTGGGCACCCAGACCTACCCTCCCTGCAGAGCCAGTTGTGCTGGCCTGGTCCTCGGATGCCACCCTGCCTCCCACGTGGCTGTGTCCCCCCCGCCCAGGCCACCTGTGCTGCCACAAGAGCCCGCGTCAATCTCCATCCACTGTCACAAGTTATCCAGGATGACTGGGTCATCTGAAGGGACTGTTATTCACGGACCGAGTTATCTGGGGGGGACTGGGTTATCTCCGGGGACTGGGTTATCTGGGGAGTGGGAATGGGATGCACTGGACTACCTCACGAGGAAGTAAAATATGCTGGAAGCCAGGGCTGCTGTGTTAGTTCAGAAACACGCAGGGATCTTTAAAGTCAGAAGAGAGCGCGTATGAAAGTTGGAAATCAGACAACACATCACACTCTCCAGCCGGGGGAGGGCAGGGGCCCCCACAGCTGCGTTTGGGCTCCAGACGTGTTTGTTGGATGAATTATGGAAGTTAAGCCTCCAAGCACACGAAGTGTTTTGCAAAGGTGGTGCATCTATATACTCTCACAGGGCGAAGGGGTCCCGAGCGCAGGGAGGGATCACTGGGCCAGAGGGTCCTGCGGGCAGCAGGGGCCAGAGCCCCGAGTGGAGCGCGGGCGTCCGCGGAGCCAGCGGGAAAGGCAGGGGCGGCGGGACCTGGGGGCGCAGATCGGCGGCGGCCCGGGCCGGAGGCCTGCTGACCCGCGCACCCGACTGCGGGGCGGGCGGAGCGATGTGGGCGCTCGCGGCAGTCGGCCCGCGGGGGCGCGAGCTGGTGCCACGGCTGCGGGAGGGACGCGCAGAAGGGCGCGGGCCGGGGGCCAAAAGACCCCAGCGTCCGCCTGCGGGCTGGCGGCGCGGGGAGGACGTTGGCCGGGGACTCCCCGGCCTCCGCAGCGCCCAGGGAGACGGAGCCTCCTCGGGCAGGGGGCGCGCGGGGAAGGCGCCCCAGGAGAGGGACGGGGGCAGGACGAGGACCTCCGTCCTCGGCGCTGGGCGCGACTGCGGGACCCCAAGGCTGGGCCGGGGCTTTGGCGCGGCGGTGGGCGCCAGTCCCCTGTCGCCGTCCCCACCGCAGAACCACCGCCCGCGCCGAGGGTGAGCGTAGCCCTCGCCTGCCCCCGAATCCGAAAGAAGAGGGGCCAGTCACTATTAACTAATTTTATTTAATCTAACATTTTTTGCAAAGTCATCGCCGGCGCCGCATCTGCGTGGCGGGGGGAGGGGGCGGAGCCACGCCGCGGACTTGCCGCAGGTAAACAGCCCCTCCCCGCGGCGGGAGCGGGCCGCTCGGCCCCAGGCAGGGACCGCAGCCGCGCGCCGCTCTGGGCGGGGGTCCCGCCGCCGCCCCCGCGGAGACGCCGGGCGCGGGCGGCTGCGGCGAGGCGGCGGCCGCGGAGGGCGCGCCGGACCTGCCCCCAGCCCGCCGACCCCTGCCGCGGGGGCGAGCGGAGCCGCCGGCCCCGCGGCGCGGCTCGTCCTCCGCTCTCCGCTCCCGGCATCCCTGTCCCCCGCGCTCCCCGCCCGCGCCCACCGGCGCATCCCCTACCGCCCGCGCCCGCGCCGCTCCGCCCGCGCCCCGCCCGCCCGCCCGCGCCCCCGCGGGCCGCGCCCCCGCCCCCCATGCAACACCTCCTGGAGCAGTCGGCGGACATGGCGACCGCGCTGCTGGCGGGCGAGAAGCTGCGGGAGCTGATCCTGCCCGGCGCGCAGGACGACAAGGCGGGCGCGCTGGCCGCGCTGCTGCTGCAGCTGAAGCTGGAGCTGCCGTTCGACCGCGTGGTCACCATCGGCACCGTGCTCGTCCCCATCCTGCTCGTCACGCTGGTCTTCACCAAGAACTTCGCAGGTGAGCCGGCGGCGCGGGTGCTCGGGCGGGGGCGTCCGCGGGCGTCGGGCGCGGGGGCTTCCCGTCCGTCGCCAGCCGCTACTCCCGCCAGCCACGCCCACCGCGGTCCGGCCGCGTCCCGGGCCTCCCGACAGACCTCGGCACCCGCCGTCCTCGCCCTCGCAGGTGTCCCGGTCGCTGGGGCCGCCTCCCAGGCCCCTCTTCATTGTTTCCCTGAGCCCGGGTGGGACTAGGCCTGTGCTGGTCCGGGTGGTCCCGGCCGGCTGAATATCGCGGGGTTCTCGGGGGTTGGAGGAGATGCCAGGTGTTGGAACGGAGGGCGGATGCCAAGAGATGGTGGAGACCCCGCTGCTGGACAGGGCTCGCGGTCTGGACGCGGTGGCAGGAGGTGGGGGTCTCCCCCGCGGGTCCTGGCTGTCCGGCGGAGGCGGAGCTGCAGTGGGAGCAGGTGGAATAGGGGTCGCACCGGGGCAGGGAGGCAGGGACGGCCAA